CCTAACCCTAACCCTAACCCTAACCCTAACCCTAACCCTAACCCTAACCCTAACCCTAAGGGTGAATGTCCTACTTGATCGAACCTTCTGCAATGCAGCATGCTGGGAGGAGCAATCCGAGAGTTCGCCTGCATGGATCCAAGCATTAGAGCTTGATTGCTTCCACGTGTGAGACTCGGTGGTTTCTCTTCACCCATCAATTTCACATCTCGAACATCGTAAGCGATAGCATGGCGTTGACTTGGACGATCTTCGATTCAGAGGTACACCCTTAGCAGCTCAGCGCACACCACAAGTGCTGCATATGCATGCCCTCCGAAGCTGCGAAAGCCTTTTGATTTCCAATGCACAGCTGCGGATGCGGCTGCAATGAAGTCAAGTAGCATGGACGAAAGGGAGTGGGTCGCCGTGTGCGTAAAAAAGTGTTCTGATACGCGGTGTGTTACGGGCCGAAAAGCGACGCTGAGACCCTTGACAGATTGAAACAGCCAGGAATTCCGTCGCTCACCGTTTTGTGCACACCTTTGTACAGGCTAGGAGTGGAGAAGACTGCGGTCAGCGTCACCGCCGTCAGCGTGTGTTATAGGTGGAGCAGTACCAGATTCGCTTGCGGACGAGCCGCACTCAATCGAACGGTAAACATCAATGGCAACTTCGTGGAAGATCGGCTGCTGTCGTCGAACCGGTGATGAGCAGAGAGAAGCGTGCTCTCGAAGCTGTCGGGCACACAGGGTTCCGCTCTCAAGGTCTGCCAAGGACCGCGTCACAGAAGCGAGCCCATCGGCATATTTGGCCTATCGGGAAATTCGGATCGAACGATTTCGTGTTGAACTCTCTCCACATGGCACAGGGCAATAAGCGAATGTTGCACAGATCTCTTGCCATCTTTCGTCGTTGCCCACATCCACTAGTTCCCACAATTAGCGCCAGGCTTGGCTCACGCTACAAGCTCTTTCCAACAGCGGCCACGACAAAAGGGATGCATAGCTCATGAACACGATCCATGTTCTGCTTTCGCTGCCAACACCCCTCTGATCGCACCAACTCGCAGCTCGACAGTTCCCTCTGCTCAATCGACACGAAGAACGGGATGGAGTTCTGACGTGGGAAGAGGTAATCACCAGCGAGACCATCATTCGTCTCGACGAAAGCGGTGTCTCTTTGCCTCAGATAGGCTCCTGGCTCAGCTGCTAGAAACCCACTTCGCCGCCCGAAATGCAAGGGCCGCTGACGTGGGTCGCGAGCAAGGTGCTGTCGCTCGTGCTTCCTGTAGACACCTCTGCTCGTCCACGATCGACTCAGGATGAATTCCAGCCGAAAGATCCGCTGGATTCCCATGACTGGCGGAATCGGGATGACGCGCGGCGGACCTTACGCGGCCGTGTTGCTCATTCCGAGTTCCAGGCTCGCTACTTGCCGCCACTATTACATCGGCCGCGGAGCAGTGCAGAAGCGCAGCAGTTGTACAACCATATCCGTACCGTCGCATGGTATCTCGACTCGATTCCGCTCCTCGGCTCGCGCTTGCCTTTCAACATTGGCGTCGAGTCGATCGTTGGAATCATACCTGGCGTCGGTGACTACGTCGGGCTGATTCTGGGGTTGTATCAGATCCTGCTCTGTGCGCTATACCGTCTGCCACTTACAGTTTTGCTTTGGATGCTCTTCAATGTCCTCTTAGACTGCATGATTGGAATCGTGCCCGTCATCGGAGATGCGCTCGATGTTCTGTTCAAGGCGAACCTGCGCAATCTGCGCCTGCTCGAAGATCATCTGCATAGCTCAGGAGGCAAATGCGGTGAGGGCATATTTTACATCGAGTTCCCACCCAGCGACAAGTTCATGCCGCCGCACCATCCGTATCGCTCGCCTCAGCCTCCTTCCTCTCATCAGCACTCCGCGGCGTATGTGGAGACCAGCAACATTAGTCAACCGAACAACAAACATGCAAGGAGCTACTTTCTCAGCCTTCCATCGTCTGTCGCGGAAAACGCAAAGACCTCATCTGCCAGCGCCACCCGAGCCGACATCCTTGACCACACCGCAGGAATCACGGATCCGGGCACGACTCAGGATGCGGGCCAAAAGTCATCTCGAATTGAAACCCGCGGGCTGTCTGAAACGGAGGCATACACCATTCCGGAAGTGCCGAGCATGGGCACAACGAACCAGGCCCAGCACCAAGGAGATCGACAGCATACTTTCCGACCCGTGTCGACGACGATGCACGAACAACACGGCCTCGCTGATGATATGACACGACAGCATCGCCAACACTCTCGTGGATTTATGGCCTTGGAGGCGTCTCCATCGACCGAAGTAGATCCCTACGAACCGAATGATAGACCGATGCAGCAAGGATCGGATCGTCCGGTGCAGCTGGCGGAAGAACGACCGCGCGTCTCTTGGCACGATACAACACGGTCGATTCCGTCGCTACCGATGAAGCCTGATCCCAAGAGAGCACGTCACAATCATATCGATGAGACGGAGGAAGGCGTCGACGACGATTTCGAGAATCAACGTTTGCTGAAAAGCTTCCCATCGGAGAGTGATCGAGAGATGGAGCAACCACGAGATCTATGGCGAAGACGCCGGAGCTTGTACCTGCTGGTGTACTCGGCGATCTTCTGCGTCGCCTACGTCAGCTCTCTGGACTCGAACACGGGATACTTGTATCTCAACTTTGCGTGCAGTGAGTACGGAGCGCTGGCATCGTTCAGCACCGTGGCAATCGTGCAGCAAATGGTGTTTGCAGTGGCCAAGCCGCCAATCGCCAAGCTGTCCGACGTGGTTGGGCGACCTCAGGCGTACGTGCTGTCACTGGTGTTCTACGTGTGCGGATACATTGTAGTGTCGACGACAGCCTCGCTGCGATCGCTGATTGGAGGCATCTGCTTGCAGTCGGCGGGCACCACGGGAATCCAAGTGCTACAGTCGATCATCATCGCTGACACGACGACGGCCAAGTGGCGCGGGCTTGTGATTGGGATCGTCAACCTGCCCTTCCTGATCAACTTTGCGGTCGCAGGACCGATGGTGGACCTGGTCATGCGTCACGGCGGATGGCGGCTTGGGTTCGCCATCTGGACGGTGGTAATGCCTTTGGCAGCAACGCCGTTGCTTCTGACGCTTCTGGTGGGACAACGTCGGGCTCGACGGGCCGGATTGATGACGAGAAGCTCGCTCAGGGACAAGTCGTGGCGGCAGGCGCTGCGTCAGCTGGCGACAGATCTCGACCTGGTGGGACTTCTGCTGTTCACGGGAGGCTGGTTGCTCATCCTGTTGCCGTTGACATTGGCAGGGCACGGCGAGCGTCAGGAACACGTACCCATGACGACGTTTGTGCTCGGTGGAGCTGGGCTGCTGGTGGCGTTTGGATGGTGGGAGACGCGCGCCTCGGTGCCCATCTTGCCGTACCAGTTCTTGGCCAACAGCGCGGTGGTGTGCACGTGTGTGGTGGGGGTGCTCGACTTTGCGTCGTTCTACATCTCGTGGACGTTCCTGTCAAGCTTTGTGCAGATCCTCAAGGGGTGGGACCAGACCAAGACGGGCTACTTTGCGACGACGCAGAACGTGACGTCGACCATAACGGGCATCGTGGTTGGGTCGCTGATGGCCATGACGCGGAGGTACAAGATGCTGCTGATGATCGGACTGGTGACGCGGCTGCTGGGCGTGACGCTGATGGTGCGTTACAGGACGGCGACGGACCCGACGTTCATGTTGGTTCTGTGTCAGCTTCTGCAAGGTGTCGGCGGCGGGTCGATCGCGATTACGATGCAAGTAGCGGTGCAGGTGACGGTGCGGCATGCAGATGTGGCGATTGTGACGGCCTTGGAGCTGCTGACGACGGAAATCGGAGCAGCGATCGGATCTGCGACGGCGGGTTGGATGTTTCAGACCTACCTCCCGGGCAAGCTGGCTGCCAATCTGCCGCACATGGACGCTGACGAGCTCAAGCTGGTGTACGGCAGCCTTCAGCAAGCGCTGAGCTACCCGATCGGATCCGCGGAACGCGATGGGATCATCAGGTCGTGGGTGGAAGTGATGCGGATGCTGAGCGTGGTTGCGTTGATCACGCTGGTGCCGGCCTTCTTCTTTGGACTGGCGATCCCGGACACGTCGCTGCCCGATGTTCACGGCGCTCCTGTGCACAGCCATCACCATCATCACCACCACCATCGTGGCTCGCGTCGGGGCGACCGACGAAGCTCACGACGACGGCCTTCCTTCCTGTCTACAAGCAGGCCAGCGTCGCCTCTCGAGATCCGGGCGGGATACTCGGACATCACTCTTGGCATGGGGCTCGGTGTCGCGGCCACCGAGGACAATGCCAACGCAGCATTCCTCGCCACCGCTGGATCTAAGCGGAGTCGCTCAGCGTCCCGAAATCGCAGCGGCGAGCAAGCGATTCGGGAGCCGTCGAGCATGGGACGCAAGAAACGTAGATCGCGCCCAGCTGCAATAGGCTGAGGGCGACGAAACCACTAGTCGCATTGTTCGCATCTTTTCACCAGCACGCAACAGCATTGACATTTGAGCATGAACATTTCAATTGATATCACACAATAAACGATCCGCATGCGCGCGTGTCATCATCACCACCAAGAAGAAAGAATCAAAACAAACGGAGGAGAAGGAGGAGGAGGACCCTGGTTTCTTGATTGCGGGCCAGTCTCGGTCTTTGCAGCTCCGAAATTGCCAGAATAGGTTAGCAGCCTGGTCCCGCTTCCACGTTGCGGTCTCGACCAAGTGGCTCGTGTGGGGTTGCGGCAGGGTCGATAAATCGCAGACCAGGCCAAAGGTGCCACAATATTAATATTATCTGACAAGTCGGCTGCACGTCGATTACATTCAAATGCGACTCTAGGGACGGTGATTAGAAAAATGTTGAATACAAAATTATGAGTCCGGCCTCGCCCCGCTCGTCAAGAAGAAATGGGCGTTTCCCACCGAGACGGCAGGAAGAAGGGTCGAAATTAGAGTGTGTCCGAGTGTGTGGGTCGGTCGGTCGGTCGGTCGAGCGGTCGGTAGGTCAAATGAGGCCACAGTGTGTACAGTGTGTACACTGTCCCGACAGAGAGATCTCTGAGAAGGCCAAAGAGAGGAAACTGGTGTCGCTCCAGTGCAACGCGGGCAACCTGGTCACTTGGCAGCCTCGAGCCAATAATCAGTCACATACTCGGGAAGCCGTGCATTGATTCTTCGCGCTCCTCTTCTTCTCCCTTTCTTCATCATCTGTAATTGCCATCCTCTCTATCCACTACCTCAGCACTTCTCGTCAGTCGAGTCGTTTGAGCTGGTAAGTTGGTCCCATTCCTCATCAACGGCACCGCCTTGGCCGTCTGCTACGAACCGTCTTTATTGGTAGGCTCGAGAAGCTGATCAGTGCGTCGAGCGTCTCTTCATATTGGTTCAATCTCACTTCCAGCCCGCGTCAAAGCCTGCTCGCTTCGACGCTCCTTCAACCGTCACACAAACCGATCGTATCGTCGCCTTAGCCTTCGCAGAGACAACACTCTTCTTTCATTCTCTCTCCTCAGCTCGACAAATCGGGTTCGCCCAGGTCTAACGTCTTTGGTCTTCTTCGTCTCGGCTACCGTCCATTGCCCATCCTGCCCAACATGGTATCCGCCGCCGATCTCATGAGGCAGCACCAAGCTCAGCTCGCCCAGGCCGACGCTTCCGCTCCCGAGCTGCCGCCCATGGCTGACCCATTCCCGTCGCTCACCCAGGACCCCTTCCCGCCCCAGCCTGTCGCTGCCGCCTATACCTCGGCTTCGTCTGCCGCTGCTGTCCTCGACGCCAGCAATGCTGCCGCTTCCAACGGCGCCGGCGCTGCTGCGTCGTCTGCCACCAACGGCCGTGCAGCTCGCTCCAAGCAGCCCGACTTCTCCTCCGAGTCCGCTTTCCCTTCGCTCGGTGCTACCGCCAACCCCGCCAAGGGCCAGTGGGGCAACAAAGGCTCCACCTGGACCGGCTCCGCCCCCGTCATCCAGCGCTCAGTGGCTCAGCAGACCTTTTCGCTCACGCTCTCGCACGAATCCGTCGCCAAGCTTTCCACCGTCATGTCCAAGGTGCAGAACAAGTACCGCGGCCTCAAAATCGAAGCTTCTACCACGCGCAAGACTGGCACCACCACCTTTGTACTCAAAGCTGCCGACGACGCCGTGGTCAAAAGCGCCAAGCGTGAAATCACTGTCCTGCTCGCCAAGCACGTCTCCACCCACATCATGATCCCCGCCTCGCTCCGTGCTTTTGTCATTGGCACCAAGGGCAAGAACCTCAAGGCCATCACCGAGCAGACCAGCGTCAAGGTCAACATGCCGCCCCGCGACCCCGCCGTCGACCAGGCTGCCGATGCCGAAGCCAGTCAGCGCAACAACAACGTCGACTACGACAACGACGAGCAGATCGCCGTCACCCTCGAAGGTGACGAGATCAACGTCAAGCAGGCCCAAGCCATGATCCAGGCCATCGTCGCCGAGAGGACGTCCAAGATCACCCAGCGACTTACCCACATCGACCATATCTTCTACCCTTTCATCGCCGGCCCCAAGGGTGCCAATGCTGCCCAGCTCGAAAAGCAGCTCGGCGACGGCGACATCTCGGTCCGCGTGCCTCCTCGTGCTGCCTTCCTGCATGCCAAGGACGCTGCCGACGACGATGCCGCAGAGCCCAAACGTGAGCGCGACCTGGCCATCGTCGTCTCGGGCGATCGCGAGAAGGTCAACAAAGCCGTCGCTTCCATCGAGGCCCAGGTCGAGGAGATGAAGAATTCCTTCCGCACACTCGCCATCAGCATTCCCAAGCGACAGCATCGATTCCTCGTCGGCGATGCTGCCAACGACATCCTTGCCTCCACCTCGTGCAGTGTCGAACTCGCCGCCATCGACGATCCGTCGGACAGCGTCACCATCCGTGGCCCTCAGTCTCAGCTTCCGCTCGCGCTCACCGCCGCCATGGAGAAGGCAAACGCGGTCCGCGTCGAGGTCATCGACGTTGTCGCAGCGCACAGATCGCTCGCCAAGGACCCTGTCGGCCATGCCAAGCACGTCCTTCGATGGCTCAGCGTCGGCGGTAAGGTCCCGCGCAGCTCCACCGCTCAGATCTACCTGCCACGACCCGCCATTGTCGACTCGACAGGCAACGTCCAGATCGAAATCGTAGGTTCGGATGCTGCCGAAGTGTCCAAACTCAGGGAGACCATCCAGGAGCTTGTCAAGGCCATTCCTCCCACCTTTGTCGAGGAGCTCGAGGTCGATCCGCTCCTTCACCGTTTCATCATCGGCAAGAAGGGTCACGGTCTGAAACAATACGAGGCCCGCGGCGTCGACGTCCTCTTCCCGCCTGCATCCTCGAGCGCCGATGGCGATTCACGCTCCGACGTCTTGCTCGTTCTCGCCGGCTCCTCTGTCATCGCCGGTCTCCCCGCGGACCGCAAGGCTCGCGATGCCAAGGCCAGCGAGATCCTCAACGCGGTCAAGCAGGACATTGAAAAGGCGCAGGTCGCCGCCGCCGACATCCGCAGTGAGACCCTCACCGTCCCCGCAAAGCTGCATCGGGCCATCCTCGGCCCCAACGGCACCACTCTCAACGCCGTAATCGGCGAGGACAGGCTTGTCGCCGTCAAGCTTGGTTCCAGCAAGGCCGCTGCCGCCGACAAGAACGGCGCCAGCCTTTCCGAGGATGCAATCCTGGTTCGCGGTCCCAGCACCGAGGTTGAGCGTGTCGTCAAAGAGCTCCAACGCATCGCTACCGAGGCCGAGCAAGACAACATCATCAACGGTCACGTCGCCGAATTCTCGGTCGACTCTAACCACGTTCCTCATCTCGTCGGGCGTGGCGGCTCCGCCATCACCAAGCTCCGAGAAGAGCTGGGAGTGCGCATCGACTTTGGCGAGCCTTCGAGTGCCGACGGTGCTGACAATGCAAAGAAGGGTCGCAAAACGGCATCCTCCACCAAGGTGGTGCTGACTGGTCGCAAGGAGAACGTTGAGGAAGCCAAGAAGCGTCTTCAGACGCAAGTCGAACGACTCGCCGATGAGACCACCGTCACGCTCAAGATTCCACAGGAGATGCACGGAAGCTTCATCGGCCAGGGCGGCAAGTACGTCACTCGTCTTCAGGACACCTACGCTGTGCGCATCAACTTCCCCACCGCCAACGCCCAGAGCGGCACCTCGACTCCTTCCGAGGCTAACGACGACAAGCTTGCCGGCGGTCGCGCCAGCCAGAAGCCCGACGAGGTCATCATCAAGGGTGGCAAGAAGGGCGTCGAGGGTGCCAAGGCGGAACTGCTCGAGCTGCTCGAGTACGAAAAGGAGCACAACAACGTCGCCGTGTTGGCGGTCAGCACCAAGTCTATCGCCCGCATCATGGGTAAGGGTGGTGCCACCATCAAACAGATCCGAGACGAGAGCGAGGCTCAGGTCGACGTCGACCGCGAGGACAATGAAAAGGACGGAACCACCTCCATCAAGATCCGCGGAACCAAAAAGGCCATCGCCGCCGCCAAAAAGGCCATCGAGGCCATCTCGTCCGAGGTCGATGCAGAGCAAGTGTACACGCTCACCATCGCTCCCGAGCACCACGGTATCCTCATCGGTCCCCAGGGATCCAACATCCGTGATCTCATCATCAAGGCCGGCGGGCCCGAGGACACCAAGGCATCATCGCAGTATGTTCAATTCCCGCGCCGAAACGAGAAGGACGCATCGACCGTCACGATCCGCGGCCCCGCCTCTTTGGCCCAGGCCATCCGCGACGAGCTTGAGAGTGCTGCCGAGGTCCTTGCCTCTCGCGTCGTCTTCGGTGTCATCGTCGCGCCGCAAGCGCAGAGGATGCTTATCGGCCGCGGCGGTTCGCGTCAGTCCGAGCTGCAGACGCAATACTCCGTTCGTCTCGTCTTCCCTGGCTGGAAGGAGTACGCCTCTACCGGCGAGCCGCTCAACAAGGCCGAACTTGCCGGCGGCGATGACTCGACCATCGTCAAGATTGTCGGTGCCGAGGACAGGTGCAAAGCGTTGGCCGAAGAAATCAAGTCGAGCTTCGCGTCCGTCTCCAAGGCGATCAGCGTCTCTCGCGGTGTGCATGCTCGCATTGCCACGCCTCAATTCTTCCGTCAGCTCCGTTCCGACTTTGGCGTCTCGGTCGACACGCCTCGCGAACCGGCTTCAGCCTCGACCACGGCTGCGTCGGCCAAGAACGGTGCTAAGTCCGTCGGTGCGCGCATCGACGATGACGACGACACAGACGAGAACGAATTTGAGCTCGAAGAGCTTTCCTCCGCTACTTCGGGCAACGACTCGGTTTCGTGGACGCTGACCGGCAAGGATGAGGGTTCGCTCCAAAAGGCTGAGAAGCGCATTCAGACCGCCATCAAAGACGCTGGCAACGCGTCGCACCAAGGCAAGCTGTGGGTCTCGCCCTCTGCCGTACCGCGCATCATCGGCCGTGGCGGCAGCGGTCTGATGAACATCCAAAACGAGTCGGGCGCCGCGGTCGAGATTCCTCGAGACGCTGGCGGACTCTGCATTATCCGTGGCTCCAAGGACGCCGTTCTGCACGCCAAGGAGCTCATCGAAGGCGTAGCTTCGTCCGGCGGACGTGCTTGAGACGCATTCTCCTACCACCACGTTCTCCCATCCTCGCATCATTGTAGATTCAAAGCATTCACTCACAAATATCATGCAATCGTTTTCCGGTCCATTCAGTGCAAGCATCTCAATTGTCTGTGAGATGCGCAGAAACGTGACATTGTCTAAAATCGTGGGCTTGACGTGCCGATGTCAGGAGCGTCTGCATCGAACTCGATCTCGCGCAGCAGTCTCGGGTTTGGACGGTAGCCTTGATCCTTCATGTCTGCCAGGACGCTTTCCCAGCGATGGTCCTTCTCTCGGAAGCACTTACGCACCACTGCCTCGTAGCTCTTGCGGCTCGGAGGAATTCCCTTGTCCTTAGCCTCTTCAATGAAACCAAATGCATCGTCGTAGTTGGACTGCGTCAAGCACAGCACGATCATACGCTCGAACGTCACCGCGTTGGGCCGCAACTTGAGGTGGTTCAGATCCTTGAGCAACTCGACTCCGGTGTCGTAGTCGGCGGCATCGATGCATCCGCTTAGAAGCGAGTTGAAGGTGTCGAGGTTGGGTCGGACCAACTCTCGACGATCGCCAGAAGTCGTGAGGCCTGGAGGACTGGCGAAGGGATGGAAAGTGCGCATCGAGTGATAGATGTCGAGCGCTTGAGCCAGATCGCCAAGCCAGACGGCTGCGCTGAGGACAGCATTGACGATGGCCTTATGGGTCCCAATAGCAGCATCAGTCGCACACAGGGCGAGAGCTTCTCTGGCCAGCTGGAGCGAATCCTTACTGGGATAGATCGAGGTGCTGATTCTGGAAGTCGTGCGATCTGTGATCTGGATGCCGCGACAGTGGAGCGCATGTAAGGCGCGCATCGCCCCGACATAGTCGTGAGCGCTACAATGCGCTTCGAAGAGAGGCGCCAGATGCCATTCCTGCAACTGCATGCGTCTGGAAGGTGTCGACATCCTGCGAGTGGATCCGGAGCTTTGTTCGGAACGCGATGTCGTCGAGGCTGACGCACACGCTGTCAGATCAAACGCAGGGTCGATGTGCCGGACGCACGTGTGTGCCATGTGCACACTCCCTTCCTTGGCAGCGAGGGCGAGGATAAGCTGGAGTAGGCCGTCGTCGGGCGAGAGAAGGCCTCGTGTCACTGCCTTGGACCAGGCAAGCTCGACGCCGGGCAGGTATCCGCCTTCAGCGCAGGAACGAAGCATCGACATCCATACGCTCGGGGGCAGACGACGAGCTACCTGACCGCTTCGCGCATCGGATCGAAGTGCATCCAGGGTGACTGATGGATTGTTGGCCGAACTTGTTGAATCGGCGTCTGCGTAGATCAAACCGCCCTGCTCCATGAGATCAGCCAGCTCGACAGCGCTTCTGAACTCTTCGCAGTGGATGCATAGCGTGATGAGGCGCGAAAGGCTCTGATGCGGCAAGATCAGACCCATGCGATAGCACGTTGAAAGGAGCAAGAGGGCGTACTCGAGGTTATGGTCTTGGCAGGCACTGTCGATCATATGCGCAAAAGTTGCTGCGTTCCAGTTGCGCGTCATTTCGGTGGGCAGAGTCAAGCCGGCGCCGCGTGCAGATTTGGGAGCTCTCGAGTCGGTGGACTCGCTGAGCAGAATCTTTGCTAGTTCTTCAGAGCGCTCTGATGCTGAGGAAGAGGAAGGTTGCGAGGCGAAAATGGTTTCTAGGGTCGCGGAGATGGCTTTTTCGTCGCCGCAGACGATGGCCGCCTGTAAAAGATTGTTGAGCGAGTCGATGGATTCTTCGAAACCAGAGGCAAGCATGTCGGCATGGACGGCTTGGACTTCGTCGAGAAGGCCGTGATGTGCTAATGCACGCATCACTGCCAGAAAGACGACCCTCTCCTCTGGTGCGAAGGGGATGCTACCTGAGGAACCACTTATGTGCTCTTTCCTTTCCTTGATCAGCTGGCACAGCTTGGTAGCCTGCACGGCATCGTGGGCGTCTGCGGCCACACCTAGCGAGGTGTAGAGTTGTCTCAGCTCCGGATCTGTTGAGACGTTGCGAAGGATGTACGAATCGCTGGAGCTGCGCTGCTTGGACGAAATCGGAGACGAGTTATCTCTCTCAGGGGCTCGCCTCTTGAAGTGCTGAAACAGCTGGGGAGCGTGAGGGTGTCGGCGATCAGCCGCCTTTGAGTCGGGATAGATTGAGCTCGATGCGCGTTGAGGTCGATTGTGCTCCACTCGAACGCCTTCGGATGACCTTCGCTGAGCGGTTGAAGGGGCAACTCCTGTTGCCAGGTATCTTGTAACGATGCAGGGGGAGTGGTGACATCGAGTCAGCCCGTGCCGAGAAGCATCTTGGACGCGTTGGGGATAGACGGACTGGACCAAAGTCACTAGACGAGCAACGCTTCGTCCACCATTCTTCCGCAACATGACGACCAGGATCGAGCTTTGACGATGACTGCGTTCCCAGCGGCGAGGAATGGTTGAACGGTGGACTCATACCATGTAGGAAGAATCGTGTCGGTCTCCAAGCCAAAAAACCTATCTCGGACCCTGACTTTTTCCATCCGAGTTCCGAGGGAGAAAAAGGACGAATTTCAGTGACTCTTCTCGGGATTCGACAACTTCGGATTATTTTCATGAGGTGGGCGTGGTTCACGGCGACCGGCGCCACTACTGTCGACATTTGCAATGCCAGTGGGAGGGGTGATGACCAAGTGCGGGATGAGAGAAGCCAGCGACAGGCAAGTCTTGGATCGAGCCAGTGCGCCGTGGTTCGTGCGTTGTGAAGCGACGACTCGGCATGACTGCAAGCATGACCAAGGCTCTGTCAAGAATCTGTCCCGGCCACTTGCTCTGGAACAGCAAGGACACAACGCGAGCCCACGAAAAGGAAGGCGTCAACGTACAGACCTAGCTCGGCAGTCGAGGCGAAACGTGTCTGCCCCCATCTGCCGAGGCAGGACGTTTATTTCGGCAAAGTCAACCACATGGAAGCCACGCATAGTAGCGGATTTGAGCAGCCCAATGCCAGATGAAGTGTAAGCAGCGTCAACCAGGCTAATGTCTCAGCCTCTTCTGATTCGTTTGCATCGAAGTCGGTTGCCGAGATGTCCGGTATCGAGCCACGACCGTGGAATGGCACAGCTTCTGGTCCGGCAAAACGAAAGAGCTTCGGCCCCATTGCAAGTGTAGGAGGGGCGAAATTTCAGTCGACAACCGTTTCCCTGCCCAAGGCGGGAGCAGCACTTTCGAAAAAGCCACCATGTTCCGAAGCATCCCGTCAAAACTATCATCGTCCCGTCCAGTTCCACGCGCTTTCCACCCTCTGGAAGGAGTCCGAGCGTGGACTGCTCACACCGATGGCTTGGTCGAAAGCTTCTGCTCGTCTCAGATGCACGTTCCGCAGCTCCCGGTAAAGTTTGAAAGGATCGTTTGCCGGGCCGTTGGTCGGAGTTCCGATCACCAGAGAGATGCGCGGAACGGAGGAAATTCGGAGCAGCATATATCATTCAAAGTTCGACGTCATAGAAGGCGCTTGCAAATTCCACTTCCGCATGGAACAGCAGTGCGAGATTCAAGTACATTGTACCTTCGTTCGCACGATCACACCAGAGCTTGACCGGTCGGTCATACGAGCCGTCGGCAAAGCTGACTGAGCGACCTAAGGTTCGGTCCTGAGTCAGCTGTTTGACCGCCTCCGGTACGTTGACTGCGAAAGTTTCCGACCAGATTGTGATGCTTTGCTCGAGCAAGCGCTACGTCGGAGTTTCGGCGATTGAAGTGACTGTTCTTACTGTACCTCGGTAGAATGGCAAGATCTCTGCTGCGGGAACGTTCGCATAGAATCAAGAATCGCTTCAAGCTACGGTACAGTGCGCGCCTCAATTTGCACATCAGAGACATCCACAAACCAAACACGCCCCTTTACATCAGCGAGTTTCGAGCAAACCGCTTCTTGTCTGCAGAGAAGTTGCTCACGGCCAGTACCGCAAAGTCGACCGAGATCCAATCAACCACGAAGAGCAATGCAAAAGCTCAGTTCGATGCCTTCGCAGATCGTGAACGGCGGTTCAAATTGGAGAGCATGCGCCGCACGAGATGGCTTTCCAAATCCACCTTCGTCTAAAAAAGGAGGAAAGAGACCGCTGTCAATCCTGAAACTGCGTGTTGAACTCTGCTTTTGGCTATCCTTAGCGGCTTCGTTGAGCCCAACGAAACGGCGTAAAACAAGGCACCGAGCAGCAACGTCCAGTCTCGGGTAAAGCAGCACCAGAGAGAAACTTTTGGATCCGCAGTGCCATCCTGGGCAGCATTCTGCTCGTTCGTCGCAACGAGCGGAGTGCCAATTTGCTCAAATTCACGGCCTTCGAAAGGCCCAATCAGCGAGTTCGGCAAGAGCCTCGTGGCATCTTCTTCCGGGGCACAAGCGAGCAGGGAAGACGAGCCGCGGGGTCCGGGTGCCTTATCGAACGCTGTCCTGCTGCCACGAACTCGCTTTGCCGCGAGCTAGGAACGCGAGGCACGAACATCGATCATATCATCTTGCAGCAATCTTCACACACTAGGCGTTTGCAAATGTCGTCACACGCTCTCCATTGTTTCGCCCCACTTCGACCGTCGTGGAAACCTGTAAAGGCTATGCTTCCCCGACATCGCCGCGCGTCCTTCCCAGATGCACCACGTCCCCCAGGCAAAGTCGGGCTCTGCCAGCGATCCGCGCTACCTGGACTGCGCTAGCGACCTTCGCCGTACCTAATTTGCAAATCATGCAGGTCTAATCGCCGTACCCGTCCGACTGAGTGCGATGTACCACAACTCTTTCGACTTTAGCTTCCGCGGCTACGCAGGCTGTGTCGACCAGATTTGCTTGCTCGATCTCGCTTTCTGGCGTCTCAAACGGAACGTTACTTCCGTCGCTTATGTATTTGCCCGGCGCATGGAACAATGCCCTCCAAAGTAAGGCTGCCTCTGCTGTGATGCCCTGCTGCGGCTGCGGGTGATGCGACCACACGTTGCGCGACTTCATCATGCAGCGGCGGTCAGATCGTGTCTTGAAAGTTTGGTTCGATGCCGGGATCCTCGTCGTTCCACAAGCCGCATTCCCGGATTTGCTCTTCAAAACGTTTCGAGAAGTTCTTCGTAAAGTTGCAGATCGAGCTTGAGCGTCACGGCGACTTTTCTTTGCCCATTGCTGCACTCAAGCCACAAAGGCCGCCAGGACATTCTCGGAATGTTGTTTTCTCGGAGTGCCTTTGAAGCAGTCGTCGGTGACCAGATCAGCATCGCGGCTCGTCCGCCTAGTTGCCCTCATGTGCCCCGCCAGCAATCCAATATATATACACCCGCTTGATGGCATGCCATGCTGAGGCCCCTTGTCCTCTCAATCTCGTCTCGAATGTCTGCTCTCCCTCATCCTTCTGGCCCCTGCCCGCTGCCGAAACACATCTGCTCGCTCCGTCACGTCGTCTAGTTTACTAGCCAGGGAGTCTTCCTTCTCTATCATCCTCGCTAATCATTCCACGTCGGCACAGGCTTTCACCTGCAGTTCGGGTCTGCTTCATCGGTATTGCTGAACATGCGATCCAGTATCACGGCGGGGCTGACTCCGCAGCAATTGCTCGACCGTCGTCGTGCGCAGAACAAACTCGCACAGAGGCGCTTTCGAGAGAAAGCTCGAATGAGCCGATTCTCCGGTACCTCTCCTTCATCGTATCCGATCATGGACCACGCAGCTGCGACCCTGCCTGGCATGCCTGCGCACCTTGACATGGATGCTGCCAATTCGCTGCCTCAGGGTTCATCGACGTCCAGAGGGCGGTCCGCTTCCTCCGACTCTTCTAGCACTTCGGCTAGCTCGTCGATGTCCTCCCAACTCTTGAGCCCTGGCTCATCATGCACCGAGCTCAGCACGCCAACTATGCCAAATTTCAGCAGCAAAGCGATGCGGCCCACAGAGCCGACCATCGTCAGCAACTTGTCTGCTCCGCCCATCTTTGCTATGGACAATATCACATCTGAGAACGTCATGACAGATGCGGCTTTCTGCATGACAGCGGTTCCGCTCTCTGACGTCTATGCACCTCTCGAATCAAGCTTTCTTCGAGATCCCTTCGCGATGCCTCCGTCGCAGCCGCTGACTTACCCTGGTCTGGCTGGATCCTCCAATTCGCTGCGCAACATTGGTCTCAAGATGGTGGGAATGCATGCGGATCCCTTTCTCATGAGCCAGTCGCTACCTAGCCCCGCGCTGCCTGTCGGCAAACCCTCGAGCCTGCCCGCCGGTACCTTGTTTGGTTCCCTCTTCGAGCCACGATTCTCACAAGAAAGCCAGTCGCAACCCTCTGCCTCCTTCGAGAATCTGCTTCGTATCAACCCGCAGCCGTCGACGCATTCTAGTGCGAGTGGCGAGGTCGACATCGTCGAGCCAGTCCTCTCCCCGTCTTCAGCCATGGAACCGGAAGCTGCCTCCTTGTCCCTACTAGCAGACGGGGCTCACGTGTCCGTCGATACGGAGGCAAGTCAATGTGCCTCTTTGCATTTGGACCAAGTCATTGCGAAACACGCTCATGCCGTCAGCTCTCGCGGCGCAGCGCATTCCATCGCCATCACGTCGAGACCTTTTGCGCTTGTCGTCGAGCTCATCGGATCACAATTCGGTCTGACAGGCAGAGGTCAGGAGCTTCCAAAGCTCTTGTCGCGCCTGCAACTTCACGGAAAGCTCGATGCGCAAACAGAGACGAGCAAAGGACTTGTGTTTGACGCAGCAATCAACTGGGACACGATGGGCTCCAACATGCTTCCCACCACCGAGCAGCTTCTGTACCCACACCGCGCTTTCATCGATGCCTGCCTTCCCTGGCCTGCGGTCCGAACACGTCTACTCAAGCACGCTCTCACCAATCCAGTATGCGAAGAGGAGTTCGCCCTCGATCTGCTGCTGTCCATCTTGTCCCCCGACGAAGCTCTGTCCTCTGCGAGAGTGTATGGCGACGACGTGCTCGATCCGGAGGCATGGGAGCTCAGCGAGAGGATGTGGACGAAATGGTGGGGATTGTTCGACGATTCGATCATTCGCAGGACCAACTGGTGGCGGAGGCAACGTGGCCTCGGATGCCTTGTCTACCCTCAATCTACCTACGCAGGCAACGACTCCGTGCGCCAAGGGTTGGGGACAGGCTCTCTAGACGAGGTTTATCGTCTCGCCACCACCCACTTGCCATGAACAATACCTTGACAGTCAACGTCTCTGCTGCTTATAAGCAGGAACGTCCAGACAAGTCCTGAACACTGCTTATTTTGTGATCCTCATTTAATCTCTGTATTTTATCTGTAGCATATCAATGTATACACCTTCCACACACAGCACTACTCAAATTTGCAACTCGTGTGCGACGCATCACGCTTGGCACGATCGTCTTCTATCGTTTGTCGGATTGCATGACCGTACATCTCGGAGTGAATGAAGGCATGCCGTGCCAAGCAATGGCAGGGCGGGGCAGGGCGGAGCTCATGGCAAGACAATGTACTTTTGCAGGTGCTCGGGAATAGCCGTGTCGAGCTGTTTGGACTCGAGCCATTTGCGCGAGAACAAGCGAGCCTGGTATCGGTAAGCGCCGTCGCAGAGGATGGTGACGATGGTCTTGTTGGGACCGAGCTGTTGGGCCATCTTCTTGGCAGCCACCACGTTGAGTGCAGACGAGGCTCCGACGTAGATTCCCTCTTCGTGCAGGAGATCGTAAACCATGGTGATGCTCTCCTCATCAGGAATGTGTACCGAGTTGTCGAGCTTCTCAACATCCGGCTTGAGGTTCTCGGTGACACGACCTTGACCGATTCCTTCGGTGATGGAACCACCTTGGCGGTCCATGAGCTTGCCCTTGGTCTGGATGTACGAGTGAAGGACCGAGCCCGGAGGGTCAGCGAGCCAGCACTGGACCTTGCCGTTGCTCTTTTCCTTGAGGTAGCTGGTGATACCGGCGAGCGTGCCTCCTGTGCCCGTTGCGCAGATGAACCCGTCGAGCTTTCCGTCTGTCTGATCCCAAATCTCAGGGCCGGTGGTCTCGATGTGAGCACGGCGGTTGGCTGTGTTGTCGAACTGGTTGGTCCAGACGGCGTTGTCAAGTCGATCAGCATGACGCTTGGCCTGGTGGTTGTAGTTTTCCGGATTGTCGAAAGCGACGGCAGGGACTGGGTAGACTTCGGCGCCGAGCATACGCAACAGGTCGATCTTCTCCTGCGACTGGGTGTTGGGCATGTAGATGACGCACTTGTAGCCCTTGCTGCGGCAGACGTGAGCTAGACCGATACCAGTGTTGCCTGCAGTACCCTCGACGACGGTTCCGCCCGGCTTGATGAGACCACGCTCCTCCGCATCCTTGACGACGTAGAGCGCCGCACGGTCCTTGACACTTCCTCCCGGCTCCATGAACTCGGCCTTACCGAGTACCTCGCATCCGGTCTCGTCGCTGATCTTGTTGAGACGGATGAGCGGCGTGTTGCCGATGGCGCCCACAAAGCCGTTGACGGGACGCATGTGTGCGGCAGCGACGGGAGAGAGAGAGGAAGTGGAAGCAGCAGTCGCGACAGAGCTGTGAAGTGCTCGCACCGATGAACGAGCAAGTCCGACCAAAGATCTTGGAAGTGTGGAAGCCATTGCGGGATGCGCAATGGTTGCTAATGATCCCGAGATCGGATGAGGCTCCAAGTGAGATGTGTTTAATAAGCGAGCGAGAGAGAGGGAGAGAGAAAGAACTAGACAGGGAGCCGAGAAGGTGACTTGGACGGGCAAGCTGCGGAATTTAGGTGGTTCCGATTCCGTCTTCGCCTATTTCTTCTTAACGTCGAGGCGTGAGAATTCCCGACTGGCAGCCAGTTTCGCGGAGAAAAGCCGGGCTAGCTGGTGAGCCACACTACTTCTGCACCAAAACGAGCTGCTTGCTGAAATCGCACTCATTGCGATCGCACACTCGGTCTTGCCCCGATCTTGACTGGCTCAGCTTGTCACACTCTCAAAGACGAAAGAGCGGCAATGCAACGCACACGCGATGCTGCTCTTTCGGACGATGCGATGATCGTGTCTCTGCTTTTGCGATCATCTGATTCGCTGTTCGGCGATTGTCGTTCTTCTCCGTATGCACAATCAAAATGTCGCAATAATCAAGGCCTTTGACGCGTGCACACAGGCGAGTGACAAGGAATCGCCACTGCGGAGCAACTCCCACTCGCTGTCCCGCTCGACAGTTGATGATCTCGCTTTTGTGTTTGTGTCAAGGGCTTCGTTCTCAGTTACAGCATTGCATTACACGATCGCTCAATCGACTACACCAAAACCTCACGACTGGCAAGCACTGCACGTCCAAGGTCTGCATCAGGTTTTCATTGCGTGAGCACAAGGAACTCGAGTCTCGTGTTTACATTCTAGGTGCGTTGGCCGCAACGGAGCAGATCAGATCTACTGGTTGCGAACCCAAAGGTCGACAAACTCGTTGGCGGGCAGCTTGGTGAGCTTCTCGTGGTCCTCGAGGAGCGCAACAATCTCGGACTGGCGAGCCTCGGGGAAGAAACCCTTGAGGTGCTTCTGCAGCTTGCTCTTGATGAGCGGCTTGGCCTCATCACGACGACGCGCGTGGCCGACGGGGTAGTCGAGCGCGATCGAGTCGGTGGTACCGTCGTTGAACGTGACTTCGACGCTGTTGCCGATGGATCGCAGCTCGGGGTCAAGGTACTCGGTGGTGTAGCGAGCCTCCTCTTCGACCGACATCTTGTTTCGCAGCTCGTCGATCTTGGGGTTGCTGGCCACCTCGTCCGAGTAGTCTTCGGGGTCGAGTTTGCCGTTGATGAGACCCATGGCGGTAATGTACTGCAGCGAGTGGTCACGGTCAGCGTAGTTGTTCAGCTTGCCCGTCTTGGAGATGATGCGCACGGCGGCCTCCTGCGTCTTGATCGTGACGCTCTTGATGTCGTCCGAGGTCTTGCCGTTCTTCTGCATGCGGCCGTGCAGGACGATGGCGCCCTCGATGGCGGTCTGCGAGTGGAACTCGGCGGGGACCAGCTTGAAGAGGACGTTCTCCATCACGTACGAGCCGTAGGGGCGCTGGAACTTGAACTCCTTGCCCTTGAAGAGCACGTCGTAGAAGCCCCAGGTCTTGGCGGTGAGTACCGAGTTGTAGCCCATCTCGCCCTTCTGGACGAGCAGCGCCAGGTTGACGGCGCGCGAGCAGGCGTCACCGGCAGCCCACGACTTTCGCGAGCCGGCGTTGGGAGCGTGACGGTAGGTACGGAGCGACTGGCCGTCGACGAAAGCCTGCGAGACGACGTCGACGGTCTGATCGCGCGTGTTGCCGATCATCTTGGAGACAACGGCGGCCGAGGCGACCTTGACAAGGACGACGTGGTCGAGACCGACACGGTTGAACGAGTTCTCGAGCGCGAGGCATCCCTGGATCTCGTGGGCCTGGATGGCAGCGGTGAGCACATCTTGGACGGTAAGGGGCTTCTTGCCGTTGGCAATGTTGGTACGGCTGATCCAGTCGGCGACAGAGAGGATGGAGCCAATGTTGTCGGAAGGGTGACCCCACTCGGCGGCGAGCCAAGTGTCGTTGAAGTCGAGCCATCGGATCAGGGCGCCGTTGTTGAAAGCGGCACGGATGGGGTCGAGCTCATAGTTGGTACCGATGACACGGGCACCGTTGGGAACCACGGTGCCGGGGACGACGGGGCCGCAGATGTTGGCAGCAGAAGGGAAGCGGAGAGCCTCCATGGCGCATCCCAACGAGTCGAGCAGGCAGAGACGGGCAGTGTCGTAGGCGACCTGAGAGTCGATCTTGTAGTTGTGGACATAGTCTGCGATGTCCTGGAGAACCTTGTCGGCAGGAGGACGGACGTTGTCCTCCCCCTTGCCGATACCAGCGTGGCCACCCATGATGCGAGCAGAGGTGGAGAAAGCGGCGTTGCGGGGAAGCTTGGCGAAGGCGGTCTTGCTGGAGATCTGTGCGGCGGAGCGAGCGGCGACAAGGCTAGCTCGAGGAAGGGGAGAGGTGGAGATCGATCGAGCAGAGGTGGATCGAAGCGATGCAGCCAAGGTGGATTGAGAAACGAGTCGAGGCATCTGCGTTGCGCAAGCATCGAAGGAAGAGTACGTCAGTACGCGTGCACTTGCTGCAGAGTGTAAAGAGCAAGCAGTGAGAGGCAAAGACGCTCGCGTGCGTGCCGTCTCTGTCTAGTCGTCCTCCTCGTCGAAATGCCGAAATGGACTAGCAAGATCGAGTCGCGAGTACGCAGACCGACCATGCAACCGTTCCGACACCAATCTCGAGCCATGTAGAAAGGAGCGATACTTACGATCCGCTTGTAAAAAGAACCACTCGGCGAAAGAGGCTATCGGAGAGTGATAGGGCGAAGGAAGAGGTTGGGAGAGATGGTGTGAGAAGGAAGAAGCGAAGATCAGAAGCACACAACAAGTCAAGGAGAATTGACCGGCCGTGCCAAACCGAGGACAATTCACATGCAGCGGAGGGAGCCGACGAGCGCATTCAGAAGGATGGAAGAGCGCTTTGTCCAGAAAAGCCTAGCTGCAAGGACGCGGGGCAAGGCAGATCGCCAGTCACAAATCTGCGCCGAACATCTTCTCTCTGTGCTGGCGACGCACCAGCTGAAAATCCACCGGAAAAGATGCAAAACCGCAAAGTCCTGGAAGAAGTCGGGTCGGCTTTGGCGATTTGCCGGTTGCCAGCTCGAAGAACTAATTGAGCTTGCACAGCACGATCCGGCGTAGGTGCAGCTTTCGTCTCGAGACCCCACAGATGCGGATCCCCCTTTGGCAGCACGACCAGCGCCATACTTAGCGAGCAACAGCTCCCAGCTCCCAACTTCGTGTTGTAGAGTGAGGATGTTCTCGTCTTCGAGTTGGTTGCCTTCCTCCGAGTGTGACAAGGCCGAGCACGGCACGGACACCATCACGCATTTCCATCCCCAGCAAGCTTGCGTAGAGGCACAATATTCGCCTTGGGCTTCATGGGGAGTGCTTCAGGATCCGAGCGGTTGTAGGAGCTAACCTCAGACAAAGTTGCTCGAGCTGGAGCCGCTCGCTGGCTTGAGGATTTGTGCGGCTCTGGCAAGGCCTTGCTTTCGGAGATGCTCCTCGATCAGAAGGCACAAAAGCGAAAAGGGTCCGGACTGGAACGGGAGTTTGGGACGTCGGCGATCATTGGCGTGAAAGAGTTCAGCTCTCGATCGGCCCGATGTAAATCAGTCACTGTTTGGAAAAAGGAGCGATTTCAATCTCGACCAGCTGCTTTTAGACTCCGATGCCAAGAGAGCATCGGAGACTGTGGTGGAGCGGACTCACGATGCCGTACTACTGTACATTTGTACGGCACGCATGAGCCATGGATCTTCAGAAGCCGCACAGCAAGCTGTGCACGACCTACGGTGCTTGTTCACGCATGAGGAGCAATGTGTCGAACAGCCTGCAACCGAACGAAGAGCTCGCAACGCATTATCTTCGGACTTGAACGGCGATGTCTCTCAGACGTACCCCAGCATGCGACGTCCGCCAACCTGTCACGGATGCCGTGCCGGGCGGACCTAACCAGCCTTTGGCCACGGTGCCTGTCGCTGTGACGCAACATCATCTTCGACTGCAGCTCGACGACGAACCTCCAGCCTCCCAACTTGAAATGTTTGTCAGCTCAGATACAGTCATATCATATGCTAGCCTTTCGTCCATGCCGCTCCCCCGACGCAGGTAGCGTGCGAGATCGTCCATGCTCTGCGCGTCTCTGCTTCGTTTGCTAGATTCGGTCTGTCTGTCTCGAGTGCTTTGTGTGATGTCCTGATTATTTGCAATTTTGCGATTTTGGGTTGGAACTCGTAAAATCATGTCGCAGCGGCATTTTGAGTGCCATTCGAACGTGGCTGGATTTCTGCTGCAGTGCGTTGGCAGCTTGGGGTTTGCAAATCGGCCAAAGTGCCGACTGCATTCGACGCTGACGCCGTCGCTGAATATCGAATCGCACAGCATCGTGACAAACTCTGACTAGTTCTCTCCTCATCACATCCATTCCGCTCCAAAGCGTTCGCAGGCTGGCAACGTCTATCATTGCACCCACTGCGTTTCAGGCTTTGTCTCGCATACCTGTCTTCTTCGCAAAGTGACCTCGTTATCACAACCCCGTCGTCCTTGCAACCTTGCATCACTGGCACCGATACACTTCTCGGTCATCACATCGCCTCAACGTCGCTCGATCGCGCTCGATTCATCCTGGCCTCATCGATCTACCGTCCGTGTGTTCCAGCAGAAGTCTCTCCGTTTCCAAGTTAGCTGACTGCTCAACGCCGGTCTGCATTCCGTCCTCCCATTTGGTAATCCGGTGTGTCTTCCAACGCTGCCCATTCCTTGGTCGACAAACGTACGTCTCGACTGTCACCGTGGCATCGGTATCGGCATCGTTCCGAAAGAGGCATTTCACCCCACGTAGCCTTCCGACCTCCAGCGCTGTACCCACCCCTCTCTCTGAGTCAGCATGACCGACTCGGCCCCGTCGTCAGAGATGGAGCGCCTCACCGCCCAGATGAGCCTTAAGGACACTCCCCAGAACGCGACGGGCGGCCCACCATCACGGCCCTCGCCTTCGTCGGGAGCAGCGCCATCGCTTCGACCGGCTCCTGGCACCGCCGGAACTCCGAGCGCAAGGTCGCCCAACACTGCTGTGGGTGCCGCAGAACGCGCTCGTCAGATGGCAGGTGCACGCCTCCCTCCCAGTCTGCAAGCCAAGCTCGCCGCCAACGCGAATCGATCCACCGCATCTCCCAACCCCGGCCAATCCGTCATGGGCCACGATCAGCGCATCGACAGCAACGCCAGCGCCTCGCTCTTCGTCTCGGCAAGCAGTCGACCCGGGACATTGCCCGGCACAGGCATGGGCGGCCTCGCTGCCCGTAGAGGTGTTCCCGGTGCGCTCGGCGGGCCCTCCGCAGCCACGCCCCCAGCATCGTCAGGCGCAGCCATGGGCGCACGACGCAATCGACCCGGCCTCAAACTCAGCGACATGGGCATCGGCTCCGCGGATGGGCTTGACGCTGCCAATTCACAAAGAGGTGGCATGGGTGCCGGCGCTGGCCGTCGAGCACCACCGCCAGGGCGTCTTCCCGAAAGTTCCGGTTCCGGCAAGTCTGACGAGACGGGGACACAGCAGAACGGAGACGCCATGTCGACTCCCTTCAGCAACTTTTCCAAGATTGTCGACCCTTCAGGTCGACTCAACTTCGGCGGCAAAGCCGTGCTTCACGCTTCCGGTGTCGAGTTCGGTAACGGCACTTCCTTCAAGATCAACATGGCCGAGCTCGAGCTCCTGGACGAGCTCGGAAAGGGCAACTACGGAACCGTTCGCAAGGTACGACACACCAAGACCCACGTAGAGATGGCCATGAAGGAGATTCGTCTCGAGTTGGACGAGTCCAAGCTCAATGCTATCATCATGGAGCTCGATATCTTGCATCGAGCCACTGCACCCCAGATTGTTGAGTTCTACGGCGCATTCTTCATCGAGTCGTGCGTCTACTATTGCATGGAGTACATGAACGCCGGCAGTCTCGACAAGCTCTACGGCGAGCGCGGTAGCGTACCCGAAGACGTGCTCGCACGCATCACCGGCAGCATGGTGCGCGGTCTCAGCTTTCTCAAGGACGAACTGCAGATCATGCACCGCGACGTCAAGCCGACCAACGTGCTCATCAATCGCCGGGGCCAGGTCAAGTTGTGCGACTTTGGCGTCTCCGGGCAACTCGAAAAGTCGCTGGCCAAGACCAACATTGGCTGCCAGTCCTACATGGCACCCGAGCGTATCAAGGGCGAATCGCAAAACCTGCTGGGTACCTACACGGTCGCCTCGGACGTATGGTCGTTGGGACTGTCGATGGTGGAGACGACGCTCGGCACCTATCCGTATCCACCCGAGACCTACTCGAACGTGTTTGCGCAGCTCCAGGCTATCGTGCACGGCGATCCTCCCGAGCTGCCCAGCGAGACGTACTCCGAGACGGCGCGCGATTTTGTAGCGAAATGCCTGGAAAAGATCCCTGCTCGGAGACCAACGTACGCGCAATTGCTGCAGCACAATTTCCTCAAACAGGACGCGGCCAAGGGCGAGGATGGTGTGGATATGGTCGGATGGGTGGAGAGGGCCATCGATGCGAGATCGAAGAAGAAGGAACTGGCCAACGGTTCCTCGGCTCCCGGATCATCGTCAACGCCGACCGAGGCATGAAGGACACAATCGTGTCACTGCATTTATTCATTTACTCACGAATCTGATCAGATCGCTCAACAAGCATGACCACGCATCTATACACCATGGCAAATCATGCTAATTCACCATCTGGCCAAAAAACCCTGTGCGCAGCGCTACGCTTCACAATTGCGAACACAACTGGGGTTGAATTGACACCTTCGATTGCATCAGCAAGAAACTCATGTCGCAGAGTAGTAGTGGTACTCGTCGATGAGCGGAAGGTAATCGCTCAGAACACCACCGACCATGCCAATGAGGAACTTGCCCTGAGTACGATCCACCATGCCTGACAGTTTGGGACGCGTGAAAGAGTACCACAGGGGTCCGCGCAGCAGGTACCACCAGAACGAGTTGCCCCTCTTGGACCATTCAGCTTCTTCCACCGCTGAGATGGGTCTTTTGGCCTTGTCGGCTGGATTACCGCCCATGAATACAGAGGCGAGGATCGAGGTGAGCGGGTTCTGGCCCATCATAGCCGCAAGAAGCGGGTTGGTGGCGAAGAGTCCCTTGGGTCCGGGTGTGGAAGGAGCAAAGGATCGGTTGCGCAGCTCCTTGGCAAAGTACTCGAGAGCGAACGAAAGCACAAAGGGTAGCGTCGCCGTTCGTCCCCACTTTCGCAGGGCTAGGACGTAGATGAAAGGTCGAAGGATCCAGAGAACCTCTGCCAGATGACCGGTACGATTGCGAAGAGGACGTACGAGCTCTTCGGGTTTGCGAACGTCGTTGACTGTGAGCACGCGAGAGAGGAGGTAGTCGTTGATCTGCGACTCGGACCAAGGCTTCATGTTGACAGGTGGTGTTGGTGGATCTTTTCGGAGCGTAGTGGAAGACTGTGAGAGTGCATCGTCGTTGGCCGGTGCGCGTGGAAGCGTGGTGGAGGCTTGGAGTCGGGTCGAGTCAACCAGCGTGTCGTCAGTGTCGGAACCGGACTGGCCGGCGTTGATGCGCAAAGCTCGCAGGTGCGGTGGTCGACGATCCGGCTCCGAGGTGGGCGCGAGTGGGTCCGCCTCTACATCATCGAATCCAGGTCGAAGAGAAGCAAGCGTTGGACGTAAGAGACCGGTACGGGACCCCTTCCAGTAGCCCTTGGGTGGCTGAGCAACCGAGGTAGAGAGGGCGGAGCTCGAAGAGGCTGCAGCGACGTCGAGTTTGTCAGCCAGCTTGCCCATAGTCTTTGCCCGTTCCTGCTCAAGCGCAGCTGGATCCACCTCGCGTTCGGGGATAGGAGGATGGATGGCCATCCTTGATCCGGTCATCTGGACCAAGCTCAAGCGAAGCACCACCTTGAGTGCTTCGATAGCAGCGACGACGTCCCAGGCTTTTCTGCGTCCAAGCTTCCTTCGAGCGAGCATCTCTGCAAGCAACTCAAAGTAGCCCACGACGACCAACGTCCTCGCTACGCGATTATAGCCTTTGGATCTGCGCGAAAAGTGGTGGGTGTATCTGGCATGTTCGGAGGGTGTCAGGCCGGTGAGCGCATTTGCGTCGAGCGGAGCGGGGCTGGACGGAAGGGAGTTCTTTTCCGAGGTGAATGCTTGCTTGCTGGAGACGGCGAGTGGATTCTGCTTTTCGAGTGCGCGCGCAAGGATGGAGTCGTGGTAGAGTCCCAGCAGATTGAGCGAGGCGTAGATTGCTTCTCCGGCGAGCTCGGCATCTTTGAAGCGACCGGGAAGGAAGTAGGTGATGGAACGGAGCGAGCTCTCGACGGCGGTGATCTGGGAAGCGTTGTTGAGCAAGAAGTCGTCGTACTGCTTGAAGAGCGCCATGCTGAGCGGTGGTGTGAGCTGCGAACCAGCTGCAGCCGAGAACGATGATAGTGTCGGTGACGAGAGACGGTAATATCGTGGGGAAGACGTGAGCTAAGTCAACGAGCCGGGTCGGCTTGTACCGCGCAGTTGCCGAGCGCGCACGACCTGCTTCGCCGAATACTGTAAAAAGGTTGAAAGAGCAAGACGGAGCAAGACAGTATCGCCAGATTACACGAGGTTGGATTTTCTCAATCGGGAGATCACACATTTCCTCATGCCATTTCATCCAATCTGGATCGCTCCGAGCTCGGGTGAAATGGCACGGTGCTTTACACGGACGCCCTTGAGCCGCGTGCAGATAGAAGCGGGCACTGTACCGATGTGTCCCTCCGACGGTACGGATGGCGTTTTGGCAACCTGGCTGCGTGCCGTTCGCTACGCCCTAACGGAAGCGGCGAAAGTTGAGGCTGGATCGGCGATTAGCAAGCCTCGAGGGAGGATGGCTCATCGGATGTGGTATCGACTCCCTTGCCTTTACGTACCGGTAATGCTGCATTCCCAGAATGATGCGGCGACCAATCTACAGTAAGCTCAATCTTTTTTATTTTTCGTCATGCAGGTGGACAGCCGGTCCACGTTCCATGAGTTCTGCCGTCCACCGTCATCTGCTGGAATTTGTGCCTTGTCCCCACAATCAAAATTGATAGCAGAGTTGCCGATTCTTTCAACCAGAATTTGAGCTTGCTGGGGAACAATCCCACTCTGCAGGTTTTAGCGTCTAATTTTTCGTTGACAAAAAAAAGGCTCATCGCCTATCTGTTGTCCATCCAACGTTTTGAGTCTCACTAAACTTAATCGGCGACTCCGTTGTACAGTGTCGCGGATGGAAGCTGTGGACGTGATCGCAGAAGACGTCAGGGAACAAGGCGCGGCCCAGTCTACGTTGTGGAAAGCGTAGTGAGAGGGCGAGAGTGCGGCACTGATTCCCGTCGGCTGTCACGCGGAAGATTGATGCATCAGCCGACGTCGGGACTTCCACCACCGACGTGTCTCAGGGACAACTGCTGAGGCGGAGCTAAGCTGAGCTCCAACCAGCGTGCCCGTCCGACCTCCCTCTTCGCCCGCCTGAATCGCCGTCACTATCATCATCGCCATCACCATCACGATCGTCCGTCATCGGCTCGTCCGCCACCAGGCTGCCCCTGCCTCCGTCGGCAGATCCCGCAGCCAATTCTGTGGCCTGCATCGCACTCCGGCCTGTAACTTTTGCACTCGTCTGGAATACAGGACTCGGATCTCGCTCCTCTGATGTGCATACCTCTCGACACAGTCCATCACTGAATCCATTCGGTCCCCTGGCATCATCTCGCCACCTCGTTACCACCGCCGGTCGCGCCTGTATCGTCGACATCATGGTGTCAGCCCCCTTCCGTGGCTCACAGGCCGCTGATAGCCAGCCAGGACCAAGCAGCTCACCAATGCTCGCCATCAACAATGCCAAACCGCAAACCACGAGGGCCAGGGCACCTTGGCCGTTGGATACCCTCTGGTCCAGCTCGAGCAAGAGATCCTCTTCCTCAAAATCACGTTCGCCAGTCTCTCCTGCTCTCGGACACTCTTACGACAGCGCCACGGGCCTCGACGCGCACCAACATAACGACTTCGCCGACTTGCCCCTAACACCCCCCGACTCGGGTGCTTCTGCTTTCGAACTTCGCGCCAGTGCCCACCCCTCGCTGGCAAGCTTGCAACCCGAAGCGGTTCTCATGTCGACCTCCGCTGCCGCTGTTCCTCCTCGAACTCCCGTTCTTCTGTCTGACGATCTCGCCCAGTCACCACAGAAGGCTCGCAGCAAGAATGACATCTTCAACTCTCCTGTCACCTGGTTGACGCCCCCATCTCGCCCTAATGTATCGCTCGCAGCGGGTTCACAAACGGCCTCACCGCCTCCATCCCGGAACTCGCTTTTCTTCTCATCCTTTGGCTCCAGCTCTCCCAGACCTCCATCACCTCCATCGCCTCTCCCTTCTTCGTCTAGACGCAGTCCAGTTAAAAGCTCGTCAGCCAGCTCAGACTGCGATCCTTTGCCACCTGTACCAAGAGCGCCGCTACAACACGCCCCGCCAGAAATGCAGAAAGCCACGGGGCGCAAGAAAGGGCACACGCGCAACTCGTCATTAGGACGCGCCAGCTCAGAGGAATGCCTGGAGGAGGAAGCAAGGATCAGAGCCACAAAGCATGTCGACTTTCGACTCTGTCCGACCAGCGACTTTCTTCTTGGTGAAGGTCGTCACTGCTCCGTGTATCTGGGCAGCTATCGTCCTCGTCCAGAGGCAGCCGCACCACCTACCATTCAGCAATCGGCATCTACCAGCGCATGGAGGCTCTGTGCTGTCAAACGCCTCCATGCAGATCGTCAGAGCCAGCTCCTGGGACTCGAGGAAGCCTTTGCGCTTCGTCGTCTAGGAACGCATCCCAATATTATTCAGCTTATTGACATTCGCGACGAAGTCGAATTCACAGCATCGCCTCGTCACACTCCTCAGCCGTTACCCGATCCGTCTAGGGCCCCTCGCCCCGCGAGCAACAACATCGGTCTAGGTCTGCCGAAACTCGAACATCGTGGACCCAGTCCTGCGGATGGCGCCAACGGTCACTCAAACCATTCCAGATCGACGAGCGACATGACTGGAAGGGACGAGCTGCTCAGCGAGACGCAGTCACTCAAACGAGCCTTGGCGTACGAGAAGCAACACGAAGCCCTTCTCGCGCGTGGCATTCTCCACGAAGCCGATCCCTCTCCTTTGTCCTCGCAGAAGACACGTGTCAGAGTCAGCACAGCTGAGATCCCGCGCACTGCGAATCTGCCCACGCCAACATTTCTCGTACAAGGCCCCGACGGCGATGACCTCAACAACAGACACATCCGCAGTCAAGCTGGTACTGACACCAATTTGCGCAAAACTCCTGCCAACACCATCGATCCCCCGCGCCTTCTCATGCTTCTCGAGCTTCTCCCCAACAACCTCGCCCTGTACGCCAGAAAGCACACCCAACGCATCGATCTGCAGCAATGGTTCGAATGGGCGCTTCAGATGGCAGAAGCCGTCGTCTTCCTGCACAGCAAGGGCTGCGTTCATGCCGACATTAAGAAGGAAAACATGCTTTTGACCGAAGACCTCGACATCAAGCTCTGCGACTTTAACTCTGCCGTCTTTCCTAACCCGAGCGACCCGCCGCGCGACGGCCTCGGGCTCGGCACGCCAGCGTACTGCGCCCCGGAGCTGAGTCGGGCCACGGGCGGTCCTGGTGCTACGAGCTTCTCGTATCCGATCGACATCTTCTCGCTGGGCGCCGTGCTGTACTCGCTTGCCACCGGCTACGAGCCTTTCAGCAAGGCCCGCAGCGTGGTCGAGATGCTCCACCGCAAACGTCTCTTCTTTGAAAGCGAGGAGAACGACCGGGCATCTCGCCTGGCAGTGGAAGCGGGTAGCAACCCCAACAGTCAACCTGCAAGTCGCAGTGGGAGTCTGCGCGGCCGACACTCCAAGAGCTCATCTTCGACCTACAACGACGCTCCCTTTGCTGGCCCTGCATCGCCTGGGTCACTGACATCCTCGCTGAATCGATACCTGCAACGCAGTTCGCCTACGCAGACACGTCGCGACGCTAGCAACGACAGTCTCGAGAGTGTCGCCTCGACCATCACCACCATCTCGGGACGTAGTCCGAGCTCTTTGGCTGTAGCACGCCTGCTCGAACCCACCGACGAGCCACGTGGCCTTCTCGTCGACCCGAATGGCCCTTCCCGCTCCGGCTCACTTCTCCGCGATCTGAGTCGGTCTTCCGCGGTGCGCCGAACCGCGTCGACGGGCGGACGCAAAGCCATGGCCGCTGGCATCACAGACTTGCAGAGGCTCCGCGCAAACGGAGAGATTGGTGTGGATCAAAGCAATAGCGGGAGCGCTCCCACGTCAGCAGTTGTTCCGGACCTAACGTCCATCCTCAAGCCCACTCCGGCGGTGTCCAAAGTCACCCTGCTTGAACTCGCATCTCGACCCGATTGGCTGCGTAGACGCTCGTCCTACGGCGACGAACTCAAATCAACCTCCTCGACCATTGCATACCCCTCATCAGCGGCACCGATCTCGGAGCACACCATCGATGGCAGCCGAAGCATCGATGAAGGGCTGTCGACAACACCGACAAAGCCGAGTCGATTGCGCACCATGTTTTCGCACACTTCGACGGGCGCTTCACAGGTCAGCTCCTCGACGGAAGGTTCGTCCGCTTCGTCGCCTTTGGAGCAGACAAGGTGGCATGAGTCGTCGGGCAAATCAGGCGCAGACACGCAAGCGTACGAAGATGGGCATCCGGCCATCATTCTACCCGGAGGTGGAAGACTTCCAGATAGGACACGCGATCTGCTTCGATCCATGTTGCAGGCTGATCCTTCTGCCAGACCCACTGCCGAACAGGTGCGACAACGTCTGCAGGCGTACATACAGCAGCTGTAGTGCACTCATCACGATCGAACCTGCTAAACTTATACCCCACACACTTGATCATTCTCGCCTGAGTAACACTCTCCGATTATCGACTCCACCCCGTGACTGTGAATTCTGCAATGCGCTCAACTGAAACAAACATAAGTGGTGATGCGGGTATGAGGTGCTTGTACGAAATGCTGCTGAATGCTAGATCCACTTGAGCCAAGCCTGCTTTGTGTCGGACGACATCTTTTCGACGATCACCTTGACGATGCCCTTGGAAGAGTCCGAGGTCGGCTCTGTGCTGTCCTCACGATTCGAGTTTTCGGCCGATGGTCTGACCGCAGTGGGATGTGGAATGTGCGGCCTGAATGCTTTCCCGTTTGTCTCTTTGTCCTTGCCCGTGTCACTTGAGGATCCGCCGACGCCACTTCCCTGCCGAAGAACAGATTCGATCGTCGGCACGACTCCTCCTTGCCTCGAACGGATGACCAACCCTGTGGACGGCGTCTTACTTTGCCGCTCGCGAGCTTCGTCATCGTCCTCCTCTTCTTCTTCAGAAAGCACCTCGCCTTGGCTGTGCAAGTCGTACAAGGATCCGTACATGCCTTCTGCTGGTCTCGAAGCTGACCTCGACCTAGGCCAGCGCGAAGCACCGTTGATGCGAGCCCCGGGATCGGAGACGATCGAGCTCGCAAGGTCGTAGCTCCTGTCATTCTCGCTCCTGCCAGCGTCCTCGGAGCTCTGGCGCTGAGTGGCGGAAGGCCTTTTGGGCTGCGCCAGGTTCGCAGCATCATCGTTGGAGATGGTGCTTGAACGCTTGCGGTTGCGGAAAAAGGTGAGTTTCGTGCCCTGCTTTCGTTCGCGGTCGAGTCCCTCGAGCACCTCAATGCCAGTTCGGCCAAGGACGCTGTCGTTGTTGACGTCGAACTGCCTGGCGCTTCCTGCAGCTATGTCGCGTTGTCTTCGAGAAAAGGATCCGACGTCCTGCGCGGAAGCGAATCGTTGATGCCGCACCGTCTGCGGACGCGACGACTTGGGTGAGCCCGAGTGCACCCCTTCCGAGGTTGCTTCAGCTTGCATGTTGTCCTCAAAAGTCGAAGTGTGTGGTAGCGACGATGACACGCCCGTCGACACCACAGCCTCCCCCTCCTCGACGAGCTCCTCTTCCGAGTCTAGCGTGACCTGGCCACCTGATGCTCGAAGGAGAGCCTTCTTGTACGACTCGGACGCCCGCATTCCGATGGGCCTTCTCTCCCTCTCGACTACGCCGGAAGAGATCGTTCGTGATATGGCAGGTTTGGACGTCGCTTGGTTCGGGAAGCCTGGAGATCGCGACGCGCCCAAAACGGGCACCACTTGGGCGTTCGAGTCCAGCGGGACCTTGAGGCCTTGCAGCCTTTCGAGCTTGTCAATAGGATATTCCTGCACTTCCTGGCGTATCAGCTTCTTTTCGCGCGCGCACAGGTCGAGAGGACCCTCGTCGGGGTCCTGCAAGCTCTGCACGAGATTCCAACCTTGACCTCGCATGACGCTCATTTGCCTCTCGAATTTTGATTCGTCAAAGTAGGGATCCTTCTCGAAGATCTTGCGAAGCCCTTGAGAAGTGCGCTGCCACCAGACGGGATCGTTGAGTATGGGCAAGAGGTGGTCGCGTGTGGCGTCGGAAAAGGGCAATCCGATAAGATCGCTGGGGAGAAACAACCAGCCGAAGGGATACTGCCGGATCTCGTTGGGGTGCTTGATGGGAAAGGACAGGGAATTGTCGATGGCGCCGATCTTGATCTCGTCCCTTTCCGGGTCGTGCTTGATCATGAAGTTGTCCAAGCCGCGATCGGTGTTGCGCATGAGGAAATCGAGGACGACGAGCTTCTCGAGCTGGAGACGAAACTGCTCCATTCGATTTGGTGTCCAGTAGAAGACATCGGGCTGATCGGAAAGAGCATCTTGACCGTCCACGGGCGAGTCTCGGGGCAAGGACGGATGGCAAAGATCCGGCTCATCTTGATCGTAGAGGTCATCCCATGAAGGCCGGCAAAGCAAGGAGCGCTTGATGGCCACGCCGCAGTTGCGCAGCCGTGCTCGCTCCTTCTTGCGGCTGACCTTGTGGGCTCGGCTCTCGTCGTCCATGTCGCGCATCAGCAACGTTCTACTGCGAGCGCGCGACGGCCATGGATGCCTTCTGAGGAACTCCGAGGCGTTGACGTAGCCTCTGAGAAAAGTCTGGTAGCTTCCGATCTTGTCGGGAAGGGGCACGCGGTCTCTGTCGAAAGCGAGGCGGTCATTGTATGCGTAGTGGAAGGAGGGTGAGGATATCTCGACAAGCTCGGTCCTCGGAACCATGCGAAGCGCCAAACGAGCATCGAGATATGAAGCGCCGACTTCGGAGAGGTAAGAGAAGTTAGGAATCAGACAAGGTCTGCCCATGGCCCACCAGAGGTACTTGCGTGCAAATTGGCGTTTCGGATTGAGATTGCCGTACGGCTCTTCGTCCTTGGGCTTGAAGACGGCGACGGTGGTTAGCGATGGCGGCTGCGAGGATGAGGCCTCTAATTGCGGATGGGAGGCGGGCTCGTCGATGACGCGAACAAAGTAGGAACCGCTTGAGCCGGTGGTGATCATCTTTGGATAGATGCCGCACTTGATCGCATGCTTGACCCGTTCCACCTGACGCTGAAACTCTTGCGAGGACATCGATGTAGCTTCGTGCGAATCATTGTCGCGAGCTGCGGCGTGTTTGTCGTCGAGAACGGCTTGAGCCAGGCCAGGGCCGTCGAACTGGGTGATGAGGAGGGTCGGCTTTGTATCGCGGTCACCTTTGCCGCGAAACTTGCGAGCGACTGCGGCCTTCCACTTGCGCAATCGTGCGTCGAAGTCCAGATCGTCTCCTTTGAAGCTTTCTAGGGGGCGAGAGCCACCTTGACCGTCGCTAGCTCCGGCCTGCCGGGACAGCAGAGGCGCCCGCTCAACTTCCTCGAGTGTAGCCATTGCGGCCGTGCTGCCTAGCGAAGGTCTCCGACTGCGGAACTCGATCACAGCTCAGAACGAAAAGATGGTCGCAGCATCAACATTCCACCTTGTCGGATAGTTATGGTGGTCGATCAGATGCGAAGCGAACGCATCGCGACCCAAGTCAGCTTCGCGGGGACCCTCGTCTGTAGCCGTGCATTCGCGCTAAGTCGAAAATGACGTCTGAACCCTTTTTCGGGATGAAGCCCAGCGCGGCACAGCCGCTCTTCTCCCTCCCTGGGACCATCTCACAGCGAGTTGGAGCATACACCTTAACATCGAATGAAAAATCATCCTCAGGGTCCAACTTGTGGCTTGCGCGAAATAAACACTCGCCTGCCACGGTCGAGCTGCAAGACTCTCTGGCCTCCGAGCTGGGAGAGGTAACAGCCCACGCGGCCAAAAACGCAAGAGGTGCTGCCAATGTGTCACACACCTCCTCGCTTCATTCTTGTCTTCCCTCCTTCTCGTTTGTGTCCTCGCCTGTCCCGCAGCACACTCGATCGTCAGTCTATTGCAGTGCAAGTATCGAGCGTATCAAGTCAGGGTAGTGCGCGCCTCCCCTTCCTTATTCAACTTGGCTTGCCCGGTTGGACCCAGTGACCATGTCGTCGGGCATACCGACCACGCCCAACAGCACGCACCTGCGCTCGGGTCTGCCGACGCCATCAGGAGCATCGAGACGCATCTCGCTCGCCGCCAATTCCGGTCCCAGTCCTGGATCGGATAGTCCTGACACTCGATTCAAAAAGCAAACGCTTGCCGAAGCCATCTCGAAGAACGATCCGGCCAAATATCGCCTCTCCAATCCGTCACCTTCGTCTGTCTCCTCTCCCGCCGGCAAGGAGAACAGTGATGCGGACGACAACTCTCCGCTGCTGACAGCCGGTCGTCTTCCACGCACCTCTTTGTTGTCACGCAAATCACACACATCGCTTCGGTCCGACACACCGCCAGTCAGAGCAACACCGCTGCCACAGACTTCGCCATCTGCCTCCGATGTTTCGCCAGGCTCCGCCAGCTCGCTGGTCCGTAGCAGAAGCCCATTCGCATCGTCCATTGCCAGCTCATCGAGAGCAGTAGCCACCCCGAAAAGATACTCGGATGTTCATGGACGCGCCGGCTTCACCCCGTCCGCCATCAGTAGGACTCCATCCCATACCTCATCCACCACCGCCTCGCGCGCGAGGGAGCACATTCGACGAGGACGAGAGCTCGAGATTGGAGATGTCGTTCGCATGGATGGTTCCGAGCTCGTCGGCGTCCTTCGTCACCTCGGGCCTGTCGATTTCAAGCCTGGTTTCTATGCAGGTCTCGAGTTGACAGGTGATAGCGTAGGCAAAGGAAAGAACGACGGTAGCGTACAGGGTACACAGTACTTTGCGTGTGCTCCAGGAAACGGCGTCTTTTGTCCAGCATCCAAGGTTGTTGCCATCAACGATGCTCCTCCAACCGATGCAGTCGCACGACCTGCCTCCTCCATGTCCAACAGGCCCTCATCCCGCGCATCGGATGCACCAGATCGTGCAGGCGCCATCACACCCTCACGCAGACGAGCGAGCGTCATTTCACGTCCGCCTTCTGCCACGCCATCCCGCACGTCTTCGCGCCTCAGCACTCGCCCTCCTTCCGCCGCCTCTGTCATCAGACCCACATCCGCGCTAAGCACATCGCGCCCCGCCAGTCGTCTCACCGCACGCAAGAGTTTAGCTCCTACTCCCACAAGCCGTGTCGATGATCATCCAAGCCTTCCAAATCCCGCGCAGACCAGCCCGGTTCGTAGTGCTGTACCCACCACGCCGTCGTTGGCTGCAAGAACCCCTCGATCGTCACTTGCTGGCGTGCGCGCTGCCTCGAGCGTCGTTCAGAACACTCCCGTCCTTGCCAAGAAGCGGCAAAGCCTCGGCGGCATTCCGACGCCTCGGGCCACTAAGGGTCGTGCTTCTATGTTTGCTCGCCCCGGTGGCCTTCCAACCTCCTCTGACGCCAGCATGCCTCCGCCTCCGAGTCCCAGCAAAGATGCACGCACAGAGCGCGCATCCAGCGTGCTCTCTTTCCATTCCAACAGCAGACTCGGTCGTGACGCCTCGGATGTCGAGAGCTCGCCCGTCTCCAAGCCAGAGCCCACTTCCAGCGACTCAAATCTCGAGAAGAATCGCGCTGCGCTTCTCGACCTTATGGATCTCACACCGCGCAAATCGGCACAGCTTGCTTCCCGCTCCCAATCCAGGGCAGAAAGTCGTGCAGGTGCCCGCGATGGAGATCTGACGCACGACTCTGTCGCTGAAGCTGTCGTGCCGCTATCCCTCTACGAAGAGCAAGTGACTGAGTTCGAGCAGCTGCGCAGCCAGATGGCAGCCCTCGAAAGGCAGAACGCCGAGCTTCGTCGGGCTCAAGAAGCTCGCAAGGCGCGTGCCTCTGAGGCACGTTCCAACGAGGCTGTCTTAGAGGCCGAACGAGCAAAGATGCGAGCGCAAGCACGCGATAGGCAAGCAGAGATGGAGGAGGAACGTCGCATCGAACGCAGCGACGAAATTCGTCGACGCAAGGAGATCGAGGATCGCGAAAAGGAGCTCAGAGAGAAGCTTCTAGAGGCGCAGCAGCAGCTCAGCAAGAGCATTGACGAGCACGATCGCCACCGCAAGGAAGCCGAAAGCCGCTCGAAGAATCTGCAGCTCAAGTTGGAAGCCAGCGAGCAGCTCGTTGCAGAAATGAAGGATCGCGTTCAACACCAATCAGCGCTCGAACAACGCGGCGAGACCAAGGAAGCCTTCGAGACACAGCTTAAACTCAAGGACGCCGAGATCAACAGTCTCAAGGCGTCGCTGAAGAGCACCGAGGATCAGGCACAGACGGCTCGAACCGATTTGGTGCGCCAGATTGACGAGCTCAAGGATGCCGGCCGCGAGACCATCAGCCTGTATGAGCAGAGGATCGAAGAGATCGAAGCCGAGCGGATCCAGGTCCTGGACAACATGCAGCTGCTCCAGGACAAGGCTCAAGAGGCGATCCGCGCTGCCGAGGCGCGTGTCGAAGAATTACAAGCTTCTTCGAAATTGTCGCAGAGTCGCAATGGCTTTGAGGTTGGTTCGGCCGCAGCGATCGACAACGAAGCTTTGCGAGAGCAGGTGGCCCATCTTCAGGACAAGCTCGGCAAGTACGAAGACCAGATCTCTGAGGGTGCACTTGCGCTCGAGAAGGAGAAGGAGTACGCGCAAAAGAGGCGCGACAAGTCGCACGAGGTCGAGACCAGCTTGAAGAACGAGCTGAAGCGCATGCGAGCGGAGCTAGAAAGGGTACAAAGAGCTGGTAAGGAGCAGCTCGTGCTGCTCGAAGAGACAAGGCACGCGCTGCGCGAAAGTCAGCAGGCACTAGAAAGCGAACGCGCCGAGCTGGAAGGCTTGCGCGCTGACGCCGAGAACTTCAATGCGCTCAAGACCGGCCACGAGGGGAGCTCCGCCTCCGCCGGTCAAGCGCAGTGGGCCAGCGAGAGACGACAACTCGAGGCCAAGCTCGAGCAACAGCGGACGTCGACGGACGCAGAACTCGAGGCGCGGGATGCCGAGATCCGACGATTGCAATCCCACTTGGACGCAAGCTCCCCTGTCGACAAGCGGGATGCACGAGGCTCGTCCACCGGCTCGAATGGCACTTCGTCAGCCAACGAAATGTCTGGTCTCAGCTACCTGGTGCGTCAGCTGGGCGACGAAAACATTGACATGAAGGCCAAGCACAAGCTTCTCGAGTCTGACCTCAAGGCACGCACCCAGGAGGCGGAGACCAGGTCGCGCGCCTTGCAGCTGACCGTCGAGTCGCTCAAGAAGCAACTCGAGGCGCACGAAGGGGTGTCAGGTGCAGCAGACACTTCGGACCTGGCCAAAAAGCTTGCCGACCGGGAGGCACGGCTGGAGAGCAGCGAGAGCCGTCTGGCCGACTTGCAATCCATGCTAGCGGTCACCAAGATGGACAGGTTCGATACCACGGACTCGTTGCAGAAAGAGGTCTCGCAGCTCGAGACGCTCGTCGAGGCGCGCATCTTCCGAGAGGAAGAGCTGATGGCCGAAGTTGAGCGACTCTCGCGACGTTTGGACGAGCGCAGTCCCGCCAAGCAGTCGAAAGCTGTGGCAGCTGAGAAAGAGGTCGCCAGTGTCAAGGCTCACGCCTCAGCGACGCAGCCGCCAGGAAAGACGCCAATGAAGGAGGAGGAGGAGGACGACGAGCTCGACTTTTGTGGACTCTGCTCGCAACGCGGACATACTCTGGAAAAGTGCGACAAGCTCATGGAAAGGACGGATTCAGGAGCGCAGAGCACACGCAGCGCTTCGGGAGCGCAAGGGGAGCAAGAGCCCTGCGATGATTGCGGCGAATTAGGTCATTCCTTTGACGAGTGCCCTTATGCAGCCGAGATCTTTTGAAGAGGCGTTTGCTTGTACGATGCTCGATCAAACCCGTCGGACAAGATCGAATCTGTCTCTGACATGACGGCGAATACAGATGACAACAGCAAAAGAACCCCGAACTACTTGTGAGCTCCCACAAAAGGGAGCAAATTGAGCAGATTCACAAAGGTGTGCGGTCAATTAATGGTACCGTATTTATCAGGGCCTTTTCTTTGCCCTCGGAGTCGTTATTTGGGCGTGCGTGAATTTAGCAGCTGCGACCTTTTCACTGAGCGGGGCTTCCTCTGCGGGCTCGTGGTGATCTTGTGTCGAACAACGGTTGCATCTTAGCTAGACGATCTATCGCAGGCTGATCAAGGCCCCATTCGAGCAACTATGGGCGAAGGGCTGTGTCAGAGATCGAGGTGTTCAAGGGAGAGAGCCAGGAAGCCAAGAGTCCAAATGTAACAATTCAAAACAAAGAAAGAGGCACGTGACAGCACGCGAGACCACCGCGTACTGCAACTCGCTCCTCTGTTCGCGACGAATCACCAGACGCGTCTTGAAGACAGCAAAGATAAGTAGGGACTACCAAAAAAAAAGAAAAAAAGAAAAGCAAAGAAAAGAATCGACTTGGATCCATTCGCTTGGGTCAGACGGACGGTCCCTTCTTCATTGGTTGAGTCAGGGAACCCATTTGAGGGCTGCAGTGCTGCAAACTGTGAAAGCTTGTTTCCTTGCAGAATGATTGGCATTCCTCCCTCGAGGGATCACTGGTAGACGAGCATACAGCATTGGACTGGCAAAAGCGAGGCTACGAAGACGTGCAAAAGATGAGACCTGTTGCCACACCCAAAGGATGCGGAAGAACTGCGTGCCGTCGTATCTGGCATGAAGTGGCGTCAGACATAATGACAATAGAGAATGTGCCTGCAGGCTTCCAAATTGACGTGTCTAGGATCGGAAGGGAAGCGCTGCAGCCTTTCGGAAGCTGCGTGTTGGTCGGAATGTGAGCGGCGCGGCAGAGCTAGATTTCGGCACGACGAAAATAGGCATTCAAGGGTCTCTGGGGCAACACCGGGAGAACGTCGAACAGCGAGGGGTCGTGCAGTAGGCTACAGTAGGCGCAAGGCACCTCCGCACGTTCTTAGACACGCCACCCCCTTTTGCGAGCTCCAAAGGGAGAGGCCCCCCCTTGTGGCCTCCAGCTGATCCGTCGGATCAAGACGGGGTTTGGATGCGAGCCAATACGCTTCAGGTCAATAGCGCTGCACGCATGTGTGGAATGATGATTGTCTGAAAGGCGCAGATGTTGTCGGTACCGACACAGTGGAAGCGTTGAGATCCTTCCCTCATCACAAGCAACGAGCTGACTTTGGTAACACGAAAGCGAAAGCAGACAAATTGCATCCGGCTAGGCTCCGAGGCAGCAAAGAATTATAGCTCACAAGCCTGTCGCAATGACAGCAGTCGCCACCGCATGGCACTCGGGCAGCAGAGCCTGCGTTATGTAAGAGTCCAACAAGAGCCCAACAGAGACACTTTCCTTCGAGCTGAGCTGTGATGCTGATCGGAAGAGGTTCCGAAGCTGTCACACAGTCAGCCCAAGCCGTGGCAACTCCGCGTCGCCACGAGCCAGATCTGAGAGCCAGAGCAACGGTTCGGTATGCAATGAGAGCTGTGCTCGGGCTATGAGCACCTAGAACGGCCATGGCATGTCTGGCTCAGGGACGTTTCTCGTCAGGAATGCACACCTTCTCTCGAGTCGCGTAACTTGCTTCCAAAGGCCGTGTCACTCTCCCCTCGCGTCTCCCTGGACCAGACCGAAAAATAGCATCAAGAATTGACACGTTGAGAAGCCCAACGCCTCCTCCGCGTCTCCTTGCCGCGACGCGCCGCGTGCTCAAGCACCAAAAAAACAAAAAGGAAAAAAAAGGAGAAAAGGCTCAGTCGGGACTGACCATTTCGCGCATTTTGTTAACCCAACACGGCAGCAGGCTAAAATGAAACTCCACCCAAATTCCGCGAAAGGGAGGCTGCCAGCCTGCCAGCCTGCGTGTCTGCTGCTGCTGCAGAATGTGTCTTGTTCGCCGAGCCCAGATTGTAAGGCGGTTGCCCGTCGCGACTGCCAATTTTTACTTTGGCTGTGCATATCGAGTGGCTTCTGTTCGACACCATCACCTCGTCCAACTACCACCGTCTCTCGCCTCTTTCTTTTCTCTCTCGGCTTCGCGCTTCTCGTGGCTCATAGCGCACATCGACATTCGACAATTTTGTCTGTGGCGCATAACGTCGTCTCTATAGCTTTCTTCACATCGGCACCTTTCATCTACTGCACCCGACTCCACATCCATCCATCCAACCATTACTCCTTCCGTCAACATTCTGCCTTTGCGTCTTTCTTGCTCGTCAGCAATAAAGTGCTTATTAGTGGACCTGAGCACTGCCCTACACCCTCGCATCCAGCTTTCTGCACAGCTTGCACGCTTATCGACATCGCGTTTCCTGTCCAAAGGCAATCATTCGTGCCTGACTTGCATCGTCAAGCCCTTGCACCTCTGCCGTTCTCCTTGCACACGTTCGTCTTCGTGTCGAGGGAACAAATCTCGGACAGCTTCATTTGCTGCTAGAATCTTCAGCAATATTGCATTGCGACCCATGCACTCTTTCTTGCCCTCGTTCTAGAACTCGATGTTGTAAATCTCGCACCAACTCAGCCACCATCTTTCTCCGGCCAGCGTCTATCTGCCTACCATCCTTACACTGTAACACTACTGGTCTCATCGGCGGTGCGCGGTACTCCGGCATTCTTGCGACCGTTCAGATCACAGCCAGGGCAGGGCCCTCTTCACCATCCGATCGAGTCTTGACTGGAAATGATGGATCGGACCGACGATTCCTTCATCTCGCCGACCAAGCCGACACGATCGGTCCACGGTATCGATCTGCACCTACAGACTCACTCGAGCATGACGCCTCCTCCCACCTTTGGCGCACCTGTCTTCCACAAATCGCCTTTCGCCTCGTGGATGGACCAGCTTCCCTCGGCACCGGCCACCGACTTGCGCCCGCAGCCGGTTTCAATACCCCGCTCACATGCTTTCTCCTCGCTGGCACCTCTCTCGAAACTCTCGCCAACACAGGAAAGTGCAGCCATGGAGATGAGCGCCCAAGAAGACGAACAGATCGTTGCCTTTGGCAGCATCAAGAGGACCGTACCCCTGCAGCACCTTCCATCATTTGCAAGCCCACCGGAGAATGTCGCTGCTCCTCTCGCAAACACAGACCACGATATGTGGCATCACCGCGGTATCAGCAACGGCTCGGGATCCGACGGAAGCTCTGCATCCGTCTCTGCCGGCATCGAGCTCAACTCCGTCGCTGGTCCCTCCTCGCAGCCCATGCTACGCGCAGGCTCGCGCGAAGACCACGACCCCACCAACACCTGGCCTCGTCCACGCACTCTCTTTGGCTCCTCAGACTCACATCGCAGACTCAACGACGTCGAGATGGACATCGACTCGGACCAAGACCAAGACGACGCCGACGCACAGGCACCCGCTTCGCCATCCCCTCTCTGCGAGCAGCCTGAATTCTTGGATCCGGCTTCGGCATTCAATCTCGATCTCGGAGAGCCCATGCTTCAACCGGGTACGCGCCCAACACACCGGCTGTGTCGCAATCCCTCTTCTTCGCGCAGCACCCATACCCTCGCCAGTGTTTCATCTCAATCCTTGTCCGGCGCGACTCAGCGAGCTCGTCCACCACGGTCGCGTCTGCCTTCCTCTAACGGTTCATCCATGCACCAGCTCGCCACTCCCGACCGCCAACGCTCCACGACCAGCGGCAACATGGACCTCGACGAAGAAGTGCAGACCACTTCCTACTCTGCTGTCCACGCCATGTCCTCGACTCAACAGCGCGTTCCTAACCGCACACGAGCCTCCTCCTCGGCCGCGCTCCAGCGGCCCCTCACCGAATTCCTCACTCCCCGCAGCGCCAGCGCCTCCGCTGGTCTTGCCGATAAGCTGCCTGGCGTGGCCAACCTGTTCGAGTTCGCCACTCAACCACGTCCTATCATACGCTCCGCGGACCGTGATGCCGATTCAACCCCTCTGCGCGACCACAGGCGCAGGCCCGCGAATCTCTCCATGAGCTCATTTCCGACCGCCAAGCTTTTTGGGGACGAGATCGAGGCCGCCGCCAAGTCATCCAGCCGTGCAGGCTCCGGCGTGTCCAAGCCAGATTACGCGCCGCCGCATGCTCTCGGCCTCACGTCAACCCCGGCACGGCGCAAGAGCGCATCCGCACGTGGTCTAAGTAGCTCTTCGACGCCAGCTTACCTAGAGACGCCGCAGTTTGCCACTCCGCATCGCCTTTTTGGCGAGCATCCCTCCAACACGCCAGCCGACGACAGTGGTGTCGCATTCGCCGATGGAGACCAAAGTGTCAAGAGCAATAGGAAGAGGTTCGGTCCGTTTTTGGCCTCAACCGCGAAGGACTCGCCGCTGTCATCCTCGGCAATCGGCAGCAAAGTGCTCGAGGATTTACCCTCGCCCTCTCAAAATGCCCTCCGCCGTCACGAGACTAGCTTCCATCGCGATTCACCCGCCCCGCGACCGTCGAGCCGAGCCATCCTCCACCAGTTCGGTCCCAAAGAGCGATCATCCTTGATGCACGAGACGCGATTCTCCAATTCGAGCGACAATGGCTCCGTTGAGTCGTCGCCAGATCCTATCCCTCGCGTTCGGTCGAGGACCAGCAACTTCAGCGCCGCGAGCCCGGCACGACGAGCCCACGAACGCAGAATCACCTCCGAGTCGATTGATCCCACCAGCCAGTACCTCACGCCGCAGAACTTCAGAAGCGTCAAGCCATTGGCCGCAGCTTTCATGTCGACGGGTCTCGTTTCCAAGCGAAATCGCGCCCGAGAGAACTCGGAAGGTGCTGACGGTGCATCTGAAGCTTTCCCACTCCCTCCCAAGGCTCCCAACTTCGGACAAGCGCTTGGTCTGCGTGAGGTTGTTGCGGCCGCGTCCGCGCATGCCTCCGCCAACGCAGACCGTGTAAGCAATGCTATGCCCGATACGCCCGTCAAGAAGGCCACCTCGACTCCCTTGGTTCCGTTCCCCAAGTTCAATCCTGCGCTTCGAGGCCAAGCTGGTGTCAACGCGTCCACTCTCGGCCCGTCTCCGCTTGGTGCTCAGTCGCCCGCCATGGAATCCCACGTGGGCCACATCATCACAGGATCTCCATTCGTTCCCGAGGAGATTAACAGCCCTACCTTGAATCTGATGCACCTTGGCGTCCCGAACGCTAGCACACCAGCAGCCATGTCTGCTCGACATACCTCGGCGTTTTCCGACCTCCCTCGCAGTCGCAGGTTTCCGAACCGAGATCTGCCAACGCTGGTGACCGACGACGTCACCGAGGACGAAGGCAACCTTTCCGATGTGGTGCATAGCCCGAGCATCCAATCTGGTCGCATTCGGGATGTGCAGCGACTGCAGAGAGGCAAGCGTTCCATCAACACGCCCACCTCGAGTGCTGCGCCTGCGCCTGCACGCAAGATGCTATCCGTCGATGTCGGCAAGGCTGCTGGTGCACCCAAAGCTCTCCGCGTGCGATCTTCTGGTCTTGGCAAGCGCACCATGAGCCGCAACGCGAGCTTCAACCGTGATACCAGGAACGGCACTGACTCGAGCAAAGAGGGTGGCCACGACGCGCCACCGCCTGCCACACCGGTCACCACGACCTTCCTACTGCCCGGCGAGGCCAATGTCGAACCAATGACACCGAGGCGAAACCTCAAGTGGTTCGAAGCAGCGAACATTCTGACCACGCCTTCGCCCTCGCGACGCCAGACCGCGCACAAACTGCGCGCGCACCGGCTCGAGCTGATGCAGAACCGTCGCAAGTCTCGACTCTCAGAGGAAACTTCGACGTGCCAAGACACGCCGCAGAAGTCCACGGCAGGAGCTAGCTTCGGCGGAACCAGCCACGAATCGACAACGGATGTGCGCTTCAGAAGCAACGGGCACGGACATCTTGAGACGGCTTTCACCATCGAGGTGACACTCGGACAAGGCGAATTCAGCGAGGTCCTCAAGGCGGTTTCGAAATCGACTGGTTACGCCTATGCGGTCAAGCGGATGAAGAAGGCGTACATGGGCCCGAGGGACCGTCTGCGAAGGCTCGAGGAGGTGGATATTCTGCGCACATTGTCCACTTCGGGCAAACCGCATGCCAACATCGTGTCGCTGTTTGACGCATGGGAGGAGCAGGGTCATCTGCATCTTCAGCTCGAACTGTGTCCGCTCGGCACGCTCGCGTTCTTCCTAGACGAGTACGGGGACCAAGTAGGTGCGCTGGATGAGCCGCGTGTCTGGAAGGTGCTAGCAGAACTCTCGAGTGGAGTCGCATACATCCACAATCACGGGATCCTTCACCTGGATCTGAAACCAGCCAACGTGCTCATCACGGAGCACGGCACGCTCAAGATTGGCGACTTTGGCATGGCGACGCGCTGGCCGCTGGTGGATGCCGAGACGACGCTGAGGGGAGCCCGACTGGACGACGAGCCGCACGGGCACGCCTTGGACCAGGTGGCTGAGGCTTGGCCGAGTCATCACGGACTGGAGAGGGAAGGCGATCGCGTCTACCTGGCCCCGGAGGTCATCTTTGAAGGCCAATACGGCAAGGCGGCCGACGTGTTTAGCTTAGGACTCATCATGCTCGAGGTAGCTGCCAACGTAGAGCTTCCGGACAACGGCGATTCGTGGCAGAGGCTGCGTCACGACGATCTGTCGGAGGTGGATCTCAGCGAGATCAGCGGACCGATGCTGCGCGTGCTCGAAAGGCTGTTGTGCTCAGACCCCGAGCAACGCGCTAGCATAGAAGAAATTGTCGAGCTACCAACGCTGGCATGTGTACGGACGATCATGTCGCGTGGGCTGTTGGCTTCGGAGATGGATCAGCTTCCCGAGTTCACGGACGGCATGTCGACGTCCGGATCGTTGGCGGCGATGGCGGACAGCTCGTCACTGCACTCGATGCCGAGCGAGCTGTCGAGCCGCACGCTCGGGCTGAGCGACTCGGAGACGGGCTCGAGTGCGGCGGAGCTGTCGGAGGCCGACTCGTCGCTGGGGCTGTGCGGCATGTCGTCGTGCATGTCTGCTCAGACGTCGATTTCGACGTCGATGAGCTCGATCTCCTCGCGCCATGCAGTGATTCGTGTGCGTGGCGCGTTGATTCAGGAGCCCGAAGAGGAGTTCATGCGCGAGGTGTTGGGTGCCGACCCGATCGAGCAGCGATTTGTGGGCATCAAGGATGTGGGAGCGACACGATGGACGGGAGAGCGCCTGCCACTCGCTGCTGTGCAGCCGTTGCAAGAGAGCTCGACCAGGTTCGGTGGCCGACAAGACTCGATGGAGCTCGATGCGTGAGGGACAGGAGGACAGGAGGCCTCGGAATCAAATCTGATTTAGCATCGTGGTTTAATTATTTGCAACCTGCCTTCGCATTCACATCTGTCCCAACAAGGCTGCGGTTCTGCTTGTGAAGATTGAGACTGAGAGATGATCATGCTTCTGTGATGGGCCAAAGTACTGAACAAACACTTTCTCCGATGAAGGAGCGGCTATCGGTGATCGTGACCCGATCTCACAGCGGGTGAAAAGCAGACGTGTGAGATACAGGTGAACCGACAGAAGAATTCAAGCCCCGACCATCAGCAGTTTCAATTTGCCCGTAAGCAGCCGGCGGCCGCCCGCACACGCATGCCCACGACAACCGCTTTTGTCTTTCCAGTGCTCTCTGCCTTTGTCTGTCCTTTGGCATGTCGCTGTAAATCCCACTCTTGGCTTTGGGCACAGAAGTTGAGTGTCGCCTGCGATCCACGGGACTGTGAATGGTGCCGATCCGAAGAGGTTCCACCGCGGTGGGCTGCAATACGCTCAAACTTCTGCGTGTGTTCTGCTTTGTGCCTTGCCTGCCTGTCTACACGGATCACCGACGCACAGGGATTTTCAACGACATCTGCGGTCCTGCAGTTCTACCAGAAGCCGGATTCGATCTGCCGATGGTCTGAGTCCAGCTTTCATTATTTATTCTCTTCCTCTTTTTGTTTCCACCAAAAGCAATCGTGACCTCGCTTAACTCAACGCACAATTCAAACTTCTCTGGCGCCTTTTTTCCGGTTTGCGTTGCCTGAAACGCGATTTCTGTTGAAAGGGGGAGAGAGAAGCAGAGTCGATCCTCATCCCTTTTTTCTCGCATATCGGACTTTTTTGACAAGAATAAAAAAAGGCTGTGCTTGCGACTGCCGTCAGTAGCGCCTTGCTGCACAGTCGGCAGCAGCGTCGTAGCGAAGCCAAGACCCTCCGGATTGATCGGCGCGCTTCATCCTCAATACCCTTTCGGAGACGACGATGCTCGCATATCGAGCTCAATTGTATGTGTGAGACTTGTAGTTGATGCTCGCAAGGTTGGAGAGAAGCAACGAGGACGACAAAAAGCACGATACTTTGTGAATGCAGAAGTCTCTAAAAAGCGAAGGCGACAGGGCTCTCTGTGTTTCTGATCGCCTACCGATGTGTCTCACTCAAACCTTGAAGCCCTCTTTTGGTATTCAGGGTCACCACTCGCGAAGGAAAAGCACCTGAACCAACTTCTCACACTTTTGCCTACCAGCCGTCCTTGCCGACCAGCTTTGTGGCTGAGGTCTATCAGTGCCATGCTCCGTTCGGAGAAATGCAGTGTGGTGGCCCACGAGATCAAAGTTTCGGCATCAGGTGGCCGTGCTTGAACCCTGAATCTGTGCATCACCGTTTGACTTTGTGCGAGGCGAGGTTTCTCCGCCTTTTACCTGCGGTTGCTGCGAGTCGCTCGTGTGCCTGCTTCTCGTGTGTTGATCCGCAGAAGGACCCTAACTTATTCCTCCCTGCGATCCCGCCGCCTCTACGTTTTGTCCTCCCCTTCCTCGTGCCTTCCCTTCACCACAAGCCTTTGCTCCTTCATCCTCACGACCAGACCTCCATCCGACTCCTCTTTCTACCTAGCATTGCTCCACAACGTCAGCTCTGGATCATCCATAAATCCGTCCACCTCCCGTCAAGCGAGTTCACTCCCACCCCGATTCTGATTTCTTCCGAAGCTTTCGAATCGCCGCCCAAGATGCCCCATCTCGCCATGTCGCTCCGAACCCGCAACGTTCCCGACCCGCTCACCCTCAACGGGCTCCCTATCGGATTCATCCCCGATGTCGGCTCCGACGGAGGCAACGTCCAGACCATGGTCGGTATCAACGGCCTCCTCGCCGGCCGAGGCCAGTCGTACGCCTACGGCTTCTACGACCAGACCAACTACGGAACCATCTACAACGGCGCCAAGCTGCTCGCCAACGCCGCCGACATCTACGCCTCGGGGGCCATTCTGGAAGCGTCGATCATGCCCGTCGGGTCGTGGGGCGGGTACACGCAGACGGACACTTCGCAGGCGCAGGCGGTGTGCAAGGTCATGAAGAAGTTCACCGACGCCGGTGTCGAGGTGAGGTTGAGGTTTGCCCACGAGGTTAACTACTACGTCACTACGGGCGAGTACGCTCCCGGAAACGATATGGGCGTTTCGGCGTTCAAGACGGCGTGGGCGCAGGTGAGCGCGGCTTGCAAGAGCATCGCTCCCGCCGTCAAGATGTGGTACTGTCCCAACGCTGCCAACTTGACAGTCTACGAACAGTATCTCCCCGACAACTTCAACTCAACCGTTCAGATGATCGGTGTCGATTACTACCCGCCTTCCAACAACCTCGCTACCGCATCAAACTACATCCAGACCGTCAAACCCTTCCACGACAAGTACTCTTCCAGCAGCGTCCCCTTCGTCATCGCCGAAGCGGGCACCCACGCACAGGGAGCCAGCATCGAAGACCGAATCGCCTGGCTCCAAGTCCTCACTTCTGACCAAGTCAAATCCTCCCTCCCCAACCTCGAAAGCGTCACGTGGTACAACGCTCTCCGCAAAACCGACATCCTCTCCAACGGCGTCGGCGGCGACTTCCGCATCCTCGACCCTAACAACGCAACCTTCCCCAACCAGGACGCCCTCAACCTCTTCCCTGTCGTACAGAACGCTCAGGCTAGCATGTCGGCCGTCTCCGTGGCCACTGCTGCGAGCGCTACAGCTACCAACGCCGCCTCTTCCAGCTTGCCTTCGAGTCTGAGAGGTAGCGGTAGCGGAGGAAGCTCCGGCGCGGGCGAGAGCGGTCGCAAGGTCTCGTTCGCTGGGTTGGCGGTCACTGCCCTCGCTGCCATCTCGGCCTTGGCCTACGTATAGGGGGCCGCGTTGTATCTCACCGCGTCTCATTGCTCGCTGCTACCATGTCTCGGCCACGGTCTCACTTCATGCCAGTACTTTTAGTCACTGGCGGATACTGTTCTTCATTCTTTACGGACACTCTCATACTCTACATCTTTTGCGTTTCCCGAGTGCCTTGATGCTTGCTCCGCTCCAACAACTCCGTATTCGTTGCTGACCACGAATGTGCTTTTGACATTGGAGCGGACACTCTGAGCTGCAAGTTCCCAGCAGTGAGTCTCAATCTTGAGACCCCTTTCCACGTGAGACCGCAATCCTCCAGACCATATCCTGACTGGATGCGCAGAGTCGCTGCTCAAAATGGAGTTGTTTCAGGAAAGATCGTTCGCACAAACACTGCCTGTGGAAGATGAATGTCCGTGCATTACTTTGGGTGACAGCGAAATCATTAACGGCAACGTGATCAAATCGTCCCTTACCAAGGGACCTTGGTCAACCCCAGCTTGGCCATCGGGTTGCCCAGGCTTGGAATGGGCATCAGGTATCCCGAACGTCTGGCCTTCTCCATGTGCTGCTCCGAGACCGTAGACAGCTGCTGGATGTCCTCCTGACCGTAGAAAAAGATGAGCGTAGCCCTGCCTAGCACTTCACTTGGAATCTCGATGACCACGCGGAAGATTCCCGAAAGCGCCAGCGTGATGATGAGCGTGAGTGCCCAGATTCCTGCCAGGTTGGTAGCAGCGCCCGAAGTGGCAGAATCGTCCGACGTCATCGGGAAGACCTTAGGCATGATGGACCAAAGCACGATGGCGTGTACCGCAACAATGGCAGCACCAATCTGCCGACCCATCATGGAAAACGGAGCCACTGCCAGTGTGCGCTGCGAAAATTGCGAAAGCTCGAGGAAGACGAGCAAGAGCATCGAGCAGATGACATCAGTGAATTTGACGACAGAGTAAATGTTGGCTCCGTTGCGATGTTGATCGGTCGGTCGGATCACCTGCAGATGGCTCAAGCCCTCGTTGATGGGGTCGCGAATCTGAGGAACGATCAGGAAGAGAACAAACAGGACCACGCACAAGCCCTGGACACCCCAGCTAGCCATACGGTTCTTGCGCAATCGAGCAAACTGACCAGACACATCGAGCTCGGCAACCAGCAGCCCGAGCAGAGCGGGTGCAAGGTACGAAAGCGTGCACCAGTTGAGCAGTCCCAAGACGAGCAGGAACGCCACACGGGTGTCTTGCTGCAAGATGCTGATGATCATGGTCAGACCATATAGGTAGTAGCTGTTCTGGAAGAACCATGGCAAGTAGAAGATGGGTCCCGCCTCGCTGCGCAGCTCAGTGGGCCGGTCCTCTGAAGTGAACAGGTTGGTAGCCGTAATGATCCACTGCGATCCGTTGGCGTAGCACCATGCAGGTCGCTGACCGATCAACGTCTCGAAGTTGGGATTTTGAGGGTAGAGACCAGTGGCTCGGCAGATACCATACTGGACGCCGGTGACGAAGAGGATGGGAAGCAAGAATCGGAAGGGACGCGAGATCATGGCCATACCGTACAGCTTGAAGTCGGCTTTGTTGATCTCCTTGCGCGAGCCGGTGGAAGGGGGCGCCACGGGTGGCGCCGCCTTTTCGTCCAGAGTCTTGGCAGGTGCGGCCGCTTTAGCAGCTTTGGCGGCCTTAGCCTTGGCAGCAGCCTCGTTGAAGCTGTAGATAGCATCCTTCCGGCTGACGAGCCAAGGGAGCGTCAGTGCTCGACCTTGAAGAGCCAAGAAGAGCGTGAGAGCAAAGTTCGAGTTGAAAGGGTAGAGAATGCTCTTGCCCACCGCCCAAGTCGGGGTGTGGTTTCCGATTACGGTCGAAGTGAGGACGATGATGGCGGCAAAGAAGCGCAGGCCGTCGATGTACCTCAATCGGCCGTACTTCATCTTGCGCATGGCATCTGGGTTGATCTCCAGCGGCATGCCTCCGAGCTCGGCTTCCCACGAGCTGCTGTTCTTGAGAGGACTCCTTCTCTTTCCGACCTTGTGCGACTCATTGTCCGAGGTAGCGTAGTCGGTGGGAGCCACCGAATGGTTGACCAAAGTGCCCTGGGGAGAATCGGATCCTCTTCGCGAGTCATCGTGGGGATGGGTTGCATACGAGCTGAAGCGACCCGAGGTGTGTACGTAGCTCATGGAACGCAGGTATGCCATGCCATCCTCGTTGTCGCTGGTCCCGAGTGATGGCGACTCGACGCCATTTGGAAATTCGTTGGCGGTTGACGTGGGGCTGTCGAACAGCTCGGATCGCCTTCGCCAGGCCGGTGGGGCGGGCTTGGACATTGTGTATCTTGCTTCGTCGACTGTGTTTGAGTGCCTCGTGGATGTCCTCTGCGGTTCGAAAGAATATCGAGGAGGAGAAGGTCGGGAGATTGGGTTAGAGAGTAGGTTAGGGTGAGGACGGACGATGGAGAGGATGTGTTCAAGCAGAGAGCCGTGCTGGTCAAGTGGACTGGCAGGGACGGTTAAAAAAGCTGGAAGCAGGAACCGCAGCTACTACCGCACTGCAAGGGTTCAGCTTTTGTGACACAGGCCCAAAAGGCTCTCTCACTACGTCAAACGATCTCAGGCTGCACAAACAAGGGTGTCGCATCGTTTCGCACTTGCAGGAGAGTTCACACGAGCCGAAATGCGGTCGATCCAGATGCTTGGTTGTACGAAGCGAGGCAAACGGCAATCAGTCATGTCGCATCTCAGACCGACATCGGAACTCCATCAGACAGCCCACTTTAGCCAGTCTCTTGCTTGACACACTCAAGCGGTGAGGAGGTCGTGTGAACTATAATTCTCCGGCTAGCTAGAGTTTGGCTCTCGAGACCTACGCCTAGCAAGCGTCACAGTACAAATGGCAGAGGAGGATCCTCTTTGCACTGCACGGCTAAGAAGCCTAATTGTCCTCGATTGTGAAAAATTGCAGAGGTGTGCGAAGACCCTCTTCTTGAAGGAAGCAGCGTGGAGGACGAGAATAGCGCACAAGCTGAGGTCGCCTCGATAGCCGGTGCAAAGCTCCGACGTCCAGCTGTGCATCTCTGAATTTCAATTAAACTATTTGTGCTTTTATTAAAATCGGATTTTCCTTTGAACCGCCCCGGTCGACCTTCACCGCTTGCTCGCTCGTTCCCAAGCCGTACGCCGTTGCGTACGCGGAAGTCAAACCGTCCATGTCTGTGGAGCGTGGGTCGAAGTGAGGTGAAGCAGGTAACGCCCACCAACCACCGTTCAGCCTCTAGTGGGTTTCGAACTTGGACGCGGCCTCATCGAAGCCCCCGAAACTAGGCTGCAGACCAATGTTCCTGCTGATTGGATCTCGAAGCTGAGTCCTAGCCTTGACCAGGATTTCGCCTCGTTGTTTTCGTTTCTCGATTCCGAGATTGTTTTGATCGTGTTTGGTATCACAAAGAGGCTGTAGCACAAACCACGCTACATTGTTGGAGCATGTCAATGTGTTGACCGAGCTGGGCCAGGGGCAGCATCCAGCGGATCTGGTATGCAGGGTGGGTAAGGCTAAGAACAAGCTCACATGGCCAGGGCCGCACTTCTACTCATCAGACAGAATGACGAGCCCTGATAGAAGCGGCTCGGGCCAAGAGATGGGTTGCTGTCATCGAAGCTGTGGGAAGAGCTTCTTTCACTGCATTCAATAAACGAAAGTAGCTGAGGACAATAAGAGGCACTCTTTGACACAAACAATCTTCTGACTCGCGTAGGCATTTGCGTCTCTTTGAGCCGTCGGTCTAGGGGGCGACGCAGTAAACGAGGCAGTTTTTTTCTTGACGCGACGTACCTTTTTCGCAATTTGTTGGCTTGACCGCGCACTTCCGAGGATGCCCCTTCGCTCCCACCAGCACCCTCGTTTATTCTTTGGATCAGATGAACGCGAGCACACCGCTCTCGTGCCTGAGACCAACCACAACTTTCTCGCATCATCGAACAAGAGACACATTGCAGATCAGCTGTCTCTCGCTTATCACCAACGACGAAAGCACAAACCTCGAGCCGATGCGTTCTCAAATCATCGTCGATCGTCACCGTCTCTGGGGGGTTGCCCAGGCTCGCCTCTTCTCTGCGTCTTGGCGCAACAGTGTGAATGCAAAGCCTCCCTGTCATTGTGCCTGCTTATGCCGTCGATTGCAGCTTGCAGCAGCGATCGTCCGCCGCCGTCGCACTTTACACCAACTGAACCCTAAAAGTCGTGGACGCGTCCATGTCCTAAGCGTGATACCTGGTACCAATGTCGAACTGTTCTCACGGTGTAAGCAAAAGGTGGTTGTTTGTTGGTGGCTTTTGGTTTCCAATACCTTGTCAACTCGAGCAGCGAGAGGAATGTTGACGAAATCGCATAGGAGATCGTGACGCGGACTTCCGTCGCGGATAGTTGCACGAAGCTCGTACGCGAGCTTCTGACTTGCAAGCGATGGTGACGATGGACGAGGTCGCGTGAATATCGTGCCGGTTTTCTCTCCGTTCAGCATGTGCCGTCGATCGAGGTGGATCACTTGGCAAAATCGCCTAGACACCAAGTTTTTTTTTTTTGACGAACGCGGACCTATCGCATGCGAGATCACAAAAGGGGTTTCGTGGGAAATTTGACGAGGCAAGTACACCTACTTGCCTGCAAACCCCACCATCAGTGCTTGCAGCGATGGCAGAGCGAGAGGACAGCTGATTTTCGATCTCCCTTGCTGATCACCACGGGGCATTAGGCGCGGTGACGACGGTCCAACGCAGCCTGAGTTTGAATTCCTCAGATTTACGGTTCCAAGCTGCAGCCGGCAATGCACAGTTGCAAACAGAACGGACATCGAAACTGATTCACACGACAATGCCGACCAGAGCAAGAGGCACCCTCGAATTTTTCAAGATGATCAAGCTGTCTCGACCAATCGGCTGTAAGCCATACCAGACAGCGAAGCATCCAACCGTCTATAGGGTCCCGCTCTTACGCAAACGCCGCTGTGACAACCGTCGACCTTCGACTCTCGGCGCCTTGACGGTGTTCGTGGCTGAGTATGGCACGCCTTTTGGACGATGCCGATATCCGAAATGCTAATAGACCGCAACAGTTCTCTGCATGCAGAAGGGCGACGCTCGCATCACATGGAGGCTGTGGTAGCATCACCGTACAAACGCTCGCGTGGAGTGACACTACATTCCAAAAAACAAAGCCGCGTGCGTCCCTACGGCACGGAGACGAAATCGAACAAAAACACCGAAAAGCCGAATTAAGCCCCGATCAGATTCTCTGCTCAGCGGAACGGCCTCAGTAGTGATCTTCGTCGATCGGCGCGACAGCATGCTGATCTGCATCGACTGAGACGTGTTCGCTTCCTGAATCAAAGTAGCGGGTAATCCGCGCTCCGCTCGACACGGCCGTCCATGACCTCATCAAGCTATTCCCTTCTTGACAACGGCGTCGGGCTTTGTGCAACCCGAATCCCGCTCACATGGCCCTGTCGATTCTTTTGGTTTTCGGAACGAGATTTCTCGTCGCCGTCGTCCGAGCATTGTCACTCAAGGTTAGACGAAGCTGACCGACGCCGCGATCAGTGCAAAGCATCTACAACATCAAAGCCGACTTTAGGGAAGCTGCACCCGTCTGCACCCCGGTTCAACACGCCAGCCGAAGAGGCGCAAATTTTCCCTGCCGCGTCAGTATGAAACTTTTAATCTGAAATTTATCTCAAACGTTTTCTCTGACCTCCTCGACCTCATCCATCGAAGAGTGCAGAGGCTTCGATATTTTGGAATTGAGCTGACGCAGTCTCCTCGGTGCGGCATGAAAGCGACTTCAGGCTTCACTTCCACGCTGATCCGTGGCCGCCCAGGCCTTGTAGATGTCACCACAGGATCCATTATCCTGAGTCAGCCCTAGGAATGAGCTCTTTCGAGCCACACTTTCCAACGCAAATAAGCCTGTCCGATGGAGTGTCTCAACAATCCCTGTCCTGTGCCTGAAAGAAACTTTTCCGGCCTTCGCAAGAGTCAGCATGCCGTTGGCCGATGTTCGCATGGAACTGAATGTCTCGCCACGACGCTCGGCTGACGACTCCCAGCTCCGGACGCGAACCAGCGGACACATAACGAGTCGTGAAGCCCCGCAAACGGCCGCTGCACACATTGTGCTCTCGCTTGCACATGGGCGATCGTCAATAGCTTATCGGGAGACGAAGCCATCTGGTCCTGTTTGAAGGTATTTCGACAGACCCGAAGGCCCAAGCAGCAGCACCAGGCAAAGAGAGAAAAGTCAGCAGCTGGCAGGAACCGACATTGCCAGGTTGTTGATACTTTGGCGAGTGCTCGAAGAGCCAAAGCATACGCGACACATCTTTTGAACAAACTTTTCCCCTGTTTTTTCTTCTTCTTCTAATTTCTTGAAAACAATTTCGCGGCAAATTCATAATTTATTCATGGCTACACGGATCACCGCGGCAGCGCCCATGAATTCGTGTGCGGAAGCCACAGCGTCGTTGGTCGAGGGTGAATTCCGATGGCCATACCTGGTCAGTTTAGCCAGCCAGCCCTGTCTAAAGCAGTATTACATAGCTGCGGCCAAGTCCAATAGGCGGAATCAACCAATCACTGAGGAATCCTTTGCGTAGGCGATAGTGCCGAAATTGGCGCTCGGAACCCTCGAAATCCGTCTTCGTGAACCCTTGTTTCTCAGGACGGTGCCTGCGCTGCGCTTCGACCTCGTCGTTCCACCCTTTTTCTTTTTTTCAAAACTTTTTTTGTTTCTTACATTGATTTATCTTGATGGCTAGCCGCCGTTTGGCTGTGCCTCAGGATCGATGCAGGAACTCCCAGCGAACTGCACCACGGCATTGCATCGCACCGCTCTCTTCTCCACTTTTCGGAACCCTGAAGACGGATCTCCGCTGCCTTCCTGTCTCGCGCTGTTGTTTACATCGTCTGACGAAGCCGCCAGGCGGTCAGGGTCCCTCGACGAAGGTGTGAAACTTTGTTTTTAGCTGCCGTTGGAGTACCGTGCTCGTCCTCTCCAGTAGCCGACCCTGCGGCACTTCAAAGATGGTCTCTGGCTTCAGAACCTCTACGGTATGTGGCTAGGCAGCAAGGCGGTCTCTAGAGCCACGGTCCGTACCTGTGGGTTGCGTCCGCGGATCGTCAAGCCGTCCTGGCTAGCTTCGCGAGGCCAAATTTTTCCGCTTGATGGTTCGCCGACTCTTGTATGAGTTTGCAGAAGATAGTGCGAGCAGCAGCGTTGGCTACCGAACTGAACTGATAGGCGAGCTGCCGACAATCGTTCAGCTGTTATTAAGGATCAGCGTGCAGTTGGTCCTGTCTGCAAACAAGCATCGTCGGTAGCAGCCTGAACTTTTTTCTTTGGTGGTCCCAGCCCGCCTCCTATTCGGACCCGCATCACCGTCAGCTCCTGGTCCCTTCGTCGTCGTACGCTGTACATCGTCCCGTCTCTCTTCCACCTTCCTTCTCCACTCACGACTCCTCAACGCCCTTCCCCATCATCATCTCAAAATCAAGCGCACGCGCAAGCGTCTGCAAGCAACGGGTCCTTTCTTTCCTTCTCGAAGTCTCATTCCCAAACGGTCAAGAGTCTGCGTGTCATCTAACTTTCGTACAGCAGAGGTATAGCGACTGCGTAAGCTCTCTGCGGCACCGGGTCGTCCGACTTGCACATCATGTCGTCACCTGCGAGGTATCAAGAGAAGCGAAGGAGTGAGAGCGACAGCGACCACCCACGATCGTCTTTGAGCGAAAACGATGACGAAATCCGACCAGCTGGCCGCATGCCATACAATCAGTTCCCAAGCTATGCCAGTCGTACGTATTCAGGCCCATATTTTGCTTCTGCCAGTCTCTTGAAGAACATATTAGTCTAACCATGTCTCTTGATACATCCTCGGCGATTTTTGTCTTGAGTAGGTGCGAGCACCATGACCCCAAGCGGCGAGCTCTCGGCGCTGGGCTACTCTCCAACACAGACGCCGGACCTCTACGATCGAACTGCCACAGCAACGCCAAACGAAGAGAAGCTCACCAGCGTGGCCGAGTTCAAAGCGGCCAAGGACTCGGCTGGTGCAATTGGAAGCGGCGTTGTCAAAGACGAAAAGAAGCCGCGAGCAGACCAGCCTGCGAAGACCGCAGCCAACGGATACCTCGACTATGCCGACGGTCTCCGTGGTATCGCGATGATCATGGTGTTCAACGGCCACTTCATCGACAACACCTTCGTTCAGACTCATCCCGGCACCATTCAGAACGGTACCCCTGTCGGGCTTCTCCGAAGTCCCATCGGTTTGGTACTCTTCTACATGCTTTCAGGCCGTCTCAACGCAACCTCGTACTTTCGTAACAAGGCTCTCGGCCGTCCTATCATCTGGAGCGTAATTCCCGAAGCATTGATCCGACGCTCCCTGCGTCTTCTCATCGTTGGTGGCGTCTGGGAGGTGATCCAGAAGGTCGAGTGTGGCACGCACGCGTTTGACCAGACCGTCATCGCAGAGGGTTGGTTGCAATCGGGCAACCTTGGCTACCCGCAATGGTGCCGCGTCAACTTTGACAACCCTTCGCCATTCCCTAGGGACTGGGACATCTCGACCAGCGTCGGTGACATTCTCGTCGGTCTCCTGCGACTTGCCACCAATCGCGATTATCTGCAGCAGCTGCTCAATGCATCGATGCTCTGGTCGATCGTGCCGCAGCTGTGGGGTATGATCTCTGTTCTCATGTTGCTCCCGATCGTCATGCACCTGCAACCCTCGCGTCGCTTCGTACTCTACGCTCTGCTTCTCGTCTTCCAGGGCTACACGTACAATCAGAACATTCCTTTCACCGTCGGTGCCATCGCCGCCGATCTCAAAGCTTCCGGCTATATCAAGAAGTTCAACGAAAAGTCGCGCATTGCGTTCCTGCTTACCGAGCTGTCGCTCGCCGCCTTTTTCGTCGCGGCTTACTGCTACAACCCTATCTTCATCAAGATTGACCAGAATCTGCAGAGCATCACCGACCGAGATGGCATCTTGGGCTATGACATCACCGGGTTCACGGGCGGTCGAATGCCAAGCTACCTGATCTTGGCTGGTGTGCTCTACTACTGGCTAGAGATGAGCGTGGTGCTCCAATGGCTTATCGGCAACTGGGCTTTCAAGGCACTTGGTCGTGTTGCCCTCGGTTTCTACGTGTGCCAGATGTCGATCATCTACGGCATCATGCCCTACCTCGTGATTCACTTCCGTGACCGCGGCTACTCGTTCTGGAGCAACATGTGGAGTACCTGGCTCATCACGTTCTTCAGCGCTTACGTGGTTGCCTGGCTTATTGCTCACACGCTCGACAATTGGGCCATGATCTTCAGCGACTGGTTCGCAAAGACAATCATCCGCGAGGACACGTATGCAACGCTAAAGGTATCGGCGGTTAACACGGTACGAGCTGTGGTGTTCGGCCCCCCTTCCGTCGCTAGAGCTACTCCCGGATGGATCAAGGACAAGTGGAGCAAGACCAAGCACTTCGTCTGGGTCATGTTCCACTGGAGGACCATGGTCGAAGCTCCTGCGCCTCCTTCGCACCCCATGGAGGTTGGCTTGCAGATGAATCAGCTGCACTCGACGCTCTTCGATGCCGACATTTCGGACGACGAGCAGGCGATGCGGACGCGATGGATGCTCAGGGCGCTTTCGTTCATGGCACCCGTGCAGGTGGCGATCATCCTTGCGCTCGGTTTCATCTGGATGTGGTTCAACCCCTGGTCGAGCTACATCTTGGATGGCTTTGCCGACTTCTCGACCGTCTGGCGACTGCTGTGGGCGCTGGCGCTGCCGTACTGCATCATCACAACGCTCGGATACGCCACGCCTGACATCACCAGGACCACCGAGGAGCTCAAGAAGAAGCCCGTTGTGCGCGAGCACATTCACCGTCTCTTCATCGTCAGTGTTACACGAGGTTCCAACCCCGAGACGACACGACGCGCGCACCTGCACCTCAAGAAGCTCGAAAAGTACCATCCTGCTGTGCGTGCCATTGTGCTCACTGACGAGCCCTACTCGTACCCGGATCTGGACAATGTCATGACTCCCAAGGCGTACAACTCGCCACAAGGCAAGGCCAAACACAAGGCCAAGGCCCTCGACTACTTCCGTTCGTCCATGGGCCTCACTCCGTACGACTGGGTGCTGCACATGGACGAAGAATCGACCATGGATGCCGAGAGTCTTCGTGGATGCTTCGACTTTATCCGCTACAACACGGGTCACATTGGTCAAGGTATCATCATCTACAACGGCAAGCGCGAGACCTACTGGAAGAACTGGTTCTTTGCCGTCGCTGATTGCATTCGTGTCGGTGACGAGTTGGCTCGATTCTCCTTGCAGGGCAACATTATCAAGCGTCCTGTGTTTGGTGTCCACGGCTCCTTCTTGATGATCAACGGTGACGTCGAGAACAGGGTGACGTGGGACTTTGGCTCGTTGGCCGAAGACTTTGAGTTTTCGCAAGCCGCTTGGGCCAAAGGCTACACGCTGGGTCGCATCCACGGAGTTGTGCGCGAGCAATCGCCCGAAGGCTGGGCTGACTTTATCAAGCAGCGTCGTCGATGGTACATGGGTATCCGAGGTATCAATGGTCTCTTCCTCTTGCCTCAGATCGCCATCAAGCTCTGGACCGCCGGTATCTTCTGTCTCGTCGCCACGCTCATCAACATTCCCTTTTCGCTGTTGCTGGAATGGTCGGGTCCCACACCGAGATGGCTGTACGTCATTTCGTGCTTCTGCTTTGGCAACTTTTACTGGTTGTACTACTCGGGATTGTTCTTCTCAGAGTTGGACTACGGATACAAGTGGTACCAGGCCTGGCAGATCCCGGTGCATGCCGTGTCGCTGCTCATCTTGCAACCTATCATGGCATTCGTGGAAGGTGTGGCGGTGGTATATGCCATGTCGACAGAGGACGGAACGGTTGGATTCCAGGTCATCAAGAAGTGATCAAGACGTACAGCAGCTTTCAAGTGACAGAGAAAGGGGAGAGATCCATTTCGGCAAACGCCTGTTCAGTTAGTTCAAATGTGATTTTCGATGGACAATGCCACTTGCTTCACGATAGGACGTTGTTGAGTTGTTTAAGCTGGCGTACCGGAATGAAGTGTGATACGCAACGTGCGCTATGATGATCGAAGCGGCAGCCTACGACGAGTGAGATCAAGAAGGTGCTTCGACTGTCACGAGCGAGCATGAGGACAAAGACTCCGGCCTTGGCGCGTCCAGCTTTGTAGCCCAAGCAGAATCGATCTGCGCAACACAAGAGCGCACGCTACTCGCACGTACTGTCTCCAGTCCGCGTGCCTCCAGCCACAGAGGCTGAGCAGGAGCAAAGTACGAAATGCAAGGGCCAGGGCGAGGCGCGCACTCTGGGGGTTCAGTCATCAGGGGAAAGCAACGCCTTTGATTCAGAGGAGGAAGCTTGGCTCCGACTCTTGATACCCAAATCTCCATTGCGGATCCTGACGATCGCGAGTCGGCCGTACTGTATCTCGCTAACAGGTGCAGTGATCGTTCTTGCATAAACCCTGAGAGCTGCTCTGGAGCATCGTCTCCCACGATCAGTTGTTGCCCAGCGTCGCAGTGAGTGTCTAGATCACTTTGTCTGTTTTGACGTCTCCGGCACTGTTCAGACTGTTGCGCAGAACGGCACATGCGCCTTGACCCCTTCTCGAGTGGTCATTTCTGTGTACACAAATTCAACCCAAAAGACCTCGGAGCATGGCTTCGAACCAGTTGCCATCACGGGTGATCTCATTCTCTAGCGACGCCAGCCAACCGTCCACACCGACTGACATCTCGCCACACGCACCCGTCCTCGCGCGCACAACAGTCACCACACACGCAACCGGAACACACAACAAGCGAGATCTGATGCAAACACCTTCACATTGCTTCTCCTCACAGCGCCCGATCAGATCTTCTTCTGCAGGCCCTCAATCCAGCCCTCAGTCAGCGGCTGCCAAACACCCCTCGTCCTGTACACGCCAACCACCGCCCCCGTCAGCACCCCCACCGTCGCCGTCAACACCGCATGCCCCACAATCGCCTGCTGCCGCTTCTCGGTCTTGACCACCGTCGAGTACGGCAGATTGCTAAACGTGGTCATCGCGTACAGACTGCTCCACATGCTCGACGGCAGGACCGACATCAACAGCCCATCCAGCTTCTTCCTCAAAAGGTAGGGCCACGAGACGACCGCATGCGCCATCTCGCGGTAGTTCTGCTCGGCAAGCTGCAAGATCGCTACCAAGTCGGGATGACGTTGCGTCGTGTACTTGTCGAGCGCCGCTTCGAGCGACTCGTTGGCGTCGATAACGTCGAACATGACGCGAACGTCTTCGAATCCGCAGTTGAGGCCTTGACCGTAGAACGGAAGCATGGCGTGCGCCGCATCCCCGATCAGCACGGCACGGTCCTTATAGTGGTACGGATCGCACTGGACGCTCCCCAATGCACTGGCTCGACGAGTCGTGAGACACTCGACCAGCTTGTCCTCCCCAATCAGCGGCAGCGCATCCGGGAAATGCTCCTTGAACAGCGCGACGATGCCTTCTTTCGTCGACAGCTCCGAGGCGAACATCTTGAACGGCGCAAACAGCGTACATGTGAAACTGCCGTCCAAGTTGGGCAGCGCGATGAGCATGAACGAGTGTCGCGGCCAGATGTGGAGATGGTTAGGGTCGAGGTGGAAAGCATCGTGACCACCGGGTTTGCCGTCGGCTCCACCGGTTCCGCGGATGCGCGAACCAGAGGACAGTGAGGTGCGGGCGGGGATCGCCAGCTCGACATACCCAGTGTCGATGTAGTTGTGCGTGTAGTGCATGCGGATGAGGCTACCCATTGCCGAGCGGATGGAAGAGTGTGCGCCGTCGCAGCCAACCACGAACGAGGCGTAGCGCGTGTTGGACGACTTGGGTATGCGTTGGTTGTTGCTGTGCACATTGAAATCGAGTCGAACTCGTTCGGACGGCAAAGTGCCAGCAGAAGAAGCGTCCAGCTGCTGGGCCCCGTGACGCTTCGCAGAAGGTTGCTTGCCCTTGCCACGACGCGACGACTCATCGGCAGACGACTCTCCACCCGTCAGATTGGCACCTCGCGTCGACTCTTTCGCAGTCACACCATTGGCAGCAGTGACACCATTGGCAGGAGGAGTCTGAGCCCGCCTAGCAGCAGATCTAGTATCGTGGTCAAAGTCGACACTCTGCAGCTTGTGTTCAAAGTGAACCTCAACGTTGGGATGCATCAAGGCGTGGTCGAGCAAGATGTTGTTCAACCTGCCTCGATCCACCGAGTTGATGCTTTCGCCTTTGTTGCTGTACAGCTGGCTGAGCTCTTTCACCACCGCGTCCTTGCTGCCGGACGCCTGTTTTGTTACCACATGGATCATCCTTGCCCTCATGGGTACCGAGTCCTGCAGCACAAGATCAGCAAGATCCATGCCGGTGGATGCGTACTTGCCGAGACCAACGAGGCTGACGCTGCGTAGACCGGTGATGCCGCGCGTGGAGAGCGCGAGATTGATGCTGCGCTGGGAAGCGCGCGACACCGCTTCGTGCGTTCGAGGATCCGGTCGTGATTCGTAGATGTCGACCTTGCAGCCACGCTGGGCAAAAGCCAAAGCGGCAAGACATCCGACTGGGCCGGCGCCAATGACGGCTACACGCTCAGGGAGGCGACACTTGGTGGGGATCTGTGGCGACGCGATGCTCGCGTCTTTGCGCGTCTCGCTGCTGGATTTACTATTCTTGCTGTCTGTAGCCTGTGCGGGAGCAGCTGCAGGAACAACACTGCGAGGCTTGACTGCGGGATTCGCTTCGACTTCGGACAGCTCGTCGGCCGAGACCATTTGGCGTAATGCGTTCGACTTTGGCTTGACCACCGTGTTGAGGGCATCGTCGTCCCTGACAATCGTGATCTTGTTTGCTGGCTGGGTCTGCAAAGCTTCCAGCTGCTTCAGCACAGTGCCGATCTGTCCCTGAATCGCCTTGATCACTCTCTCCGTCTCGGTGTACGACTCTGTCTGCTCTGCGATCAGCGTCTTCCTGACGTTGGTGATCTCGGACACAATGGCGCGCTCGACTCGATCAGTGACCTGCATCATCACATCCTCAAAGTGAGGAGCGAGGACACGACTCACCACCTCCATGGCGGTGCGCTGAACCGCAGGTAGGATGGTCTGCGCAATGTTGCGAGTGAGCTCAGCCTTGAGTTCGGTGGAAGCGATGAGGTGCTCGACCTGCTGTGGAAGGGCCGCTTCGATCGAGTGCTGGAAACCGGATGCGATGTTGGCAGAGATGGCGTCTTGCACTGCCATCGTGATGGTGTCCGATAGAGCGGCGTTGATCTCATCGGCCGAGATCGTGACCTCGTTAGATGACTGCTTCTCACCGATTGCAGGGGATCGCTGCGGCAGCGTAGCTTGCGACGTCACATTGGTCGATGAAGTTGGCTCGGGCACAGCGACTGTTTCCCGCGGTGAGACCTGCTGCTCCTTAAAAACCACATGTTCGGCAGGCTTAGCGACCGCACTGGGCAGTACCGCACCGCTGCGCTCCAAGGGTGGAGTTCTCGGTTCATCCGTCTTGGCAGCGTCTGCATCATCAGCCTGTGCCTTGGCTGCCGAAGCCTTCTTCTTCTTGTTTTTCTTTTTTGTGGACTTGCTGGGCGTGGCTTGCGACTCAAGCGAGGATGCCTCCTCCGTCGAGGGCTCCGGCAGGGTTGCCGAGTCAGTCTCAGCGCTAGCCGTAGAAGGTCGGCCGACATTCTTCTGTCTTTCGGCGGCAAAGCTGTCGTCGGAGTTCTGTGCAGCACTGTGAGCATTGACCAACTGAACGACGCTGATGCCCTCGGGGAACGCAACGAACAGCCTGCAAGGCTCGCCAGCCACCCTGCTGCCTTGACTGATGGTGACGGAAGTACATGGGTCTTGCAATGCGAACTCTTCGATGGGGTACGACAGCTGAATACTCCAGGGCACGGAAACCTTGTCCGAATGAGCTGGCAACGGTTGAAGCTCGAGCGGAATCGCAAACACAGACGAGCGGAAGCTGTTGCAGACCAGAAGCGTACTGGTGTGTGCGTCGAGGTGGACGAGGTTAAAGTGCTCCTTGTCGCCCGACTGCGGAGGTCCTTGGAACTTCCAGACGTGCTTGAACGAGCGCGATGAAAGATCGTACAGCGCAAGAATGGTGTTGCACCTGAAGCCAAAGAGAGCTCCTCGGATGGCAGAGGAGTCCTTGTCTCGGGAAGTACCCTTGCTGCCTGCGCTCGGTCCATGGATGAAAGAGAGATGGCTGATGACCGTAGGCTCCTGCGAAGGTGACTCGATGCCGAAGGCCGTGCCGTTTATGTCCTGGGCGCTGCCGTCGAGGGCCTTGAAACGCAAAGTCCAGGACTCGTCACCTTCGAGAGATGCCGAGACTGTAGCCAGCGTGGATCCGTCGGGAGAGAATGCAAAGGCAGCCAGAGGTTCATTGTGGGCAACGTCTTCGCTCCTCGGATCAATGTCAAGCTCGGAAAGCGATCGGAACTCTTTCATAGACGATGCCGCCACTGTGTTGTGCAAGAACTGGCTTGCGACGTCAACGATCATGACGTTACTGTCGCTTGTCGAGATTGCCAGCGTTGGTTGCAAAGGATGCCAGGCGATGGCGGAGAAGCGGTGGACGAAGGGGCTCTTGTAAGGATCAGCCACGATGCGACCGAGCAAAGTAGGGTCCGAAGTCTGGTTGCCCTGTCGCACGAAGGAGGCGGGCACCTTCCAGATGACGACGCCTTCGTCCGTGGCATCCTTTGAACTTTCAACGAGCGCTGCGAGAAGGAATTCCTCATCATCTTGGGTTGACTCGAACGCGACGATCGACCGGACGGTAGGCTTGCCTGGCGCTTGAACGAGTAGACGAGCACCCGTGCCGATGTGGATGAGCCTGACTTTGCCTTTGGACATGGCGTAGCAGGCTACATTGCGACCCAGATTGGCAACGCGAGACGCGGGAAGAAGGCCTGCGGCAGAGACGTTGCATGGAAAAAGGAAAGGAGACGGAAGGAGTGCGACGCCCGATGTCTCGACGCTGGAATGTCCCAAACTCGACAGGCCGCCCGGCTGCTTGGCGGCGAGGTCCAGAGTGGCGATGCTGGGAGCGCTGGAAGAGCGAGATGGCGAGAGGACCGAAAGGCCGGACGACTTTGGGTCATCGAAAGCGTCGTCTTGCTTGAGTGTAGCAGCATGGCGAGAGGCGTGGGACTGCTTCTCCGGAGCATCGAGGGGCGCAGGGACAGATGGCAGTTTGCGTAAGTAGGCTCGGGCTGGAGACGTTGCCGCTGAGTCTTTGAAAGTTTTTGCAGAAGATAGTGGCCGGATGTCCTGCTCGTTTGTGGGAGGAGCTGAGGCGGCATGCTCGACTGGTACTACTGGCTTGTCGGCTAGCTGGGCTGCCTTGCTGGCTGCTGCAGACGCAGAGAGCTTCTGGAGGAGGCTGGAGATACCTGCATTGGCGGCCTTGTAGCCGTTGATGTGCTGTTCATCAGGAATTGGCTGTGCCTGAGCTGGGGCTGGTTGCGGTGTGAGATCGTCTTGTGGCTTCGAGAGCATGTCGAAAGGACTGACAAAATCAAAAGGGGTCCTGAATGACGGTGCAGACGCAGCAGGCGCAGCAGGTGTACTGGACTCGCCATTCAAGACGTTGTGAGCCGCACTATCATGCTGAGGCAGACCAGTGTCATGCGATGGTGGAGTGTTGATGATAGGCGAGGGGGAGCCAGGTGATGGCTGGCGAAGCTTTGAGCCTACCGCACTGCTGACCGAGCTTGGCGGTGACGGGGGCAGCTGCAGGGCCTTGTTGAGGAGAGAGCGCTGTGGTCGACTAGTATCATCAGTGACGTTGCTTTGTGTTGCGCCATTGATTTCAATATTGTTGTTCGGGCTGACCGAGGGAGGTGCGAGTGGAGAAGAGGAGGGAGCCATAAACTGCTGCATGAGGGAGTTCACATCCTGGTGATAGCTGTATTGCTGCAGAGGTCCTGACATGCTGGATGATGGAGCTGGCTGACCTGGCGCTCCGCGCCCATGTGACCCGGATGAGGTTCTGCTCAAGCTGGGTGCGGGAGACCCCTCGGCGGCAGTGGAGCTAGCGAGAGGAGCTGTTTGGGACTTTGACGCTGTTGGGGAGACGATGCGACCAGGAGCACCAGCGAGGAGATCAAGCAGTGAATTGGATGCCGAGATGGATGATTCCGGTGAGAAGGCCTTGGGGCCGGGCGGAGGGGTCGACATGCTCGAAGCGACGCTGGACGCGGACTAGAAGTGTGGATGCGGGCACGGCGCGTCGTCGAAGACCTTGGGAACCTGATATTGACTGTTCCTCTCGCCTGCACTTGTACGGTCTAGCTTGGTCGTTCTGAGTCTCTATCCGCCGCGATTGGCTGTTGTGTGGATGACAAGGTGTGGGACGGAAAGGAGGAAGGGGAGCGCAGCAAGAGTGAGTGAGCTAATTGAATCGTCAAGGGTTCATCCGCTCCCGCAACGTCTGTCTGAGTTAAGCAACTTTTCTTCTCGAAACGTCACATCGACTGAGCCCGCATTCGACATTTTTCTTCTCTTTCTTCGCTGTGACTCTTGAGAAGTGGAGAATTTCCATAAACCCGAACCAGCTCAACTCATCCGCTCTTCATCAATCACCTCATCACGGCTTCATGCGGTCAGATGTGACTTTCTAGATTTGCAACAAATTCCGACTCGGACGCCGCTAGCTGCCGCAATTTTTGTAAGCTCAGCTAAAAATCATGCTGTCTCTGCCCGGCCCCTTCGACCGTCGCTTCAACCCAGGGACGCCTCACGTGGCTACACAGACCTATCGTTCAGAGAACAGCTCAGACAAAATGAGATCCTGACAGAACAAGCGGACACAGGAGGTCTTGAACAATGGCAGATGACCGATGTCAACGAGGTGAGCCAAGGATCGAGATGGATGCCTTTGATCTTATGCAAGTCATCGGCTAGATTTGATGAAGAATTCGCTTAATCCGAGACCGGAGCGGGAGCCGGAGAGAAAATACTAGAGTGTTACGCCGCCATCGCTTCTTGTTCAGTTTCTTTTTTTTAAGCATGGTCGGCCCCAGGTTGCGTCGACAAGAGTGACAACTGCGAGAGCTGCTCTAGGATGGACTTTGCTTCGGAACCTTCACTATTGGCAGCAGTCTCAGTGTGAGGCGTAATGTCGACGACGAAACGTGCCCGAATTTTACCGAATCGACCAGCTCGGGATGGCTGAGTAGGCTCGCGGAGGGGGGTTACAGTGACGTTGATAGTGCAAGGTGAAGGAGCACATTCGTGACTGATGGCTTTAAACGTTTCGATGAAAGATGTCGAGCTCCCTCAAGGCATCAAATGTAAGATCTGCACAGAAATGGCTAGCTTTTTCACTCAAGGCTGCTCGATAGTCTTCCAAGACCCTATTGTTGGAGCTGGGGAGTTCGACCATGTTGCGGTCGTGGCTATCCGCACGATACGACGAGGTCAAGGTGCGACAGTATGGTGTTTGGCGACTTATTTCTGAGCTATCTACTGTATCGGATACACCTTGGCAGTGCCAGAGAGAGTAGCGAGTGTTGCGTGAGACGGGGGCGTCTTCACTTGCACCGAAGTCGCTTGAGAGAGAGGTTGCAATGCGGAACGGCAAGAATTGCAGTGGTGGAAGAAGAACAGCTAAGTCGAATGGTCGAAACTATGTATGTTTGCTTTTCGAACTAACGAGACGTGCGGATGTACACGTTGCGGAAAGCTCTTACGGACGCTTCAAGAGATGCGGAACGCGCGTTCAACAGCGGAAACCGCACGATCAAAGTCCAGCTCCAAAAGACACATCTCTCGCTTCGCTCATGCATCTGGATCGCCTATGGCTTAGCGATTCCATGGACAGACGGAGGCTAGTCAGAGCTTATCCTAGAAGGCGGAGAACAACAACCTGCGACTTCGCACAGACTTCGTCCTTCGTCGGACGCGATCGAGCAAACAGCTCGGTACATCCGACTATACGAGTGATTGCATTTGCTCCAGCAGTGTTGGACGTTTCTATTATCATACACTCTTCCGCACTTCATCGTCTCTTCCGCTCCTACTTTCCTACTCAGTGCATCCTCACTCCATTCTCTCTAGCCTCTGATCACACACCCTTCGCTCTCCTCTACCACTTTTCGGAAGGCGCAAAGTCATCGTCTTGCTTTTCGATATTGAGCATTACTCTAGCTTCAACGGACTGGCCGTCTACTCGTTTCCGCATCACTCACCGCATCATGACCCAAGACTTCCACCTTCAGTCCGAGGACAAAGTCGATGCCTTCGAAGCGATCTTCGAGATGCAAGCCGTTCTCGAACAACTTCGTGCTCGTCTACCGAAAACTTTCGAGCGGCTCCTGATCACGAGACCTACCTCTACCACCTTTTCCGCATCGTCTGCGAAAGCTTGGTCAAGGTAGGAGAAGATGCAGCTTTGACCGGCGAGCGTAGCATGAGGTCGTACACTCTAGATGGACCTGATGGAATTCCCTTGATCGTAGTTCGAGTCCAGGATCAGGAGGAAAACGACGCGTTTCTTCTGAACAAGGCGGTTATGTATGAGGATTCGTGCCCAGCTTGTAGAGAGATCAACGCTGCTAGGAAGGCAGCTCTGGATGTTGAAGATGGGAGTGTCGATGCAGGCTCGCCTTGAAATAGAGGAAGGGAGTACAGGGTGAGGGTTGCCGCTCAGACCGGAGGTCGACATGCCTCCATCCCGCACAGATCTAAAACACGTTCTGCCCAATAGACGCGTCAAGCTTCTGGGTAATCAGGTTCAAGTTCGCTGACCTGCCAAGAACCTCGAGCTCATGGCCAGCGCAATCATTCTGCTAGCTATTCTCTCAAATGCGCCTCAGTCTATGCCAAGAAGTTCCCTGGCAACGATGAACAACGGATGGTTAGTGGCAGATCGTTATGCATCGAAGAAGTTATGATTGAATTCCGCAAGCGGTATCGGAGTAAGTCACGTCCACAAGCACGGTTGAGGGTGAAACCGTAGCACATAAGCGGAAAGGATCGATCAGAAGAGACGAGGAAGGATTGATCAACATGCGGAAAGACAACGACCTAAGCTGAATGCAGAGATCAGGACGATTAGTGCGAGCTACGGCACTTCTTGTGACCCCTGGAAGGAGAGGTGAGAGGACCGTTGCCTCCCTGACCACCGTCACCCGAAGCGGGAGGCTGAGCAGAGCCACTGTCGCCGCCGGAATGGGGAGGATTCGAGCCTGAACCGGATCCGACACCAGTATCCTTTCCATTGCCAGCCGATTCTGGACTGTAACCCTGAGGCTTACCCTGATCACCATCCACAGTACCGCCAGTACCAGCTACGCCACCCGCCGAATAGCCCTGCTTCTTTCCACCGGCCAAGCAAACGCTTCGATCGCGCTTGTGCTGAGCAGGAGCCGCCGCATTCTCGCTGCTGATCCTACCCGAATACGCACTGGCCGTATTATCGTCCTTGCGCTGGCAACCCGAGCGGTCGATCAAGCTCTTCGGACACCTGACCCTCTTCGGCGAACCTTTGAGCACCGGATTGTCACCCCAGTCGCTAAACCTCCACTCGCAGCCCTCCTGCAGCGGTCCCGGCAAGTTTTTGCACTGAGAAGCAGTCTTAACCCCGCCATACTGATCACCCCACAGAGAAGCAGCCACACCCCACTGCTTCGGACAGCCCTGAGGGAAAGCACCCAATCCACCACCGGGAATCTGGAAATCGATGTTCTGACTCTGGACGTCGCCACCCGTGTTGGTGACTTGGAAGATGAGCTTGTTGCGCTTGATGGGTTTGCCTTGACCATCGTGAGCGAATTCGGCGTAGTAGCAGGCACAGTCGGTGTCGGACTCTTGACCGGTGGTGAAGGCTGCAAAACCGAGGGCAAGGGTTGAGTCCGAAGTGTCGTCGAAAGGCTGCATGCAGCTGCACATGAAGTTGTTACCACCGTTGCAGCCACTTTGTCCAGAGTTGGCCTCGGCAGCGGGGATCAGGGTGACACCGTCCGCTTTACAGACGTCGACGGGGGCGTAGACGGGCGCTTTGTTCACTGTTGGGACCAGAAAAGCAAATCGAAATGTCAGCATCCGACCATTCGTGGAGGTCGGCAAAGACGCTCTTTGTCTGTGACGAGTCTAAAATACTCTACTACGATACTTACACCATGCGGCGCTGGGTTGGCAGCAGTCCCAGTATCGTGTGGCCATTCCAGCGCTGGCACCATCAAGGTGAATCAGCGAAAGGGAGAGTGAAAGAGCCAAGAGGCCGACGTTGAGTTTGAAAGCCATCTTTGCGAAGGTTGGTTGGAGTACGAAAGGGGATAGAAGAAGAAAGAGTGAGAACTGAATGAGCTAGAGAAAAGAGAATGGAATGGTTCTTGTCCAGCAAGATGTTGCTTAAAAGGGAAGTGTGAGAATGAGAGAGATGACGAAGGAAGGTGATGGGATACTGGTCGAGGTGTGCTCGATCAGGGTTCCTTATATGCCTTCTTCCTCTTCCCACCGCCGGGAGCGTACGAACGCCTGAATCGTGAGGAGAAGTCCTGGTCCGTCGAGCGAGTGCGCTACGTGAAGCATCTCATTATGGTCAGCACTTGCGTGCGGCCCACTTTCAATCCTGATACGTCACATGAAAGCCATTATCCTCAGGCACTTGGTCAGGCACGATGGCGCAAGGAATCGGCAATGAACGATTTCATCTGCGACGATTTGATTGATTCACCTCACCTGAAGGTGGGATTGGCTGAGCATTTGTTGATTGTCGTTCCGGCTCTGTCTGGGTGTTGCAACGTTGTCATGACGACCAACGACGCCGAGCTGCATTCCTTTGTACCTGGGCGTGCACATTCGGTCATCGTCATCCTGACCTCACCAAGAGCCATACTGTACACCAAACATCACAACACACAATCAAGTTGACAACGTTCTCGACTTCGCTCACTTACGGTGTTCTCCACAGCCGACAAAAACCTAGCTTCGGATGGCGAGCAAAACCCGATACCCTAGAGCAGGAAAAACTGAGCTGCTGGCACGGCACGACCGGCAGATCGAAGACGATGATTTCCTATCGGATGTGGGGGTTGTGTCATGAACATGGGCTGAAGATTGCATGCCGGTTGCAAAGGTGGACAATGAAGCTCCTCCTTCCTGCCCCTGCATCTGCGTGCACTTTGCGGCTGTTCCAAAATCTGTACTCTGCAGACAAAAGAAAGCCGTCGACACGTCACGAACGGAATTCGGAAACAGACGTGCGGAACGCACACATGTTCGCAAAAGCGCTTGGTTGACGCCGATGGCTGGAAAGCTCGAGCAAAGTCCGGAACAGTCTTCCGATCGGAGCATGGTGTTGAGCCTAAAAGCAAGCTCGTGTCTCGATGATTCTCACCGCTGCAACGTGGTGTGAGCCGGATGCCAAGTGGATTTCCGAAAGGTCACCGGTGGGGTCGAACCCCACCACGAGCGACCGTCGGAACGGCATTGTAGACAGAAACGCGGCAACACCGATGGACGTCGAAAAAGCAAGCACAGGCAGACCGTGTGTACACACGCGAGCGGAAACCGTCAAATTGCAGCTTGAGGTCGTGGATCGAGGAACAACATGAAGAAACCCTTTGATTGCAACGCCACCTTGCCTGACAAGTTGGCACGATTTTACACCCCCTCGTCCTTGACACCGTCGCTTAGGACATCGTCTTCGTCGTCGCCATCCTCGTCATCTTCATTATCGGCGATCGTATCAATCCAGCCGTTAGTCAGCTTTCGGCCTAGCTCGTCGTGCTTACCGCCGTAGTATTGGCAGGTCTCGGCATTGACTGGACCGGTATCGTCGCAGAAATCGAAGACGGGACAGTGACCACAAGGCGTCTCGGTCCATCCGACCTTAACAGAGTGTGGTCTGACAGCACGGTAGACGAAGGGAGCGATCTCATCCGCGCCCGTCCCTGAAATTCGACGGGATGATGAAGACTTGCCGTTAGAACGCTTCTTCTTGCTGCTCGAGCGCCGTCTGCTTGCGTGATCGGATGACGATGACGAGGCGGTGCTGGTATCTGACTCGGATCCGCTCCCCTCGTCATCTGAGGAGGCAGCGCGAGATAGTGAACGCGAACGAGACCGTGACGATGACCGTGATCGCGACTTGCTGCTCTTCCTGTGCTTGGATTTGCTGCTTTTCGAAGACGACTTGCTCGACTTGCTTTTTTCGCGAGATGATGATGAAGACTTTGCCGAAGCTCGCTTTCGTTTGCCGCTGGTGACGGGACCTTCATCTTCTTCGTCACTCTGGTCGTCTCCATTGGACTTGCGCTCCTTTTTAACCTTTCTCCTGCCACCCTCGGTTTCCGATCCCGTCTCTTCAGCCTCTGATTCGCTATCTGATGCGCTATCGCTGGTCCCATCTGATCCGCTGCCGTCTGTGGAGCGATCAGAGTCTGAGTAGTCATGGTCTTCCTCGTCGAACCCATTGGTATGACCGCCTGATCCACCGAAGGAAACAGGAAGGATGGGAATCTTTTCGATCTGCTCGTCGTAGACCAAGATATCGAGTAGAGACACGACGTGTTCGACTTCGAGCTCGGTCTCTGTCAGGTTGGAGTTGCGCAGATACGAATGGATGCTGTTGGCGGAAGGAAGCTGCGATGTGTGAGTCGTGGGGAAGAGGGCTCTCGATTGACCATTTTTGGGGAACGACTTTGAACGAATGAAATTGAGGATGGCCATGGAAAGCTCGTTGATAAAGCCAGTGTCCAGCTCGTTGTCGGTGTACCAGGGGCCGCCTGAGAGTTCGATGGATGGAGTGAGGCCGAAGAGCATGAAGATCTTGCGGGTCGGGTATTTGACCGACTTTACCGCCTTGACAAGCTGCTTCTGCTCGAGCGACTTGAGGCATCGGTTGATGATGGTTTGGTGCAAATTCGTTCTGGATTTCAACTGCTTGGTCCAGATTCCTTCGTTGCGCGAGTCTTTGATATGCGAGTAGACCAGCGTTTCGTTCTCGTCGAGCTTGCCCATCATGCTCGCCTCCGCCTTGGCAGTGGCAGCAAACTGTAGCGTGCCGCTAAGAGACTGAGCCGAAAGGAGGCTCTTTCTGAGCAAGCCATTGACAGCGCTGAGTCGATCGTCGACGTGTTCATGCTTGAACTGTATTTCGATCTGGTCCTGGGTGATGATGCCGCCTGGTGAAGCTTGAGCTGCTCGGTACAGTGCTGACTCGAGCTTTGTGAGCTTTCCACCTGCGGCCGATGATGAGGACGAAGCTCTCGCGCTCGGCATGGTGACGGAGAGAGCAGCGACCTGCTGAGCTGCCTGAGCTCACAGTGCCAAGGCGAAGGACGGCAGGGAGATGGTGAGGAGAAGGTGACTGTGATGTTGGAAGAGAGTGTGAATCAGAATGCGCTTTGCAACTTTTCTTGGAATTCCAAAAAGTCGATTTGTCTCACTCAAAATTCACTTCCGCGACCCGAGCCGGCTGTCTAATCGGGATCACAGTGACTGAATCGGGTGGCTGCGCCTTTATCATGCTCGAATGAGCTTGTTCGACATGAGAATGACACCATACTTTGCATCAATAAGTGACTGCATGGCTCTCTCCGTATGACCACCGACCAACACAGGCCAAGCATTTGCTGTCGTTTCGGACCCTGGAACAGTCTGTTTTCTACCCCGTACATTCCTGTTATCCGCAGCTTCCAACTTCATCGGCCTCCATTCCGCACTCCTAACGTTCAAAGGGGACCTCTTCCTAATCTTGCTTCCCTCCCGAATCAGGTCTGCGAAACAACCTCATCGCAGGGGCAGCACTTGGCTCTGCAGCGACAACATAAGAAACGCCCTCCAATTCATCTGCAGCGTTCAGCTCGCCACAGCCATGCCTGCCGAAAATGTGCTCGCCCAATGTTCATTATGAACACTTTCTCGATCAACCCTCCTCCTCGTCTCGACCGCTAAACGACGACATCCTTAGCCTCGCCCGGGCTAGGCAGGCAGGCCCATCATCGCTCTCATCCATCTATGGCGCAAACTCGACGACCACTGCATCCACCAGCGTACTGCTTAGCCATACTATCAATCACCACTCATCGGTCCTTTCTCTAGCCGTAGACGAGCGTCGCAATTTGCTCTACTCTGGCTCCCAGGAAGGCTACATCAATGTCTGGGATCTCACGGCTTTCCAGCCTACGACGCAATTAAAAGGTCATACGGGAAGCGTGCTGGCGCTTGAAGTCGCTTCCGAGAAGAATTGGCTCTTTAGTTCGTCAGGTGACAACACCGTCCGAGTGTGGGATACCTTGACCAACTCGCCCCTTTTCGTCGTCTACCCAGCTCAAGATAATGTAGGCGACATCTTTGCGCTCAAATGGTGCTCAGCTCTAGAGACACTCTACATCGGATGTCAGTCCACATCGATTCAGTGGATCTGTCTCGCCGGCTTCGACAAAGACAGGCCCAATGACCGAAGCGGAAACCGCTCTCTCGACGGGTCTCAGATGCAACCTGCTGGTGACGGATACGCTCAAGGTACAGCAGCCGACAATGGGTTGGACAGTCCCATCATATCCACACCAGATCTTATGGCTCGGCCGCACAAGTTCTTCGACTCCGTCCCCGTGGCACTCAGCAGGTCCGGTATGGGTACCGCAGGTACATCGACTCCCACCCTCTCCAGCGCAAGAGTACCTAATGCAAATCCCGGTATTGCAAACGTCCCCGCACTTGGAAAAAGTCCACGAATGGCGCAATCTGGTTACATCACTGCCAGCAAGGGAGCCCTAGCAACAAATGTCGCGACGGAGAGGGTTCTCGACGCGGCGTCGCAGCGACTCGATACCGCAGCCATTCCCTCCTCTGCGTCAGGGTTGCCCGATGCTGACATCGACCAGCCAATCGATTCTGTCCGCACGCTGCTCGTCCCGTCATCTTCTTCTGTACCCTCTGCTCACTTCGGATACGTCTACTGCCTTGCGCTCTTGACTCTTGAGGGCGATACTGAGCATCCTACCGTTCTCGCGTCCGGCTCTGGTGACGAGACCATTAAGCTCTGGCATGCCACCCGATCCGGCCTCTCGCTCCTCGCCACGCTCGAAAGTCCCAATGCTGAAGGCAACGCCATTCTTGCCCTCGCTTCGTGGAAGACGACCCTCTTCTCTGGCCTTCAAGGTGGAGAAGTCGAAGTCTGGGACCTCGAAACCTGCACGCTGGTCCGGACTATCAGAGCGCATGCTGACGACGTCATCTGCCTTGAGACTTGCCCCGAGTCAGGCCTTCTCTTCACTGCTGGCGCAGATGGCAAGGTGCACACCTGGGACAGATCTTTCAGATGCGTCAGCAGATTGCAGGCGCACCAAGGCATCGTCCTCTCGCTTGCGCAGGTCAGACGCAGCCGTTCTGATGTCACACAAGGCCTCGAAGACAATTTTGAGCAAGGTGATTTTAGGCATATCTCCAAAGTATCGCAGCTTGTCACAGGCTCTAGCGATAACCTCATCAAGATCTGGGACGCTGTGCCTTTGCAGCTCCAGACGTCTCCTTCGTTAGGTCGGCAAGCACCGCTTTCAGCACTGCAGAGAGGAGCGGATCGTCTTTCTCTGGACCATGCAACGCCCTCGTTCAGCTCAACACCAATAGCAGCCGCAAGCGCTGACATCGCTGCCAACATCGTCGGCCAAGAAGCGAAATCCATCCTCGCGGCAACATCCAACGGCAAGACTGGCGAAATTGAATCGGCGCAATGGCCGCTTCTCCGATCACTTCTGCGCAAGTTCATCTCGTACCCCAGTGTCAGTTCGAGCGAAGAGCACCGAGAGGACTGTCGACAAGCCGCTCACTTTCTCAAGACCTGTTTCCAGGAACTCGGGGCTGAAGCGCGCATACTGCCCAATTCGGCGGGAACCAATCCTCTGGTGCTTGCGACTTTCAAAGCGAACGCTCATCGATCGAGACGACGCCGTGCAGCAGCTGCCAACCTGGATCGCTCCAGAAGTGCGTCAACCTCGACCACGACATCTGCCTCTACCACTGCATCGAGCAGCTCGTCCGAGTCATACTTGGACGTCGACCGTAACGTGCTGGACGAAGAGGACACTGATGAAGGCGAAGGCTTGAGTGGATCCATCATGTTCGATCACCTCCAGGACCCTATCGAGCGTAATGACGGTGTCGATGAGGATGACGGACGCGCATCACGACCTCGACGCAAGAGGCGTTGCTTGTTCTACGGCCACTACGACTGCATTGCGGCGGAAGGGAACTGGACTTCGGCTCCGTTCACGCTGGACGGAAGGGACGGGTACTTGTACGGTCGGGGCGTATCAGACAACAAGGGCCCCATTCTGGCAGCCGCCTGTGCAGTCCATCACCTCCTCTCGACGCGTCGGCTCTATTCTGATGTCGTATTCCTCATCGAAGGAGAGGAAGAGAATGGCTCGGTTGGATTTGTCGAGGCCGTCAGGAAGTACAAGAGCGAGATCGGCGAGATCGATGTGGTGCTGCTCTCCAACTCGTACTGGCTAGATGAAGAGACACCATGCCTGACGATCGGCCTGCGCGGAGTGGTGCGGGCCACGATCAGTGTAACGAGCGGCGACCGCGACGTTCACTCGGGTGTTGAAGGCGGTGCGATCCGCGAGCCCATGGTCGATATGGTCAAGCTGCTGGCGCGTCTGACGGGAGAAGGCGAGCAGGTCGCTCTGCCTGGATTCTACGACTCTGTGCGCCCGACGACGGATCTCGAGGTGCAAGCGTACCGGGACATTGTGCGCATCAAGCGATCGCTTCAGTCCTCGACGCATGCGAACATCGATACGGTGGAAAGCTTGATGGCCAAGTGGCGCAACCCTTCGCTGTCTGTCCACAACATCCGCGTCTCTGGGCCAGGCAACTCGACCGTGATCCCGTCGTCGGTCTCTGCACAGGTATCGCTTCGTCTCGTGCCGGATCAGGATCTGGCCACCATCGAAGGTTCCCTGCTCAACCACGTCAACACCACATTTGACTCGCTCTACCCAACCCTGGCGCGACCGTCGATCAAGAACAAAGTCAACCTTAGCGTCGACCATCGAGCCGACTGGTGGCTAGGTTCCGACTCTAGCAGCTACTTCCAGCTGCTACGCGAAGCGGTCAAGCAGGAGTGGACGGCAGAACCCATCTCAATTCGAGAAGGTGGAAGTATCCCAGCCATCGCCATCTTGGAAAAGGAGCTGGGCGCCAGTGCAGTGCATCTGCCTATGGGGCAGAGCAGCGACAATGCGCATCTGCCGAACGAGAGGTTGCGGCAGAGGAACTTGGTCAAGGGTCAGAACGTGGTCAGGCGGTTCATACAGGGCTTGGCGGGCATCTAGAGCGGACAAAGCACGGACTGGAATGCATTTTCACTTTCGGGAAAGGTTCGCTGGGTGAGTATGGGTGAGGTCGAAGTTGAGTCGGCTAGATTCTTGCATCTTTGCGTCTGGAGTGAAGAATCGAGGCAAAGTGGCAGATTCAGTGAACAGTTCTTCTCAAGCGATCTTTGCTCGGACAGACCGCAGAAGCCTCGCCAAAAGTGCTGCTTTCCCCCCCGGCCTCCCTGCGTGTATACACAGCGTTGTCACTTTCGCACCTGCTCTCATCTCTCGACAACCTCCGACACACGGTGTGCACACACGTTGAAAGACGGAAAGGCAAGGAACACTTTTGAAGGGCATTCGCATTTCCATCAACAAAGGGGTGAAGATGATGGGAGATTTGGTGGGCGATTGCCGAACGGGGGCGCTTCCAACTTTCAATACACGATGCGAGGTGGGGAGTGTGTTGGAGACGCTTACTGAGGCTTGCCGAAGGAGATGATTTCGATCCAGTAGTTGTCCTGTATTCATCCGCAAACCGGAAAACATCATATGTCAGTACTCCATCCAACAACTTGACCCGACTTTTCCTGCCTTCTGTCAACGTACGGGATCCAAAATGAACGCGATGTTCTTCATCTTCCCATCCGTCAGTTTCTTCTGAAACTTGACGCCCAACTTTTCAAACCTGTCGCAGGCCTTTTCGATATCGTCGACGGAAACACACAGGTGACCGAAACCCTTGGGTTCCTGGTTGCCATTGTGATAGCTGAAGTTGGCGTCGTTTTCGGTGCCGTGGTTGTGGGTGAGTTCGAGGATGGCCTCTCGTTCACCGCGCTGCGAGACACCCTTCTGGTGCTGGTAGGCGAGGAAGTAGAGCGTGAAGTCGCCGCCGTCGTGCGTGTCGATGAGGTCCATCCCGAGGGTGTTCTGGTAGAAGTCGAGCGAGATCTTGGGGTCTTTGACTCGAAGCATCACACTGTGTCAGAGAGAGGAGGGTAAGCATGTGAAAGAGGGAAGGAGTTGGGATTCAGGTTCGAAGGAAAAGGTGAGACTTACTGGTTGAGGCGGTAGCTGGCGGTCTCTGCAGTAGGTGGCAGTGCGCGTGGGGTCGAAGTGTGGAGTGGTCGATGAGCACGAAGTAGGAAAGAGACGGTGGGGAGACGAGGTAGAGGTAGAGAAAAGTGTAAGCCATATTGCTTAGACTGGCGCCGACAATTGGTTGCTGTTGCAAGACCTCGAACGCCGGCCACCGTGCTGGTTGGAGCGACGGCCAAACTGCTGGCATGGAGTGTCCGCAACGAAGCTCGGGAGGATAGACTCTGTCGGAGTAGGAAAGGGTACGAACCTGCGGTGGCTGGCATTTTGGGCAATGATACTGGTTTCTGTCGGCTATCCGGTGAAGAAACGGTCAGATGGTGTGGTGTTCGAAAGGAAAGGCGAGGCTAACGAGCGGGTATATATTGAGGAACAGCTTGCGGGACCGACGGTGCGGCAATAACGAACTCGACCGATCCCCGTCTCTCTTGCTTCACCTGGGCACCACTCTCTCACTCAGCTGGTCAGACATGACGTTGTTCGCCTTGTCATGCACGCTCTTCTCGCTCCGGCCACGGCGAATCGTCGAGTGTCGTGTGTCACAGGAGCAGCCGTGCTCCAAATTTTCTGACGGTTGGAAGCCTCCACTTTGCTCTGCAGCGCACGGGCTTAGGCGCTTCTTTCTTCATGAAAATGCGACACTGTAAGGTGAAAAGATGTAACATCCTTTCCCCAACGCGGGAATTGCACAGACCAACACCAAACCTTGTGAGAAACGCTTTGCTTCTCGCATGCCACACACGGCTGCGGATGCTGCTGCTGCGCGTGTTACTTTTCACGTCACCTCTTGCTCTTCTTGAACGTCGTCTTCATCCTCGATCTGCAGCATACATCGTACCAAGGAACCCAACCATTGAGCGAGAACGGTGGCAAATGTCAATAGCACTCGATATGGACACAACCAAGATCCGCAAGCAGCCCGCTGCTTCGGCTTCCTCCTCTTCCTCATCCACACCGTTCTGCTCCGTGATCGTCCCCGCCTTCCGCGAGAACCTCAACATCCGACCACTCGTCACCCGACTCTCCTCCGCATTCTCCTCCCATCCCGATCTTTCCAACACCGAAATCATCATCGTCGATGACAACTCACGCGATGGATCCGTCGAAACCGTCTCTGCACTCCAACACGAAGGCTACAACGTACGCATCGTGGTACGCACTTCGGAACGCGGTCTCTCCTCCGCCGTCGTCCGCGGATTCCGTGAAGCTCGCGGCGAACGAATGATCTGCATGGACGCCGACCTTCAACACCCACCCGAAGCCGTACCCTCGCTACTGCTCGCGCTCGACGATCGCAAAACCTTCGTCCTCGGTACCCGCTACGGCGCAGGCGTCAGCATGGATAAAGACTGGCCCCTCCACCGTCGCATCATCTCCTCTGGCGCGCGAATGCTCGCCCTACCCCTCACAACCGCCTCCGATCCCATGAGCGGCTTCTTCGGAATCACAAAGAGAAGCTTCGCAAACGCCGACCAGGACATCAACGCCCAAGGATTCAAAATCGCCCTCGATCTACTCGTCAAATCCGGCGTCGAAAGCAGCGCCATCGCCGAAGTACCCTTCAGCTTCGGATTGAGACAGGAAGGCGAGAGCAAGTTGGATGGCAAAGTCATGCTCAAGTACGTCGAGCAGCTCGTCGAATTGTACAGGTTCAGGTTCGGTACGGCGCCGTTGGTGTTTGTGCTGTTGATGCTCGTCGTGTTGGCGCTGTATGTTTGGTCTCATGTCGTGGCGCCCGTGTTCAGTCGGTGAACGGTGGTAGCGCTGTTGGTGAGGGGAGATGTGGTCGATCCAGGGAATGCTTTTTGAAAGCCATATCGGTAGCATCTATGTGTGTGTGTGTGTGTGCTTCAACTCAATGTGCGTCAAACCCCTCCCTATCACCACTGACACACTCACTCGAAGAACAACAGAAAAGTACAATTTCTCTAGCCTATCCGTCCGTACCTCCTCGCTACGAAGAGAACTTGGCCCTCAGCTGAGCCAACCTGTCATCCGCGGCCGAACTCCTGATCGACGAACCCCTCGGCGAATGGGTAGCCGACGAACTCGTCGGACTCCCCATCGATCCATCCGCCGCCGCCGTCCCGAAACGCGAAGACCTAGGCGTGCCCGGCGTCCCGCTCCCATTCGCACTACCTCCCGAAGGCGTGCCCACCCGCCTGATCTCCTCCATCCCCGTCGTGGCCGGGGCAGCCTGCGCCGCAGCGCTGCCGTTCATCACATCCGGATCCTCCGCCGCGTGGTTCGCGAGAGCGCGCTTGATGAACCTCTGGAAGATCGGCCCCGTCTTCTGCAGCGAGTTCTCCACGTGCTTCTCCAGATGCGGGTTGCGCTTCTGGAACTCGTACAGCTCTCGAATGCCTTGACGCGACTCGGACTTGTTCGAGATGCGTTGGAAGATGTCGCGCAACTCGGCGTGGTGCGTGCTGCTTCCTTCGTCGACAGCTCCGTTGCCGTTCTGGCTGCTGCTTCGCTGATGTCCTTCGCCGTTGCCACTTCCGTTGACCGGCTTTGACCTGGCGACTGCACCCGCGTCGGCGTCGACATCGGCGACCGCCGCCTTGTCCGCAGCTCCCCCCTCGGCAGCAATGTTGAGCATCCGGATCAGGTACTTGTACACGTAGCTGTTCTCGGGCTGCGCAATCATGTCCAGCATGCCCAGCGCCTCCTCGCCGTAGTGGTTCGACGTGTGCGACAGAATGATCTTGACCGTTCGCAGCGGCAGATCAGCGAGCGGGATGCCATCCTGCGCACGCTGTCGCCATTCCGATGGAGCGATTGCCTGCAGGAAGCTCTCCACATCGGCGAACAGCTGCTGCGGCTCCACCTGGTGCTGCGCCAGACTGTCCTCGAGGCGCTTGGCGATCTTCCACAGACACTTGACCAACAGCTCGGAGAACTTGGAGCGCGTCTCGAGCACTTCACCCTCGAGCTCGCGCAGGTCTTCCGTCGCTTCGGTCAGCATCTGCAGGCACGCGCCATACAGCAGGTTGAGGTTGCACGCCGAAAAGCAGCGAAGCACGATCACGTTGAGGAATTTGGACTCGTTCTGCGCGGATGGGTCGTCGGCGCGAGACGTAGACTGGATCAGCTGCTGCAGAAGCACCGTCAGCAGCGGAATCAGCGCTGATCGAGACAGGTACGATCCGAGCGTGCGTCCGTCCTCCCAGACGCGGTTCTTGTCGAACAGCGACGTGCTGACCACGAGCAAGTGCTTCTTCAGACGCTCGTTGCCAAAATCGCCCGATCCGGGCGAGAAGGCTCGTTGCGTCTGTTTGCTCAGCACGATGGCGAGCTGGTCGACGTGCGAGATGAGCTGAGGCTCCTCTTCGCGGATGAACGCCTCGACGTGCTTGAGTGCGAGGACGCTCTGCTCGACGTTGTTGCTCACGACGAGGTTGATGGCTTGGTCGACCGAGAGCTCTTCGTCCTCCTCCTCGGGCAGCTCGTCGGTTAGAAGTTCATTGCGTTCCGGCGCGATGGCGCTTGTCGGACGAGCAGCAGCAGCATCGCTAGGTGGACGCATTATGGAAGCGCGAGGCGATCCAGCACCCGCTGGTTTTGCGGCGCGAGGCAGGCCGATCGCAGATTGACGTGCGGCCCCTGCCGCGGGCAGACGGCTTCTGACGCCGGCAGAGGGAGCTGCTGGCTGCTGCAGAGACGAACCGGGTCGTGCGAGACGCGAAGAAGGCGCACCGGTCGACAGACGACCAGGAGACGGCAGAGCAGCGGCAGACGTGGGAAGCACAGATGCGCGCGGGCCAGCACGCGCAGCAGCGCTCGCGGCACTGGCGGGCTTCGTCGCCGCCGCGCCGGTGGACGCTGACGGCGCCGTGGTCCGCTTGAGCCTCTCCTCCAGCATCGACATCTCCTTGCCTGGCAGCGAACCAACGAGCTTGTACACCTCGTCTCCGATGATCTTATACGCCTCGCCAATCGCCGAAAGGGCGGCCGTGCGCACATTTGCATCACGGTCGCTGATCTGTTTCGCAATCACGGGAAGCGTCCGCGATGGTGAGCACACTTGAAGACCATTCTTTGAGAACAAGTAGCCGACCTCGCTCAGACATTCGGTGCGGACGCGGGCGTTCTTGGACGGCAGCCCGTTCTCGAGGTAGCTGGTGAGCAGCTTGCTTGGCGGGAAGATGAAGGTCATCTTGCGGAAGATTTCGCGGATGCGGTCGCGGAAGGCGACTTTGGCATCGCCGAACTTGGCAGTGAGGCAGGGTAGAATGCAAGCAGCTTCGTAGTCGCTCATGTGGTACTGCTGCGTGCTGAGCAGCGCCACGAGGTGCTCAAGGATGTCGAGGCACTTGAGCGAGAGACTCGTGTTGTTGTCCGTCAGGCGAATCGAGACGTACTTGAAGATCAGATCCGAGTTGGCAATGCTTCGTTCGATGGTCTCTTCCGGCGAGAGGCCGTATTGCTCCTCTGCAAAGGTCGGGCTCGAGATAAAGTCGGAGAGTAGGGTCAACGCAGCGTAGAAGTCCTTTTCTGACGAGTGGCTCTTGCTGAACATAGAGTCGACGACACCGCGGCTGAGCTGACCGTCGCACTGCTGACGCAGGACCTCGATCAGCTCGGGTCGCGGCGCACCATCAGCTGCGATCCAGTTGGCAGCTTTGCCCTCGCGCTTCTCGCGCAACGTCTTTGCTTTGATGTCTGCCGAGATGAGTGGCGCCGAGCGATCCATAGCACCACCGGCGCCTGCTCCTTGACCAGCGGCCCCATTTGAAGACGAGGCAGCGCTGCGTGAAGCGACGGTGGCATCGCTGCCGTCGGAAGCCAGACGAGGCTGGCGAGCGATGGCAGAGGAAGGTGCCTTGAGCGAACGACCTACCGCCGAGGGTGGCTTGATGCCGCCTGGACGGGCAATGGCCGATGTGCGGGGAGAAGACGCGGCAGCTGCAGCGCCAGACCCGGCGCCGGACAATCTTGCCGGTGAAGCTGCCGCAGTTCGTGAACCGGCCACAGCGGCTCGAGCAGCAGGCGCTGGGCCGGAAGCAGACGCTGGAGGAGCAGCCGCCGCAGATGCACCGGCGTTTCGAGCCGCAGCCTGTGCTTGCACTTTGGCCGCATCGATGAGCGGGATCGCCGTGTTCTTGGATGCGGTCTTGAGCTGGTTGGCCTGCTCAATGACATGTTTGTAGCCAGCTCGCATGATGATGAAGGGCAGACACGCCAACGAAGCCTTGCGAACGGCTGCAAGCTTGTCGTCGAGACACTGCACGCATGGCAGAGCGAGCGGCGCGAGATCCATACCCCTTTCGGGCGGATGCGACTCAAACCAATTGGCCAGCCAGCCGAAAAGCTCTTGCTTGAGCATCGGATTGGCGGCTTTCCCTTCGACCACGGTGCTCATGCCCGGCAGCAGAGAGCCGACACCGACTTGCTCAGCAATGGCCGTCAGCGCCGTGGTAGCCGAAGCTCGGACAGGCGCCTTGGCGTCAGCGAGCACCTGCGTTATAGGCCCAGCCAGGATGCGGGCTTGCGGTTCGAAATGCTTGTTCATGGCTGTAGCAATCTTGGCGATGGCATCGAGCGCCATGGATTTGCACATGATGTTGCTATCGGAACATCGCATCTTGAGCGCGTTGGCAAGCTCGGCCATGTTGCCTTTCAAGCGGCTGTTGGCATTGACGACAGCGAGGACTTCTTCGAGGCCTTCCTTGCGCTCCTTCCAGTTGGCGTCACCCATCCGCGCGATGGCAGCAGCAGAAACCAGACGATCGAGGTCGACGCGCGGAACGAGCTCGTCGAGCATGTCTTCATCGACACCGTTGTCCTGGGCTGCGGATTGCGATGCGCCTCCGCCGCCTCCCGATGCAGCCTTGCCAGCCGGCGCTTTAGTCTCATCGCTGAAACGCACAGGTGCTGGCGGTGGATTGGATGCCGCCTTCTCGATCTCCGCTTCGATGGTGGTACGAAGCTGCGGATTGAGATCGGCAACAAACGAATTGAGCGCGGTTCCGAGGAAGCGGGCCAGAGTTCCTATGGCTTTGGTGGCGTTGGTGCGCACGGCGGCGTTCGCCGACTTGAGGCACGTGACGAGGTAGTCGATAAGAGAGCGTACGTCGATGCCAGCAGTGCCGAACTCGAGCAGCGTCTGGTCGACCCACAGGATGGAGTCGGCGATCGCTTTTGGTGCCTTGAGGGAGCCAAGAGGCCCCAGCGCTTGCGCCAGAAGGAAACCGAATGATGTTTTTTCGGCAAAAGTCACGAGCGTCTCGCCGGCCGGTGTCTTGAGCTTGATGTCTCCCAGCTTGTCGCAGAGAGGCTGGACCGATAGCGCCACCGAGGGGCGGGCGAATGTTGGACAGTCGTTGGCGAGCAACTGGAGCGCCTTGTACACTTCGGCCATGACTTGAAAATTGCTCTCCTTCCATCCTGGCTTCTTGCCCAAGGCACGGACGATGATCTCAGACTCTACGGTCTCGGCCTCCACCTTGAGCCAATCGTTGAACTCGGTCATGCCTGCGAGACGCTCCTTCCATGCACTGCTCGCGAGTTGCGTGGCGATGCCAGCAGGGATGAGGTCGGCTGCGCGTGTTTCAGCGTCGTCGGGGTGGAAGCGATACTTGACTGGCTCGGTCGCTGAGGCAGCTGCCTTGCTACCGCCCCCGGATGCAGCTGCGGCGGGACGCGCAGAGGCCGCTGGTGCTGGTCTGCGTGCAGGTGCACTGGAAGAAGCTGCCGGTACGGCTGCAGCAGGCCTTGCGCCTATGGGTCGAGCTGCCATGCCTGGTGCTGGACGAGCGACGGGTCTTGGTGCTTGGTTTTCCTTGCCGGCAGCCGTGGGTGGCGCGGCAGATGGCGGCTTTGCACGAACAGCAGCAGCGGGAGCGGCACGGTTGGCAACGGTGGAAGGTGCGGCAGCTACTGGTGGTCTTCGTGCTGAGGCCGAGCTCGACGAAGGTACGCCCGCGCCCGCAGCTGAGCCCATCTTGACCTTGACCTCGGCCGTCTTGTACTCGTCCTGAATCTTGCCCTTCTTGATGTCGTCGAGACCGTCGAGGAAGATGTTCATGGGACGCTCGCCGATGAGCTTCATCAGAGTGCCGAGACCTGCTGCTCCTGCGTCACGGACGTCAGGAGATCCATCGGCCATGGCGGTGACCAGAGCATCGCCGATGGGCTTGATGTCAGCTTTGGCCGGGGCGACTTTGGTGGTGCGAAGGCAGCGGACGAGGAAGCGAATGGACTCGGTCTTGACAGCAGGATTCTTGTGCTTGATGCCGGTGAAGATGTGCTCGAGGATCTCGGAAAAGGAGACGGTCTGGAAGATGGCGTCGAGCGCCTTGGCAAGTACCTCGACGGTAGCGGTCTTCTTCTCCTTGAGCTTCTCGATGATGGACGGCACGACTTTGTCCTTATACCGCGAGAAGTTGTCGCGGAGACCCTTTGCCATGGCTTCGAGACACTGGCACGAGACGAGGACGACGTTGATGTTAGCGTCTTTCTGGATCTTGAGCGCAAGATGATCGACGAGGTTGTCAAAGCGACTGTCGGGCTGAACCTTTGGAGATGAGCTGAGGATCTTGAGGATGGTCTCGAGCGTCTCTTTGCGCTCCTGCCACTTTTTGGAGACAATCATTTCTTCAAAGTCGGCAGGGAAGTCGCGGCTGCCAAAGACGTTGACGGGCTCAGCCAAGTCGTATGGATCCACGTCGTCGTCTTCCTCTTGCGGAGCCTCAGAAGTGCCGGCGGTCCCCGATGCTTCGGCGACGGCACCTGCACCTTCTTGCGAGACCGGTGCTGCAGCGGCCTGCATTTTTTCACGCTGGCTGAGCAGGAAACGTGTTGGTGTAGGTTTGGAAGTGGTTGCTGCGTCAATGTCGGCGAATTGCTGGCGGAGTTCCTTTGCTTGGATGTCCTTGAGTGTGTCGATGGTGGGCTCTAGTGCCGCGCCGATGTATCTGTGGAGCTCGTGCGCCAAGAGGGAGGCTTCCGCACGGACGTTCTTGTCGGAGTGGGCAAACATGTCTGGCAAGCGCTTGAGGATGGGTTTGGGCGAGACTTGCTTGTGACCAAAGTCGCGGACGAGGTCCTTGATGGCGGTGATGCAGCCAGCCACAACTTTGGGTTGTTTGGCTTTGAGACCGTCGAGGAGGTCGGCGAGGAGTGGCTCACATCCGACCACGTCCTCCATCTCTGCATAGAACGAGATGAGCTCGAGCGCGTTCTTCTTTGTACCCGCACGCGTGGATCCGAGGCACTTTTCGACGAGGGCAGGAACGACAAACTCTCTTGTGCGTCCAGCAGGCTGACCACCAAACTCGACAAAGGCTCGTACGGCATCTACACCCTTTTCCTGTGCAACCGCATTGGTATCGACCACGATGGATTTGAGAATGTCGGGATTGCGGGTATATTGGCGAAAGATGGGGTCGTTCTCGGAAGAGGTTTTTGGGAAAGCCTTTGTGAGGTCTTCATACGCGGAAACACGCGCCTTCCACAGTTTGGACGCTAGGCGTTCCTCTATTGACAATTTGGTGAAGTCATCGTCGGTCGGGGCGGCGCCGCCCATCATGTCCGTGCTCATGATCGGCAAGGGTGGGCACGGCCACTACGATGTCGATGTGAGTGCGAGTAGGTGGGACGGAGCGTGTCTCTGATGTAGTCGTTCAACCCGAAACGATTCGTGCACGTGTAGAGAAGGAATGTGGAGCGGCGAAAGAAGAAGGACGCAGCTGCCGAAGACTGGCTTGCGGTGCGTGTCGAGGCGACGATGTGTGCGAGTCTTGAGGGAGGGTGTTGGTGGCGATGATGGTTGTGACGATGGAGAAGCTGCCGACGCCGAATGCTGAGCTCTACTCGAGAGGTGGATCAAGTCGAGTCGAGCAGCGGTGACGATGGACTCATCGCGTGCGAAATGTGATTTTTGGCAGTGCCGATGCTCAAAGGAAACACAAGGGGAGGATCTGCTCTGCAGCTGACTCTCGAAAAAAGAGTGTTGCTCTCAAAGACTAGCGGAGAGCCTCAAAACAAGGCCACCAAACGACGCGCCTCAGAACCAACACTTGACTATATCGGATCGGGCCGTTTTGTTAGCAGCCGAATCTCACACGTGAGACAAGAAATAAGCCTGGGCGCGCGCGCGCGGATCTGAGTGCCCAAGTGTTGTTTACACCCACACAACACGCGTGTGCCTCTATTCAACACTGCGCGCGTCCGCAGGTGCGTGTTGGTCTCTCTGTGTTGGTCTCTGTGCCTTGGTGGTGATGATCGTCGACCACGCGAGGCTGGCTCACGGCGAGCGAACCATGCAACATCGAGAGGCCCACGTCCGTTTGAACAGGTCACACGCACTGTCGTTGTCTCTGCCAATGCGAGCAGCATTTACTCTGCAAGCTCGGATTGCCAGGCACTTCCACAGCTCTGACTCCCCTTCTCGGGCCCCCCAGTGGAGCCACCGCCAGAAAGTTTTCACCGGCAAGCGTCGTCTTGTGCTCCGAGAACGCCTAAGCGCAGCCTTGCCAGTCGACTCTGCACCGTACAGGAAGCGCTCTGAATGTTTCTGGGGCGAGAGACGAGGCATTCAACCGCATTTTGAAAGCAAGTGGTAATTTTCCCGACGTCGTAATTTTCTCGCAACCAGCGGTGTTGCTGCCGTCGGATCAGTTCCGAGTTCCACACGCTCCACTTTTGGGCTGCTGTGAGAAAGAGGTCGATCCATCTCGCCTACCTCCTTCTGCCACCTCGTCATCATCTACCACATCATCTTTCGAGCCTAACGTCGCTCAGCTCGATAGCCTCAAGGGCCGGAGCCAACGCTCCAACCGCCGTCACTATGAGCGAAGATGGCGCCGACCTGTAAGTCACACACCATCTCTTGCAAGCATACTAGACGCCGCACGCATCGGCTGCTAGGATCGCGAATGCTGACAACTTTACATCTTGACATATCGTGTTCCCTCCCTCAGCCGCTTCGACTCTCCCGAAAAGGAGATCAAGCACTGGAAGTCCAAAGTCGCCGACATGCAAGATGCCCTCCGAGAAACCGAGTCCAGCTTGCAAGACTTCATGGAGAGCAGCAAAGAGCTCGAACAAGAGATGGAAAAGGAGCTCTCCGCCTCCAACAAGACCATCTCCGACCTCAAGCGCCGCAACGAACAGCTCACAGGTGACCTCGAAGATTGGAAGTCCAAATACTCGCGCGCCCTCTCCGAACACAACTCGACGCTCACCAATCTCCAGAAGGAGCTCGGACAGTTCAAGGAGGCTGTCGACGTCTACAAGGCCAAGCTCCGCGATACCGAACTCACAAATGACGAGCTCGAGAACGCAGAACGCATGGTCGCATCGTCTCTGGCCGATATGGAGGGCAAGTACAACAAGACGATCGAAAAGACGGCGTTGCTGGAAGAGGAGCTTATCGAAAAGACACGGCTGGACGAGGAGAATCAGCGTCTGAAGGATGAGCTGCGCGAGATGACGGAAGAGATGACCATCCTTCGCGATATGGTCACGCGCAGCAGAGCCGTCTCTCGCGCAGACACGATGGCAAGCTCGACCTACGACGACTCCGTCGTTCCTCGCTCCGATCAGAGCTTCGATAGCTCACCGAGCAAGCCCAGCGTCGCAGCTCGGGTCGCAGAACGTCCATCGTCGAGACAAGCCATCGGCTCTCCCAGCATCAACCGCGTACCCATCTCGCGACGACTCGGTGCCATGGGCCACAACCGCAGACTGAGCCGCGACGTCCGAGCCGCCGAGGCACCCTCCCTCGCCGCTGTGCAGGACGACAGCCCAGCTGCACCAACCTCTGCTGCACCCACACGCACATCCACACTTTCACGAAGAGACACACTTGCAGGCACACCCTCCCACCACGGTCACTCATCCAGCCACGGTCTCGCGTCCTCACCCTCGGCACGAGCTCAAGTCAGAGCCTCGGTGCGCGCTGCAGTTCGCTTGGGCGGTTCGGCTATCCCATCGACTCCGCGTTCCGGTATCCCTTCCGTCAGCGGCAGCGGCGGTGCTGCTGGATCGAAACGGATGATGGCCGAGATGATTTCCAAGATGAAAGCGCTCGAGACGCGAATCAACTCTGCCAAGGATCTCTCACGTGTTGTCGGACCTGGCGACGAGAGCGCCATCCCTCGTCCCAGCTCTCGCATGGCAACAATCGGCTCACCCAGCGCCAACGGTCACAACTCGTTCCACATCCCCACATCAACACCGCGTGCGCCTCGCGCGAGCATGGACGGAAACCGAACCATCGGTTCGTCGATCCCTGTTCCCTCGCGCGTGCGAAGACCGAGCTCGAGGATGTCGGAACGCGGTACGCCACCCATGCCGAGCCTCGGTCTGCCTCGATCCCAAACGCCCAGCAGCCTCCACACGCGCGGTTCCAGTCGCGGAGCAGGTTCCTCTCCCCTCCCGCCGCACGAGTTCATGGACCACGATCCAGCCAGCACCCTCCCACACGTAGCTCGCTACGCCGCAGCCCACGCCAGCGCGGCCAAACGAAGAAGCAGCATGACCGGATCGAGCATGACACACTCCGCATCCTACGGTTCGCTCGCCAAGGTGAGATCCGGTTCTACGCTGCCGAGATCCACAACGCCTTCTACGGTAGCTGCACCCAGGGTCACGCAGAGCAGCATGTCGCATGCCGACATGTCCATGAGCAAGAGGACGCCGTTGTCGACCAGGTTGGCATCGTCGCACAGGAACGGATCGAGCGCGAGGGGTAGTGTGAACGGTCCACCGAGTTCGTGGAAGAGTTCGGGTGTGGCTGCGCCGGTGTTGACGAGAAGCAGATCGGGGAGCTTGGGATCTGAGACCGAGACATTTTAGATGCCAAGCAGGGTCACGGGTAGATCTGGTGAATGTATTGACAATACGAAGTGGAAAGCTTGTGTTGAGATGCGTCTATGGGCGTGGTGAGCACATGAACAGAGTTGTGAATGAGCAGGATGAGAGGGACATATTTCGTTCAGAATTTCGGTGACTCAATCATCAAGCTTTATTTCTTGCGTGGACCTAAATCAGATATGTCCGGAAATGCACTTGCTTTGTTCCCGGCTGCTCTCCCCGCATCAGACACCCAACCCAATTCGATCAAGTAGTAGGATCGAACAGCTGCATTCGCATGAGCTCATACCAAACAGCCTCTCTGAAACGACCAACTAAAGCTTCGCCTTGAACACCCTTGGCGCCTCATCACCCTTACCCTCCTGCCTGACACCATTGATCAAGCTGCCCAACCCACCACTTCCCCACAAATGCACCGTATCACCGTCCTTCAACCAGACTTTCGGGTTCCTCTTGAATCCCTCACCCGGAGGCGTACCCATGCTCACCAGGCTTCCCGCTTCCAACGTCGTACCTTTGCTCAACTCGGCCAGCGTCTCCGCTGTCTTCCAGAGCATTTCCGAGGTATTTCCATCCTGCATGATGCTGTTGTTCAACTTGGTCGTGAGATGGATGGCGTCCGGATTGGAGATGCCTCTGGGGTTGGAGGCGGATACGAGACACGGACCGATGGGAAGCCAACCGTCGAAGCTTTTGCCCAACCCCCACTGCGGGACGGCGAACATGCGCGTTCGAGCGGACACGTCGTTGGAAAGTGTATAGCCGAGAATGGCGTCCATGGCTTGAGACGGTGTGACGTTTTTGATGTTTTTGCGCAGGACGACGACGAGTTCGACTTCGTAGTCGGATTCTTCCGCCGCACAGGGAGGAATGACAATATCCTGACTGGGTCCGGAGAGCGTCGAGAGCGGTTTGTAGAACAGGATAGGGATCGAGGGTCGTTTCTTGATGGCGTCGTAGGAGGCTTGTCCCGGTTGAACAAAGTTGGCTCCTAGCGCTCGAATGGTAGGCACCTCCGTTGGGAGAAGCGGGGGAAGCAAGGTGGATACGGTTTTGATGACACCAGAAAGGGGAGCGTTGCCAGAGAGCGGGTGGGCGAAGAGGACGTTCGCTTTGATGGGACCGGATTGGTTGGCGTACGCGACACCGACGTCGAGGAGGTCGTCGATGGGTTGACCAAAGTAGGTCTGACCGTCTTCTCGCGCAACGAAGCGGATCAGTCGCCACCACGAGGTGGGTGCAGATGCAGATGCAGATGCTGTCATGGCTAAGTGAGGTTTGCTTCAGAGAGCGCAATGGAGTTGTTCGTAGCGAGAAGAAGAGACCGAACTTGAGATCAAAGTACAAATACAGCATTAGACGATGGCCCAGGTAGAGGCAAAGTTTCCCCACACCAACCGATACACACATACACTTTGACCATGCAGATAGAACCACGCCAGTCTCTCCGGCACAACGGGCAGCTTTGACAGGCGGCTGCCGGTCAGAGCGCGATATGCACGATCGACAAGCGGCCTATGCAGCAGTCTCTGGTCGGGTTTGCTCCGCAAATTCCGCCTTTCCAAAAGCGCCCCAAGTGAAAGCGACGTCATAGATCAGAACAATGTTAGGTCGCGATGCTCTATATGTCCATCCCCACGGCGATCTTCAGCTGTCCGGGGATAAGCGCTGCAGTTCGAGTTCACCACAGGAAGGCTGGGTTGCCACTACAGGTTTGCTGTCCTCCATGTCTGATACCCGTACCAGGTTGAAAGGTCTTTGGCAGTAGTGAACATCCATAGTGCGTAGAGGGGTGACCGCCTCGGAATCCGAGAGAGAGCATCGAGGGATGACAAAACATGTCACGTCGAGTAATGCCGTCGCTCTGCCTCCACAATCGCTTTTTTCTTTCTTTCTTTGTGGTGGTCTGCTAAACGCCGTCATGACACGGACCACTCAGTGCTGTAGCGAGATGCTGATGGAAGAGCGAAGCGCCGTTTTGACGCCCTGCCTGTGTGCTGAGCATCGAGCTTGGTTCAACCGTATATGAGCCTCAGTCGCATTTGCGTTCAAACTCCTTCTCCCCAACAACGACCACATCTTCATGTTCGCTCAAGCAACCCCCTCTCTGCGAACCAACCTTGCCACCGCCCTCACAAACCAAATCCGAACATTCACCACCTCCCCCATCACTTCGGCCGCCATGAAGCCCGTTCAACTCTACACCGCTGGCACTCCCAACGGTCAAAAGGTCTCCATCATGCTCGAGGAGATCAAGGCTCTCAACCCTTCCTTCGAGTACGAGACGCACGCCATCGACATGAGCAAGAACCAGCAGAAGGAGGACTGGTTCCTCAAGATGAACCCCAACGGTCGCATCCCAACCATCCTCGACCCTAACAACACCGCTACCGATGCCGAGGGTTTCCCTGTGATGGAGAGTCTGGCGATCATGTTGTACCTGGAGAAGAAGTACGACGACAAGCACGTCTTCAGTTGGTCCGATAGCGATCCCAAAGGCGAGAACTACAGAAACCAGGTGCTGCAGGTAACTATCTTTCCCCACATTCATTCTGCGAACCACTCGATAAGCACTCCAGTTCCTCGCATGCTGACTCCTTTCCTCTTATCCCCTCTCACATCTTCTTCGACGCCTCTTCAGTGGTGCAGCTGGCAAATGGCCGGTCAAGGACCCATGCAAGGCCAAGCCAACCACTTCCGCATGCAAGCCGTCGGCGACTCCAAGAACGTCGTCCCCTACGGCATCAAGCGATACCACGACGAAACCGTTCGACTCTACTCCGTTCTCGAAGCAGGTCTCGAAGGACGCGAATACCTTGTCGGAGATGGGAAAGGAAAATACTCTCTGGCTGATATGTTGACCTTCCCCTGGGCTCTGTGGTACCGCTTCGCCGGTATCAAGCACGAGGAGGTGGGACCGAACGTTAAGGCTTGGATCGAAAGGATCAGGGCTAGACCTGCCGTGCAGAAGGGCCTGGAGGTCCCCAGCAAATCGGAGCTCTTGAAGAAGCTTGACGACGTAAGTAGACAAACGAGAAGAAGAGAGAAAGAGAGAGAGAGAGAGAGAGAGAGAGAGAGAGAGAGAGAGAGAGAGAGAGAGAGAGAGAGACGATGAGAGGGAGAAGGGATGGCCGAGCGCGCTTTTGCGCAGTCAGCTTCGTCGATTCCATTGCATGCTTGAAGATGGGATAAGCTCGCTCTTAAGCGCTCGAAGCGTCTTGTGACTTTGCAGAGGTGCTCAGCTCATCGTCGACCTCCATCTTGTCCGCCTCTTGTGTCGAGCTGGCCGGCTTTGCGTCCATGTGCGGCGACTCCACCAGCCTCGGCTCGGCGTCCTTGCTTTCCGTCGAGCTTGCGGTGGTGGCTGCTTTGACGTTCGACTCGCCGCTGCTCTGTTCGGATTGCTCGTCCCCGCTGTCCTCTTCGTCGACGACGTGTGCCTCATACACCACATCGCCCTCGTCCGAACGTCCGCCGGGTCGGAACACGATGCCGGCTCCGCTCAGCGCACCCGCCAAACCGCCGGGCAATCGTAGCGATCCCGCCGCTCCGTCCTCGCCGTCCTCGCCGCGCGACAATCCTCCCGAGAGGAGCGATTGGATGCTAACGGCACCGTCCATACCGCTCTCCTCACCGCGCGCAGACGGTTGCGTGTTTTTGAACACGGGTGCCACGTCCTGAGGTGTGGTGCGACCAAATTTGGCTACCTCGATGTTCTCCTTGATCCAGCTGTACCACTCGTCCTTGGTTCGTCCGTTGAGCAGCGCGACAACGCAAACTGTCATGTTGTCGCAGCCGATACCGCCTGTGTCGGAGTCCGGAGCGAGGCAGCGGTTCATGAGATCCTCGCAGATCTCGGTGAGCTCCTTGCCGTTGGCGACCGAACGTCGCACGATATCCACCACGTCCTGACTGCTGAGACAGTCCCAAATACCATCGCAGGCAAGCACGAGGAACTCGTCTTCGGCCTCGAGAACGTCCTTTTCGAGTACCTCGGGGAAGGCGGTGACGATCTGCTCTTCTACAGGAAGTTCGAAGGAGCGCTTGAATTCGAAGTCACCGATAGCTCGACTGAGGGCGAGGTTGCCATTGACACGTCCCCAGCTGACGTATCCACCGGCGTTTTCGATACGCTCTCGCTCGGAATCCAGCGTAGGCTTGTGGTCGGTGCTCATCTCGAGACCTGCTCCGGCTCGGGATAGCACGCACCTCGAGTCACCGGCATTTGCGACAAAGATTCGTTCGAGACGTTTTGGGTTCTTGGCATTTGTCTTGACAAAGGCAGTCACAGCAGTACAGCCGGAGGGATCGTTGGTGTAGTTGGGATCTGTAGCGAAACACGAGGTCAGAAACGAGTCGCCGAGATGGCACCGGTTAGAGGGCTTTTCGTCGGCAGATCGATGTGCAAGTGCAAGGGGCAAACATACCTTTTTTGAGTTCTTCATCAACGTCCAAGAAGGCCTTTTGAAGCGCTTCTGTGTATGCACCCTGCTTGAACTTGTCCTCAGAGATGAGAGTGTTGTGCAAGCCGCGACCACAGTATTGGGCGACGGAGGAGCCTGTTGTTAAAATGGAAAGAGGAGAACTGTCAGCTCGTCATATCCTTGTTGAATACATCATGGGCGATTCGCATCATCGATCACCTACCACCATGACCATCGAAGACGCCGAAGAAATTGCCAACGATGCCGCCTTCCGCATTTTCAATGTCGAGGATGGTTGTATGAGCATCCTCCATGCTGATTCGCCAACCTTGCATCTCGGAGATTGCGTACAGAACCGAGTCATTGCCGCCCGAAGACGTCGTCTTCTCTGTGACGGGCTCTGAAAGTGTCTGACCCATGATGACGGAAGCGAAGTCTTGAGAACCCTGCTAGGAAACCCGGGGAATGTTGGGCCAAACGAAAGAGAACTCGCGGAAAGAAGGCTCGAATCGATAATTGGAGTCGAAGGACGTATGCGGATCGTGACGACGACAGCAACCTATTGGTAGGATGTCTCCAGATGGACGGATGCGACTCGAAGAAAATCTGAGCTTTGCGGATTGTCGGCTTTGGGGAAAGATGGAGGAAGCTGGGGTTGGAATGTGAGCTCGAGAAGGACCGACCTGTCTGCGTAGCAAGCTACTGTAGTCGCTTTGTAAACAGGATTGGCGTCAATGGCGTAGCAAAGCGGTGCGAAGAAGCAAAAGGCCAATGCTTCGGAGACTTCGTTGAAAAAGGGAAAGCTGAGTCGATGACAGAGGTTGGTGGCAGGACGGAGAGATGATATGAGCGGAGCGATTCCGGTCAACGAAGACGAACCAGCTCCAGGCCACACAGAAGCTGGAGTGCCAGAATGGATGGAGCGTCATCCGACTCGAAACCGTATTTTCTGGTTATTTTCTCTTTGGGATGCGAGGCACGATGCCCCAGCGACAGGTCTCACTCAGGTAGTTCACTCACGCAGCCTGCGATGGATACTGGATGAGGCCATTTTTTGAGCGTCAGTCAGTGCACCGCGTCTGTGTGTTGTTTTTGTTCCGCACCGTGAGTGTTAACTTGGCTTGCGTGGTGACCGAGAATCAACGATGACCCGCGGTCTAGACACTCTAGACTGACGAGTCCCTTTCTCCACGGACAGGAAGAAAAAAGAGCTCCTGAGGATAAGACAGCTGGGCAAGGGCCACGCAACCCCCACTTCGCCATCAGAAAGGCACACTCACACATGCGTCCGTCAGCTTGCATTTGCCTCGAGACATGCAGATCCTCGTTTCTCGACTTTCTTCCTCATCTCCTTGAGGAATTACGATGGCCTTTCCACTTTCCATTTGGTCTTTGATGAGCTGCTCCGTGGATGAGTCTTCCGCTGCTGCTCCTCCGTGCTTTTTGCACACCCGTCAGACCGTAACTGGATCGTGACTCGCGAGGAGACGGGCTGTTGTTTACGCAGCTTTGCCAGGGCTTCTCCAGACGCTGGAGAATTCAACACGCCAGAGCCGGGATCAGTCGCGTGAGGAAATAAATGCTCATGGAGAGACTCGCACGAGTGTTCGAAATGTCCTTTCAGATTAAACCCATGTAAGATTTTAGCAAGTTTTTCCGCTGAATGAATTTTCCTTCGACTGGCGTGTGGGCTTGTATTCGCAACCTTCAGACTTCTTCCACACTACCGAATACAATTTGTAGCCAAGAGCGCTTTTCGGAAAGCAAGGGTCGTAGCCATCTTCCCTTTCTTTTCTTCTTGAGCCTGTCGCCGAGTCGCGGTGCTGCCTTCCGCTGCCGCGATTTTGAATTGGGTCTCTGCTGAGAATTCTTTTTCCAACGTCTTTCGTGGCTGCTCAGTCAAAGTGTGCTTTGAGCATCGTCTTCGCGATCCTCTGGTCTCGACACCATCCGACTTGTTCTCCTCCACCACTGCTAGATCCACCGCAGACATCAATCATGGTAAGTAGACTCATCACGATCGTCTCCGATCAGCAGACCAACGCAAAGCAAAGCAACGCCAGCATCTTGGCAATCGGTCGCGATTCGTTCCTAAAGCAGCATCTCTGACCACGACTCTTGCAATACGTTTCTATTCCACCTCGTCCTGTCGCATCTCTGCAGCGGCCCATCTTGTTGTCGGGACACGAGCGCTCGCTCACCCAGGTCAAATTCAACCGCGAGGGTGATCTGCTCTTCTCGGTCGCAAAGGATCCGACCATCAACGCTTGGTTTTCCCACAATGGCGAACGTCTTGGCACTTACGAAGGCCACAACGGTACCGTCTGGACCGTCGATGTAGATTGTAAGTTTGCCATCGAACAAGCGGCTCGTGATGAAGACCTCCAACTGACCCGATCTTCCTCGCTCCACTTCTCGTCCCGCATAACCTCCGACAACGTTCCAACGTTTACTTATTCAACGTTTGGCGCGCAAATTTGCACGCACCTTCCTACTCCCCTCGACCCTCACAACTTCGTCCGACACTGCATTGCCCTCTTTTCAGCCACCTCGACACTTCTCGTATCCGGATCTGCCGACAACCAGATGCGTCTTTGGGAGGTCGCAACGGGCAAGTGCCTCTTCACCTGGGAATTCACCACCGCCGCTAAGCGTGTCGCCTTTTCGGAAGACTGCACACAGGTCCTCGTCGTCACCGAACAGCGTATGGGCTTCCGTGGCTCCCTGCGTGTCTTCCGCATCAACCGAGACCCTGCCACTTGGACACAACAGGACCCTGAACCCACGCGCACCATCACCTTCTCTGGGCCCAAAGCCGTCGTCGCCGCCTTCGCCCCTTGCGATCAATACATCGTCACTGGCCACGAAGATGGAAAGGTAGCCACCTACTACCACGACGACAAGGAGCCCGAGAGCGGCATCGACGCCGAGCTCGAGGAGAACTCCACCAAAGCACACACCGACGTCATCTCGGATCTGCAGATGAGCGCCGATCGAACATACTTCGTCACGGCGTCCAGGGACAAGACGTCCAAGCTGATCGACTCCAAGACGTTGCAAGTCATCAAGACGTACGCTACCGAGACGCCTCTCAACAGCTCATCGATTCACCCCACCAAGCCGTTCGTGATTGTCGGAGGTGGTCAGGACGCCATGAACGTCACCACCACTTCGGCGAGACAGGGCCGATTCGAGACTCGATTCTGGCACAAGGTATACGAAGAGGAGTGCGCTCGTCTCCCGGGTCACTTTGGTCCCATCAACACCATCGCCATTCACCCCGCTGGAACGGCTTACGCGTCCGGAGGTGAAGATGGATACGTTCGTGTCAACTGGTTCGACCCTGGATTCTTCAACTCGAAGCTCTACGGTGCCGACCTCGAGCTCGCCCTCGAGGACCAATAGACGGTGTCACACTCTTGACTTTGTACGCAGAGGTCATACTAAAAAGTCGGAGGGAGCGGAGACACACCACTGTCTTGCGCTCTTCCACGACAAAGCACCTTGCACTTTGGTGCCTCTCTTGTTTCCATTGTAAATTAGCCACTCAGCCAAATGCTTGCAACCAGCAACACATTTGCCCAATCTCACTCGCCGTTCGACCGGCGTGCAGATGCGCTGCTGCCGAGAAGGTCTTCTTGAGGGGCACACAGCGGTTCGCTGTTGATGATTGAGCTGCTGATCATCGCCGAGGCGTGCGTCGAGGCTTGCCTTTCAAGCTTCCTGACCTGATTCTTGGGATACGGTCTGTACAGATTAAAGGCGGTGCGTTTGGTCTCTCATCGTCTCACAACAGACTTCCGGAGACTTCATCTTGGAGGTACTCAAGGTGAATTTCGAACCACAGCCTCAATCCAGCAAAAAGACGTGGCTGTGATAACAAAGGATAGCGATTAGACTTATGAATGGCACCAATGACAATTGCTAGGGGTATACATCTTCAGCGATGAAAGGGGGTATCAAAGATTGCTTGAAGTCGACAAGCACCCGACGAGGGCCATCCTTGCTTTCTCCTACAGATCCTTAGGCGAGCCCAACGGACTGATTCCGCTTGACTCGACGGGCGATGCGGACGAAGACCTCCGATCACCGTTTGTCGAGCTCTTGTCCGAGTCCTTGCTAGCTCTCCTGATCCAGTTGCTCAATGTAGGAGACAACGACAATCTTTCCAACGAGGTGGCCGAGTCACGCTTTTTCTTGTTCGACCTTGTAGAGACTCCAGAGTCATTCTCAGACAGCTCTGCTGTTGTAGTCGTTGTTCGTGAACGTCGTGAGACAGAAGACGAGTGCTTCGATGTGGAAGATGTGGAGCGTGAGGAATTATGAACGACGGCAGTGGTAGCAGTGTTGGGTTTGACACCGTTTTCGAGGAGATGCAATGGCCAAGGCTTTTGAATGGCTTGAGCCATCTCGTAGCGTGCACGGAGCTCGGCCGCTTTTTGTGAGGAGCGTCCACCGTTGGATCTGTATGCTGAGGAGGAGGATGCGCTGGAACGCGATCGGAACGAGGCCGAGGAAGAGGCGGAAGCTTCCGCTGCGGATGCCTCGGGCGACTTTTGTCGTGACATGAGAAGAGGCATTGTGTGAGGCGCTGCCGTGTTCCGAAAGCAGGTTGTGAAGAGTAGCAATGCCGGTTGTGTCGGTGCGGTGACTGCGCGACGGTGGTAGCTGAGCGTCAAGGGATCTGCGTTTATGATGTTGAGCGAGAGGCAGTGATCAAAGCTTCGGGATAGTCCAACGAGAACCCCTTGACATATATATCGTTTAGTGATCCTACACTTCGAGTTTGGCCAAGACACGAGAGCGCAGTGGTCTCACTGGCATGAAAAGGGATTAGCCAGACTGCTGCAAGCGAGAGAGCCATCCATAGGCATCCTACCTGCAAAAGCACGGCTAGAGCCAAGAACCCATTGCATTGGGTCTACAGACGCAGAGAAGTTGACACACAGCCAAGCCGAGACGTGATGCCGACTCTCATTTTGAAGATTCTTGGCGTTTCATCTAAACAGCATTTCACGCTGCTCTGCTGGTTATGACCTTCTGCTCTGCCGTTGTATTTTCGTGAGCGAATTAAAAAAGCAAAACTTGACCGAGCTGTCCATTTGGGCAGACGGGCAGTTTTGAACTGAGGAAAAGGGGAAAAGCCCAAGTTTCTTGGCATTTTTTCAGCGAATGAGAAAAGTGGAGATGCGAAAAATCGGTCTGCACAGCGCAGCCTGAGGCTTGCTTGGCGGCACCTTGACGATCCCACCGTGGATGACAATATGCAGCTTTAGAAGCGGCAGCATGCCTTCAGGGTTTGGTGTCAGTTTCACATTTGATCTCAGCGACCCTCTCAGCTTGAGCATTGCACCAGGCAGCGGGACGGCTAAAGCACGATCGTGCCCAGCACGCCCAGTCAGGTGTAGTCAGCCAAGCAGCTGGTCCATTGACCAGTGCATGTGCTCCAAGAGTCAATTTCAATGTGCTAACGGGTTCTTGAAGTTTTTGCTCTCCGCCCTGCCCTGAGTCTGTGAACCAGGGTCTCTTCTTGAATTGGTCTCGACCGGCAGATACACATGCATTTCCGCCCTCCTCACCAACGCGAGATTCTCGAAGCGACTTGGCGTCGTCCACCTTACCCGAAACTTTGACGCCGATCAATTGTCCGTCGTCGCCATGCGATCGCTTCCCACCCTCTCCTCAACCGAGTCGAATATGACTGTATCAGCCAGTAGGCGAGGTACCACCCCGATCGGGCCAAGATTCTACCTTTGCGCCGCCGGTTTTGCTCTCAATCATGCCAAGAGAATCGAGCAATAAAGTGTGTCAAGCGCTCCCAAGTGGCGCACTTTCCCACGAGCCTCATCGCTTGTACCATAAGAACTGTCCTCGAATCGTCCGGTAGAGTCTTGGCTTCGTTGGCTGCAGGGCCAAGGAGCTTGTGCTGTGACTGCACCGAGACGTTGACATGGGTGCCAAAGCGTTCGCTCCAGCAACCCAACTCCCTCTTGGCTCTCTGTCTTGGCAGATATTTCACCCTCAACCCTGACTTTCCCGGACCCTGAAGCAACCTTATTCTGTGTCCTTGATACAGTATTCTGCCGCCCCGCACGACAGCTTCCTCACGCCGCTATCTCTGCCAAGCACATCAATGCGACAGCAGCGCACAAAAAGCAATATGTTCTTCTTTGTCTGAATTCGAAACGGAAGGAGTGGATATCAAGATTCTGTTCATAGCTTGTTGGGTATCAAAAGAGCCTTCTCACGCGCCGGCCCTTCATCGCATGGAAGCGAATGAAGCGGACCATGCGGTAAAGGCGGCGGCGTTATCTGAATCGAAGTGTAAATATTCGGTATCCGTTCGCGTAGTCCACGCCTTTTGATCGCGCAGGATCATTGCCTGCTGCGCACCAAAGTTCCTGCCATCGCGATCGAAGCTGGATCGATGTTGATGCTCCAATCCCTCGCTCAGGATGTCGAGATCGCTCATCATGGCCATCAGTGACGAGATGGTGCGTTGGTTGGCCGCCTCGCGAACCTTCTTCTGGGTGGAACGATGCACCACCAGCGAACGACGCTTGTTTTGGTTGGGACCGTTGAGCGCCTGCACCACGGTGTCGATGATGCGTCTCGTCTCGGTAATGACTCGCAATGCTTGGCCATAGTTTTTGCGCGAGATGAGCAACAGGGACCGGGTCATCATCTCGGATACCAACACCTCGAGTCGTCGACGCGTGACCGTTGGCTCGGCTACCACGGCCGCCAAGCCAGGTGGTCCGTTTGTCAAAGGATCCGTCGAATGCGTGTCGATCTCGAGTGTCAGGATGCCCGGATTGGCGAGCCTCGATGTGGTCAGCCCGGTAGCAGGGTCCTTGAAGCTGAGATCGGCTTCAAACACACCCACTTCTTCCACCATCTGCTCGAGGAAGGCTTCAGCGCCATCCGAATCCACGATGCTGAGATTCTGGATGCCCATCCTCTGCATGAAATCGTCGGTGGCACTGCCTTGCTCGATGGGACCGGGACCGATGCTCTTGTTGTCCTGCCTGTCTGCCATCAAACTCGGCAACAGGCTAGCCAGATCAAGCTCGAGCTCGATAAGCAGATCCTTGGCCTCTCCGAACTTGATCTCGCCAATGTCAATGTCGACGTCCTTGCCGGATGCCGAGATGATGGCGCCCGGCAATCCTGCGATCTTGCGGATCCTAAAGCAGTTATCCTCGGGAACACCGATGTGGACCTTGACATCGGTCAGTGCCACCGACATGGTAGAACCGAGGCAGCCAGCAATGCATTCACGTAGCTGGTACCACTCGCGGACGAAGGTGTACGAGCCCCGTGTGTGATTCGAGAGAAGCCAAAGCGACGAAGGATCGTGTGTTTTGCCGTATCCAAAGCAGTGTATAGCGACGTTGGCCGCTTCAGCCCGCGCCATGACCAGATCCATCTGATTCCGCTTTGGTCCGTCCGAGGTATCGTTGATGAGCATCATGCTGGTCACAGAGTTCTTGGCCTTCCTGCCGAGCACCACATCGAGGCCGACATTGACCGCGGTCACCGAGTCGATGCGCTCGCTCGAACCTCCGAGCTTGCTTAGATCGACGCTGAATGGATCGGCCTCCTGCGTCTCCCATGGACGTCCGATGTTCTGGACAAATTCTTGCAGAAGCTGTCGGCTTGCTTCACGGTGCGGGTTGAGCAGTCCAGTCCTCTTGACCCCGCCATCGATGCCGACGGTGAAAGCGACAAGAGAGACGCGATCGTTGGGGCCAAGACTGTGAATGACGAAGTCGAGCGTGGAACGGATGAGGCGCAGCTTGAGGGCCGCCGAGGAGCTGATCGAGCCGGAAACGTGCTCTGGCAACACCGATGGTACGGAAATCATAATGACGAGGTCTATCGGCGTGTGAGGCAGCATGCTGGGAGGAGGGATTCGCGGATCCAGACCACCGGAGCTTGACCATTGCTGTTGCGAAGGCACGGTATCGCTTGAAATCGAGACTCGGTTGGCAACCTTTGAGGCGTGGCCCTGGTTGCTGTGGTGGCTGGACGAGACATTGGACAATCTCTTGCTATTCTGCGGTTGGAGCGCCGCCACGGATACGTGGTGAGAGCCGGTCTTGCCACTCAAGACGGAAGCAGCGCTGGTGAGGGGTGGCGCCACGATTGCGCGCTGGGCAGTCAACCCTGGAGCGTCAGCGGGTTTGGCTGTTTCCGAAGCGGCCTGGGCGTCGGAGCTGTTGTCAGCCGCAGGCGGCAGAGCTGGGGCAGCTTGCATGGCAGGAGACTTGCCCACAGTTTCTGTGAGCTCCTTGAGACGCGACTGCCACACACGCATGGTTTCTGTCTCTCGGAAGCACAGCACGAATTGGTCCAGGTTGTCGTCGTCCATTGTGATGCTGAGAGTGTGATCGCCCGCCACGGTCGTGTCGAGGACGCGTCGAATGTGGCGGAGGTAGATGCGGCCTTTCAGCTTGAGAGCTGGCTTGCCCGTCTCTGCTTCCACGGAGCCGGCGCCGCTAGCAACACTTGCGGAGGTGCCGTTGGCCATGAATCGGCCCAGACCTTTACGTCGCTCCTCGGTGACGCAAAGCAATGCTTCCTGGAAAAGGTAGACGTGGAACTCGCGGATGACCGAGTCCTGCCTGATGTTGAGCAAGTCGTGCAGGACCAAGGGGCCAAAGTGCTCGATCGAGTGACCCTTCCAGTCGGCGACGCGTTGCTTGAGATCATCGAGCACAGCTTGTATCGGATCGGTAGCAGCAGGCGCGCTCGGCGTAGCTGCGAACGAGAAGGCCTGATCCTCCGGCGTATCGGGGCGAGCCATGACATTTTGCTTGTCGCCTTGCTCGGTGAAGCCAACACGAGCGTCTGGCATCGGGCTGCGACTTCGATCAGAGGTGCCGAAACTGTTGGCGCCGTCGGCGTTGTAGCCAGGGCTGGTTTGCTTGAGATCGTCCGAGACAGAGTCGTCGTCCTCGCGTCCCGCCTCGTTGATGCTCTCTTCCGCATACTCGTCGGAAATGGTGTCTAGCGCGTGGTCGCGCGTGTCGAACGCGGAGCGACGCGAGGGGACTTGGATGGACAGGACTGAGACGACGTTGACTTTTGAGGCTTGTTGTCCCGCTGATTTGGAGTAGATGGTGCTGAATTCCGGTCTGGCTCGAACGGTGGGAACAGTCTGAGTGCTGGACGAGCTGGATGAGAAGGAAGCGGCCGAGCTCATCGTGTGGCGAGGCCGGATGGGTTGCGGCGACTCGAGAGGATCGTCTGCGTGGGCTTGCGGCACCGCAGTCTGGTCACCTGACGCGAGCGTGGAGGGGGGACTTAACGGATCGTCGGCCAGCGCTTTGATGCCTGCAAGCTTTTGCGACTTGGCCGAGTTGGATTCGCCGAGCGCAATAGGTTTTCGGCAGACACCGCACATGCCGGGAGGGCCGATGCTGTGTCTTGCGGCCGAACCAGCTCCGCGCAATCTGCTGCCCGGGTTCTGAGCCGCCAGCAACGCTTCAGGAGGACCGTAGATGGCAGTGAAGCAAGCATTGTGAAGGGCGTGGCCGCAGCTGGGGACGACGTGGGGCTTTTCGCCTGCGAGTCTGTGCGAGAGTGGCTCCAGACAGACGGGGCAGTCGACCTCGGACATCTCGGTGAATGTCGTTGCGGCTCTGACAGTGTTGGAAATGTCGGTGGAAAAGGCGCGCGAGTAGGCCGATGGATTCTCGCTCATCTCGGAGATCGACACGGTCCTACTCAGACCTTTGTTGTGCGTAGCAACGGGTGACAGCGCTTTGCGGTGATGGTACGAGTCCGCATTACCTTGGCCCCGGTCGGCTATGCCCGATGGTGCGCGACGATCCTGATGGCTGATGACTTGGACGTGGGGCACGCCAGTACCCATCATGCGTTCGAGCTTGCTCTGCCTGGCATTCTCTCTCGGAGTGGCGCTCGATACGCTACGTTTCGATGGGAAAGCTTCCTGCGCAGAGCGAGGATGTGAAGCATGATTGGCAGAGAGCGATCGAGTCGAGGCGCCGTAGCGTGCATCAGAGTAGAAAGAGCTGTCGCCGGTCTGGCGCCATGAATTGAGATCGCTGTCGTTGGAAACACCTTTTGGCTGCGAAAACTTCTTGACTCGAAGGGAGCCAACGTCGAAGAGACCCATGACGTCGACACTGATCGCGATGGGCGAGAGCGGTGGTCTATGAGAAGGCACGAAACGGTCGTGGTTGCTCGCAACAAAGATATATGCGTGTCGAGCAGCACAGCCAAACACGGAGCGGATGAATGCAAGCGTGCAGACGTAGCAAGATGACACGGGATCCTAGCGTTGCGCACAGTGTCTACTGCTCTATATTTGTACGAAGAATGGTGGACCGGTCCGAGCTTAGCGCGGCGGTAGCGTGAGAGGATGCGTTGTGGAGTTATGACGCCACCTGAGAGGCTGTCTTCGCTCGTTGAATACTGCGGATAACGATGTTTGGTGGGCCGTCCTTAATGGACAAGCGAAGGTCGAACAGGCTCGAAATGAGCGGCAATGTGGGTGGTGAACGGTAAGGTCCTTGCGTGGGAAGCCAGATCCGTGGGATACCAAACGCCCCTTAAAGACGGAAATCCGGAGAAAGAAGCCACGGTAAACGGTTGGCAGAAGCGACGGCAAGGTGGGTGGATGGTGGAATTGAAGAAAGCGGCTCGAGCAACGAGCAACGAGCGACGAGGTGCGTGTATCAGGCTGATGCTAGATCAGCGAAGGATCGCGAGTGCAAGAGAGGACAAAAGGTGGCATGCACGCAGGGCGAAAAGTGTCGCGAAGAAGAGAAAAGCACAAGGAAAGCGGGCTTCCACAGGGCAAGAAGCCTCTGAGACCAACAGGAATGGAAGTCCCATCCTCTCAGCCCCGCTTCGTACTACACTGTACCGCGCTTGGATTCAAAGCATGTACTGCAACGGGCTTCGACTAAACTTTGATTCGAGCTCGGTTGCGGCAGGCGAGCAGACCGTGCAGAAGACAAGGCAGCTAAAGTGCAGACGACACGAGACACAGTGTTGCAGC